GAAACATGATCAAACCACAACCCCCAAATTCAATCTATGACTAATACCCTCCTTTTACGGGGTGACTCATATACTAATAATATACATACTTTTAATTCTCGTAAACTACACGGACCAAACCGAAGTGGGATCGAATATTTAAATGAGTGCTATGATGTATTCATAATTGACAGGTCAATAAAATCAGACTATAACTGGGACAGTATTTGGTGTAAAGGTCACGCATATAGACAGCAAACAAAGATTGTCTTGCGCAAACTTGGAACAATTGAACATACAATAAACAAACTTCTTGGCATGATTGCATGTTATTAGTAGGATCATTTTGATTTTAGACTACTTCCGAAGTAACACAAATGATACTTTTGCCAGATTGTTATATAATAATCATTGCCTAGATAAATATCCGTTGTTAGTCATACATGGAGAAATGTTTAAATTTTAGACATATTTAACTTTAATTGTTTGCGATGATTAGTGTACAAGCAATATGACAATTCACAGTAACATAAATGAATTGATAAAGAATAAAATGGTCATTATTACTAAATTAAATAGTTAAATGGTCATTTAATTTAGTTTTTGAAGGTGCTTATGATTAACGATGGATATTTCCTTTGATAAATAGACGTTTTTATCCGTTGAAATCTATTTCGCCTGCTATATTGATAGAACTTTTCAAGAGAGTTATGGTTTTATCTTCATTTTGAATATATTTAACCATGCTTCCAGTAAAAGTTTCGCAGCGTTGCAAGATTAAATTCAAAATAATTAGAGGATACAATGCCATTTTCTTCTCTTTTTTGTTCTTTAAAAGACAATGGATAAAAAAAAACAAATAGGATAATACACATAAATATATTTTAAAAAAAATCAACAATTACAGACTATAAATAAGACAGAGACATTATGTATATGAACTAATCTCCGACGGGAACATCAAGATCATGACTTTGTATAGCCATTTTATCACGACCTTTTCTGTCATTTGTTGGTGGGACATTTTGTAACAAATCTTTGCCTTGGCAGCCACTTCCCGAGCATGTAATGCTTCCTACTTGGGTTTTTTGATCTGCCATTTTGTGGTCTTCACTGTCGTCTGTTTGTGTCCATCTATCCACAAAAGCCGAATTTGTCTCGTCCAAGATCTTACTGTCTTCTGGTATTCCATTGCGGATTCTATTTATTTGAATATCTATTAGGGTTTGCCTGAAATACAACAACTACCGATAGTAAATAATATGTATTTTACAGTAAAAAGCACTATGTCTTGGCGCCATCATTCTATAAAAGTGAATACAACAAAAGTTAAGTTAAAGATATTGATAGTTATTTTCTAATTATCAATTACATGTTATCAGTTATCAATTTACTAGTTTAAACTACATGTATTTTTTCTTCGTACAGTTAAGTGTATGCCTGTTATGTATCACTTACGTAACTATGATAAAACTAGTGGGAAAAGTGGGCTATTTATGATCTAGGATTGCATATTTTGACATCAATGCAATACGCATGAATCTTATTGCCACAGCTGCTACAAAAAATATATCTTACAAGTTCCAATAAGTTTACTCTGAAAAGAAATCAATTTGATTAATAGATTTAATCCTGAACTTTTGCATCATTCTTATAATTTCTTTTTCGATGAACCCGATTTCTTCAATCATAAAGTATTACTCACTTTTCAGTTGAATCCAGATCTACCCTGTTTTGGTTTCGTTTCACAAGACAACAAAACCAGACGATCACACATCCAAATGACAATATTAAAACAAATAAAGCTGACCAATTTAATATGATTGATGAATAATTTCTTTTAGCAATTTCAATTTCCAGTAATCTGTTCTTCTTCGTGCACATTTCCATGTCTGCAAAAAGAAATTCACATTAGCTGCTTATTTTATTTCTAAATTGATTTCATACATCTCTTTGAACAGGATAGCTGTTTTTAATATATACATGTAATTTACTTTATTATTGTGTACAATATGTAAGTGGTTTAATATCGTGTTATTTCTTGTTAATGTTGAATCCATAACATTTATCATTCCATACCCTTTTCATGCTGCTGCGACTGGTTCTGTGGAAGGTTTTCCTCTGCTCTCTCTTCCGTCAAAATTGCTGTGAAATTGTTTTGCATATCTTCCTTTTCCTTTGAACACAGATGACGCATTTTTGCTCTTTCTTCATCCAAACTCTTTGCTATAACATCAATATCAAAATCTTAAATGTTTGCAACTAAAATGAAAACGAAATAAAGATAAGTCATCTTTATTTCATTATGAAACGCTCTTGAAATTCTATGTAACTGATTTTCTGTATTGAATAGCTGTATAAAATTGTTTTCTCGTTAAAGATAATTTGTTCAAAATATACCTTCTATAGCATGCAATAAACTGTTTGATAAACGACAATTTAAATCCGTTTAAATTTAAGATAAGAGAAAATAAAAAACTCAAAATTATGTAACATTTACACTTTTGTACTTGGTTTTGCAAAGTACTTACCAGTGCAGTAGAGGTTGCAACCTTGCAGCTGGTCTTTTGTTCCGCATAATTTAGAAACATATTCCTGGTCACATGGCAGACAATAATATTCTCCGTCCGGTTTTACACATGCAGTGTAACCCCATCGATAACACGTCAGATTTAATGGACCACACAGAAATCTTTCAGCTGGTAGATCAAGTGATTGACTATTTACTAAAGAAACACTGACAATCACCAAAAAAGTATTACGTATGATGATTTTAAGATACATTCTTCAACAGCAAAATCAATGGTTTGTCCGACCAATCTTGTTATCTGTGTTCAATCTGGAAAAAAAGTTTTATCATTCGTAAAAACAATTTAATTGAATATAACCAAAAACAGCATCAATGACAAAATTGTGAACATAGTTTAAACCGTCATGTGAATTTTACGAAATGTTTATAATGAAAATTAAATCGAACATGACTATTAAAAGTTAACAAACAAAACTATATATACTTTTCCTTCCCTCACCTTAAAACGTTCATCTCTTATTTGGCCAGTTTGTGTTGTTCTCTTTTCAATTTTAAATATTTCTTTGCACAGCCATATTAGATTAAATTTCTTATATTATTTTCCTAGACTCAAATTTGCAGCTCACACTTGTCGCCTATGAAATCATAAACCGATAAATAGTACATTTATTTAGATATACGGTACAAAACAAATCATCAGGTGCACGGGAAAACCCAATGGATTAACCATATGAATTAGAATGATATAAAAACTAGGTAATCGCGCGAAACATTTAGATATCTATTTTGTAAATTAAGTTACCAAGCATGAGCGTATATCTGCAGTAAATAAAATGATGTTATTTGCATAATTGATTATGGATTCATCAGATATGAATGTACCCCTTTAAGTACATGTGGCAGTCAGTTTTATATCCTGCTTCACAAATCTGCGTAAAAAGGAAATTAGGTCAGAGGATTTTCCAATGAACTTTTCCAAATTACATAATAATATGTTATATAATTATGAAGATAAGACCACAATGAAATATATATATATTTGTGATTAAATTAACCTTTGCACATGTAATTTTTTAAATTGGTATGCATTTATCTTAAAACAAGTTATCACCCATTAGTAATTTAAGAGTCAAAACAATTAGGATTATAAACATCTTATAAACTGAAATATATTTTAAAATTCGATCCGTGTTTATGTTATTAAGATAGATCTCTTTGGCCGAAAAAAGACTGATTTTGAGAATGATAACACTTGGCTTTCTTTTGTTTTTGTTTTCGATTGTGCAGCGCTATAACATTGATAAACGCAAAGAAAGTAAGGCTACACAGGTATCCTTTTTATAAAACTTCGACTATACATCTTAACTTGATACATGACAGCCCAAAATTAAAAGTTTTTTTCTTTAATATATAAATCAGGAATTGCTGTTTAAAATGCCGTGGTTATATATACACATAAAATACATTTATGAATATTATATTAAAAGAGTTAATCTTTTATCTTCATTTTCTATGCACAATGCACGTTTTTACCTCGATGAAAACTAAAAATCAGTCATTTTATTTTTCACATTGAATATTAAAGTTTTATGTAAATCGACAAGTCAAATTGAATAAATGCAGGATCATTATATTTAACACCAGTTATTGTATTGTTTAAAATTTATATCATTAACACATAAGATAGATAAAACTTTAACTCATGACTGTAATATCTGTTGTATATATCTGTATGCTCTAAATGGGTTTAAGTCAGTATTAGGCCTATCATTAAATTACGTCTCATTTAGTTTGACCCAAAAATAGTAGGAAAGTCCATATGAATTTCAGGAAGTGAAGTGCGTATTAACTTAAACAAACCGGAACACTACCTAAACGTCTTAAAAGTACTCGATTGTAACTACATGTAACATGATAAAGTAATCTCATGCATGTCACGAACGCTCGTCTCATAAATAGGTTTGTTATTACTATACATTTTAACATTAAATATTAACTGTCCCAAGACAGTACATTTTGTAGTATAATCAATGGTAAATATGGCCAATTATCCTAGATTTGAAGAGTAGACATCTTGATCATTGGGTTAATGTTAGAGATTGCGGAGTATTCTGTTGGTGTGGTTTTTTATTGTTGTTGTTTTTACTGTTTTTTTTTTTTTTTTTTTTTTTGGTTTCTTTTTTTTGGGGGGGGGGGGGATGTTTTCTTTAACTCACCTGTACACTTTTTTGGAATTTAAAAATGCAAACTTAAAAAATCATTATATGCTTTGGCTTTTTTTACTCTAAATAAATGCTATATGTATTTGCTTTTAATACAAATTATCAAGATATCACCCATTGATAATTGTTGCCAAAATTCCAGATACGTCCAGATACGTTCAACTGTCATTGTATTTGTGTTATCGACGAACTGAAATTTTTATTACTGTCATACTATTATGGAAACGAACTTCTTCTTTGTATGTTAGAAGCGTGATTAAGTAATTCAGGCCTTTCTTGTTAATGGGGTTGTGTGAACATTGAAATGTAAGTGTCGATATGAATTAAAAGACATGCGCAAGTTTGCAAACGACTTTTACATGTGTTAATTAAAAAACGCGATAAATGTATTATTTAAGGAGAATAAAATACCTGACACATTTGATGATCTTTTTATATTGGGTGGCAGATCATATTTTTGCAAGATGTCCAAAATATGGTAACAACTCCTCAGCCCCCTCCCCGCCCCCACACACACAGACACTGAAATGAAATATTCTGCTGATCATAGAACTAACATATGCTGTTTTAAAATGGAAATAACCAATCAGTTCATTTTCTAAATTACGATTTATTTCAACATTATCTTTGTTTAGATAAAAAAATACCTTCCAGACGCTTCCACAGTTTTTAAATATATAAGTGTGAACTGTACTTCGCACAGACATACTACGTCCGGGTGCAGTTCACTAGTTCAAAAACTATCGTATATCGGAAGTTTTAATGGATTAAAAGATTTTTGTAAAATAAATGGTAGAATAAGTTAAATAATTGTTTCGTAAGTAATGGACAAACATGTACAAAAGGCATACTTTAAAATTACATTACGAATCTTTAAAAAAAAATTATATTAGGTCAGTTGTTTAGATCTATATGTTGTTATTTACTTGTTATTTAAAAGTTGGAAGCTTCAATTAAATAATTGGATTAAGAGATTTATTATTTGCAATGCACGGATACAGTCTAAAATCCTATGCATTGACATTTTCAAAAGTAGTTTTCAAGAAACTCTCCTGCCTCTTGTACTTAGGAATAACCCTACCTTTACTCTTAAGACAAAATCTTCCTAATGGAGATAAAAAAATCACTTGTGTCTTATCCTGCAAGTTATTGTCATGCAAAATAGTAGAGAATGACAGATGATTAAGCAGACACTTGTTAAATATAATTATGGTGTTAGTTGACATTAATACATTAATATTTCTTATCTTTTAATTTGCTTCACATCGTAAATGTTATAATGTAAGAGGACTTATAATATTTTTAGTTTCTTTTAAATCATTCTTAAAAGTGCATATGGCAGACATGATTTTTGAAAATATGTTTCATATTTTACTGAAACGGAAAATAAACTACTTCTTAATATTAAGGAAATAAATCTAAATTTTGAGTGAATTGTTGTAGGATAATGCACATTCTGATTTCTAAGGAATGTAATAACTAAGATTTGTAGGCCTTAAGTAATTTATTACAAAACAATTGAATGATTAACCATGCGTTATTGTAATGTAACATAAAAAAATATCTATCTCCATCAAAATAAGCAATAAAAGCATTTAAATTTTATTATGAGTAGAAGTTATTTTTATGACGTCATTTGCTTTATTGACGTCATATCTGACTTCATATGATGTGTTATCCTTCCTTTTTTATGCCATGCATATATCATGTAGATCTAATAATGCACTTGACTGCCTTTTCTCTTTATAGGGATTTTTGAATTTTCTGTTTATTGTAAAAAAATTACTTAATCTATAAAATAAAACATACGCCAAACTTAGTCCGGCAAAGCCATACCAGTTACAATGTCAGTCATATAGCTATGAGTGGTACGGATTTTCTTTCACTAATTAAACCTTTAACTAATAAAATCATTAGATTGGTTAGCAAGATTGAACATGTTATTTTAACAAATGTTTTATTTACCTTAAAAGTATTTAATTAAGTCATATACACAGCACTTGTTTTTGTATTTATGACTGAAGACAAAAGTTAGGAGTACGCTGAAGCACCCATAGGAATAGTCCTAAGTTTAGTCTTAAAATTGTACTTAGGACTTTTCTTGAAACGCAGTTTTATCACAGTTTTGCACTTACGACTAAAATCGGTCCTAAGATTCTTTATGAAACGCACCCAGACTTTTAGCAAAGAAAGCCCTCCATAAAATAATTGCTTGGCGGTTAATCACCGAACACATTATCACATCTTTTTTTTGTGACCTTGTTGTGCGACTGTAAATTCAAAAGAAGGAATTCACGGATATGAGCACCTCGTATCAACTCCTCTTTTACTCATAAAAGCTGCATCATCCATTAAATATTGAATCTCGTTTTAACTGAAATATATTTCGATCATGCACTGTTCAAACAAACTAGTACACTATCTTATTTATAAAAGGATTCGTTGTATAAGATAAAAGGCAACAACGAAATTCAGTGATAAATATGCAAATTATATTTTTGGAGTGACCAGCCTCATGCCGCATATGCAATGCAGTTCCTAATGAGTATAGCTCTTGGAGGAGCTTTATATGTTGCCCTTTATTTTTCAACAACTGACATGCAAGATACAAAAGTGATGCATCGCTATGACAACAAAAAAATACTAAAAAAGTCAGCGGGCAACTTAGATTTTTGAGACTAATGTTGTCTGTCCTTTTATTAATAATCTATTTACTTACTTTGGTCTAATAACTGACCTCTTTTTCGTTTAAACTCTAAACGTCTTTTCACTGCAATTTCAAATGGTCAGGTCTGAATATCAGTTGACCAATATTCACTGACTTTATAACGTAGTGTGTTATTCTGTAGACCCTAATATGATGCTTTCAATAGGCTGACTATCGGTGTGGATGACTATTTTTTGTTTTAAGAATTCAATTTTGTGGCCCCACTATAGGGACTGGAGGATTTTGATTTGCCCTTGTCCGTTCTTGCGTTCTTATGTTGTGTCAAAAGTAGCTCTAAAGGTGCCTGAGCTAGAGTCAGCACAATTTACAGGAATGTTGATCAGCATGTGAAATTGTGCACATGGGTTTTTGCCTGTGAATTAATTCAGTCTTGCCATAGTTATTGCCCTTGACGTAGTTAAAATTTGCAATTTTCAACTTGTGTCGCCCAAAGCCCAAAAAGTATTTGATCTTGAGTCATGACACTAAATAAATGTTGGTCAGCATGTGAAATTGTGCACCAGATTTATTCAGAATTTGTAAAGTAGTTGCATTTGACTTGGTATAATCTTGCTATTTGCAACTTGTGTCGTGTGTAGCTCAAACATATTGGACCTGGAGTGATGAAACGTTACAGGACTGTTGGACAGCATTTGTTGTTGAACTTTGCCGGTTGGAGAAAACATTGGAAAAATTGGATGTCGTTTTTTATGCCCAAACCACTTAGGGGTAGGGAAGTCATGTTAAACGTCCTATGTCTGTTAATCTGTCATACTGACCTGATTGATATACGTCAGCAGACAGGGGAGTATGGGGGCATCCGTGTCCGATGGACGTATTTCTAGTTATAACTATAAGGTATTTTGTTGATCAATTATATTTTCCAGTAACATACTTTCATAGAAACCGAAGCGTGCACTGAAGAGTGAAATGTCAATAAAATATAAAAAATAATTCATCTTGATACTTTTCTCGTAGTTTAACTATGTCGATATCTATATTTTGTCAACGTTTTTTTTTATCACAATTAATATTTATGGCGGTGCTATTTTTGTTACAGATTCTATGTAATTTTGAGTTATGGAATGATTTGTTAACGTGACACCAAATCAGAGACAGAGTGACTGACAGAAACAAATATGTTGATAATATAAAAAGGCAAGCATGTTATATTAAATAATAAGAAAGTTCTTAAAATACTTAGAAATATACATTTAAAAATAAACTATTGCTTATTTTTTATGAGTGCAGAAATGTTTAACTTGGCTTAAATTATTTTACTAGTATATTTCAATATATATAGTTGTTTTACAATAACAAAACCATGTGGCTTTATTTATTTGTCATTTGTTTATTTATTAGTATGTGTGTGCAGACTGTGTTGGTTTAAAGTCAAACCAACAGAACGAAGGTCTAATGGCGAAGGGAGTCCTCGTGTGCTCTTTGCGTATTATTCCAGATAGGAGCGGTTACATGACCGAATCCGATTTAGATAATGGTATCCGAATCAATAGAGGTGTGGGCAAGTGCCATAGCAAGATAAATACGCTCCAGGTATAACAACGAACATATTGTCTAGCAATAATAAAGGTATTTTTAAACATTAGTATGATGATTACTTTTCAAGGGGAAAATGTATGACAAAGTAAAAACAACAAAATTCCTATACAACGTACAAGAAAAGACCTTTATTTATGCTGAGTAAAAAACTGTTTACTTTTATTATTTTTTGAAATAACAACAGTTTTCTTTCAAATTGCATATATCTTACAAATGATTGACATACGAATTTTTGTTAACTGCCTTATTAGCGCTTGTAAAAGCAAAAATTGAATCATTATCTTCAAAATAGTAAGAAACCGTGTACCACATCTTGCCTGGTGGTATTTTCTTTTGTAAATGTTTGTTTTTGTTGTTGCTTTTGAAGTAATAATCAGACTTCGTGCATAAATGTGATTGGCATTATTTAAACTTTAAAGTCTTGAATCGACACCCACCTAGTGAGTAAAATTAATCTGCAAGAAATCAAACTTTACAAAAAGATATATCAATATTTAAAGAAATGTAAAGTATTCATATTCAAGATGAAAATTTGAATGTATTATATATACAAAAAGTGGTAGAGTTCACTATTATAAACGTATCTATAAAGCTACAAATCTGTTCATTCCCTATCCAGTTTCAATATTTTTTATGTTAAAACTACTTTTCACAAACTTGATTGTTTGACAGTTGTTACAAAAACTTTGATACAAGAATATATTTAGTTGACGCAGTAAATTTGTTCAACAGTTAACGTTGTAGTTGAGTTTTTAATAAAACCAAAACATATGAATAACAATAAATTATAACAATATTATATCACCAGGATGAGCATTAGTTATCACAGCAATATACAGAAACATTAATTCATAGAGCAACATGCTTTAATTAAAACAAATAACAAACAATATTTCAGTTTTAAACAATTAGGGTAACAAATTTATCTTTTTCAGGCTGCTTTCATAATTGCGAGAGGACTTCCAGAGATGATCATCATTTGGGTACAATATTGCTCTTCAGTTGGTACAATATTGTTCTTCAATTGGTGCAGTGATGATCTTCAATTGTTACAGTGATGATCTTCAATTGTTACAGGGATGATCTTCAATTCATTCCTCAGTTCATACAGTGATAGGATTTAAACAAAATACAGTATATGCAATCTAATCAAACAGAATACTGTTGGTATTATAGTAACAATATTGGAGAGATCATTGAAAAGACGAAATATCTAACCGGGCAAGCCCAACATTAGTTTCGAAGAAATTCTTATTTTTATATTAAATGACGAAGAAAATTTAAGCTTAAAGAATATAAAATGTTGATGTACAATGTTTTTAACACACATACATGTATATGTAAGAATCAAACAGTTCTTTCAATAAATTTATATCACAATAATAAATACAATCAGAAAATCGATCTGTGAAAACAACTATCTTTTTTGGTTTTAGTCAAACAAAAAAGGAAAATGGTATTATTATAATTTCGATGTCAATATATTCGCGATCAAACAGGCTATGGTTTTCTTGTATCTTCATCCTGATTCTCAGTTAACCTGTATTTGTCACTTGACTGAAATGAAAATAATTTCTAATATAAAAATATAATAAAATGCAGTTCCCACTCCCTCGATAAATCTTTTTTTTAATACTTAATGCAATATATATAATAATTAATGAAATAAAATGCGTATTTTCGTTTTTTTCGTATTTTCAGTGTAAGCATTTATTTTCACTGCAGTGAAACATATTTTCCGTAATTTTACTGGTGTCTTGCTAGACTACTTCATTTTAAATTCAGCCTATACTTATTTTTCTTAAAAATAAAGGATTTATTTCCATCATGCAAGTGCTATGAAAATAATCATATTTCACCCTATGCTACTGTCACTCACGAAATATTTAGTTTCATACCACTCGTTAAAAATAAATCCTGCATTTATAGAAAAAAAATTGAATATCCTCTTTATGAGCATAACCATTTTGAGCAAACGACAGAACGAGTTCTGTTTACGAAAAAAATATAATCATGAATAAGGAATGTGTGGCGGCGTGGCCGAAAGGCTAACGCGTCATACTAGTTATCTAGAGATTGCTGGCCACGTGAGTTCAAGACAGTTTCAATAAGATTATAGATTCCAACACAAAATTCGTAGAAACTGAAGTAATAATAAAAAGGGGAAGTCATTCAATAAGATACAAATGTCAGGTACTTGGAGTTACCTCTCTTAAATAATTATACAATACGTTATACATGTAACAGATCGGCAAATTCTCTAAGAAAAAGCTCTTATGTAAACTTTTGAATTCCTTCGTCAATAAATGTAGGAACTATAAATAAGCATTTTAATCATTGATAACTAAAAGGCTTCGGTGATCGTAACATGCACCCAGGAAAACTTCACAGCTTACTTTTGTTTTTCCACCTTTTGATCTCAGTCCATGAATAAAAACTCGTAAATCAGACAGAATGTCATTCAATTCAGCATCAGAGTCTCTTCTTTCCGGCTTGTTTTTGCCTAACAATGAACAATTATTTTTTAAACGTATTACTCTTTAACAGACGCATAAATATGTTTGATTTTCCACGCAATCATTAGATTTATAGATAAAAGAATATTAGTAAACATCGTAAATTAGATAAAGTAAACGACTTATATGATATCAATATTATCAACAGAATAAGACAATTTTAATTCTGAAAAATTACATTATGAGTAGAAATACTTTGAGCAAAATGTGATATTTGAATTAAGCTTTAACAATTCTAGTCCACTTTTCAAATCATTTACATGTATTCAAATCAATCAGCATGCATTTACTCTGATCAACGGAATATTTTAATACTTCGCCTGAATAACACATTATTTTTCAAACGAGAACATTACTCTAAAATTCTACATTCAACAAGTTACAGCAATACAAAATTACAAAATTGCAGACTCTGTCCAATCCAAAAACGGCACAAATAAATAATACTTATATTGAATAGTTCATACAAAACATATGTTTCCTTACTTTCATTCTTTTTAGCCGGCTTTAGTTTCCTCACTAACATTCCAAGTCTGTCAAATATAACCTCAATTATATTTGTTGGAGCTAGCTTCTGGTGTTCTTTCCGAACCGTAGAAATGCTGAAGTTCAGAATGGCGGCTGCCATTGTTGCAAGGGTCATTAAAACGAACAATACAAACGTGAAATAGTAAAATTCAGCGAATCCTGGTTTTGCTGTTAGAATATTTGATACTCTATTCTTCCCAATTATAGCCTCAGTTAAAGTGCCGTATGTTTGAAACACGTCTTTATATTTTTCCTGCTCTTTCCCAAACAAAAGTGTACCGCAAATAACGTAAGCAAAATAAGAAATTCCAAAGATTAGAAGAAATCCGTATAAATCATTCGCAGCATTCGATATCACAGCCGCCATCTCGTTAATCTTTCCACTATAACCAAGAATACGAGACACTCTAACGGAAAGTAGGAATACTAAAACACCATATGAAGTGTTTGTGATGAAGTCATAAAAAGCGAGGTTTTCAAATCCAACATAGGCGTTTTTGTCTGACTCGAACTGTTCAATTGTTTTCTGTATTATTGTTATTTTGTAAAGGAAAATCGAAATGGTAGTGTAACTCATTAATAACGCAAGAACATCCAAACAATTCCAAACGGATCTGAAAAATGCTTTCACGTCTGTAAACACTTGGTAAGCCATAGCAAATGTCGCAGCTATGACAAATAGAAAAAAGAAAAATTGTAAAAATAAGAGAAAGTCCCCTTCGGATCCTGAATTCAAGAAAAGTCTGAATACTTGAATGTCAATATAAGGCAAGAAACCTCCGACTTCCGGAAACTCGCCCACAAATTTTGAATAAACAAACAAATTTGTATTTGCATTATATAAAGTAAACTCAAGAATGACTGCTCTTGTTTGTATATCAAACCATTGAAACTGTACTAACTCGTCAAATATGATTACGCAAACATCTCTGTTTACATCCAGTTTCATAAAATAGCCACCGCCTCCATACGTACAATATTGGGCTACAGTTGGAAACCCCCATACTTCTTTAGCAGATGTAAATTCCCATGCTGTGGAAGAGAAATAAGTAGACTTCTCTGCTACAGGACATGGCTGTTTTTTCCATCCTAGACAAAAATCTTGCGATTCTTTCTTGTCGTCCTCATATTTATTGTGACATGTCAAATTTACTCCCAACGGGCCAATACAGTCCTCTGTAAAATAACATAAAATTGCCAGTATCCGCCTTTCTGCAAGTTTAATAGGTACGAGTACTTTATCATTTTGATATTGGCTACGAGTTGTAAGCATACAACAACGAGATAATGAGTCTTGAAAATTTGAACTGTTTTTTTTACGTCTTAAAAAAATAACAGAATCAGATACTTAATCATTAATGTTGGTGACATAATGAAGCTGACTGACAAGAATGTACTGTGGAACGAAATCTAATATTTATTTTTTACCTTGTATAATCCGCAACTGTCTCAACCGTGCCGGTCCAACACGTAGATTGGTTAGATCCTCCATAAAAATTCTATTTTCGTGTCCTACATAATCGGCACCGAAGAAAGATTTCGAAAAATATGCATCAATGAATGTCCCCTTCAGCCATTTTGTGTAAGATTCCAAATCCGTTACCTAAATATATATGAAAATCTTATTTTTATATAACAACTGATAAAACAGAAAATGTTTGGCATTATTATATAAAAAAATCAATACTAAAATGCAAAAAAATATCGCGACACGGCTTTTGCTTTATTCTAAATGGGTCTTCAAATAATATAGTTACAAATATGTTAAATATGTTTTTATTAAACAAAAAAAAAAGCTCAATGATGGTAAGTTTTCACAATAAATATTTAAGTAACATGTATTTGTAGCGGATAGTTTCGTCATCATAGAAACTTTTTATTTCAAGCCGATGTTCCAAGAAAATAAAAATACTTTATCACAGACAAATCCCATATAGTCATTAGATTCCCTGGAGACCGTTAAACTATAATATTAAAAACATCGAAGGTCTACATTAAACCTTTAAAACATCATGTCTGTGATTAGCTAAAGATATAGAATTCATTAACTGTTGATTTTTTTCAATCGTTATACACACAAACCTCCGACGTGAAATGAAACATCTGCTCGACGTGATTTTTCAAGTAGAATGACCGCGGGTCTCTACTCTCGTAGCTTATTGTGTATACCATATACAATAGAGCGCTATACAAGACAAGTTGGGAAACAATCTTCAACAGTTGGTGGTTCCGAATTCGTTTGACTTTATTCTCAGTCAGGGTCTCTTTACTTGGGTTTTCGGGTTTATACAATACGTTGCTGTATTCTAAAATAGCAGAATAAAAATATTTTATATGAGGATTTGTTTATTTGAGTAAACTGTCGTACGATATTTACAATTAAATATAAATACTAGAGCATACAATCTGAACATTTCAGTACATTATTACACTGTGCATTCGTTTCTATATAACTTTTTGTCCTTGAGCATTTATAATTTTAATGGCTTATATGTCGACGACATATCGACATATTTTACTTCCACTTCAAATTGATACATTCGGATATTATTTCAAGGCGTTATTTATTTGATATTTTACATTTATAAATTCCTTCTAATGAATCAAACCATGATGAGCTCAGTATTTGAAGAAAATTACCAAAAAAAAGCTCAGTATTTGAAGAAAAATACCAAAACAAAAACAGTTTGTACATACGTGGTCCAATAACTAGTGTTGCAGAATTATATCTAGCTATTTCCTCAAGTCTGTCGATGTCTATATAGGGTTCAATAGGTTCGTAGGCTCTCTGACACATCAGGGCGTACACTAGTATTATTATGACAATCTGAAACAAATACGTGTTTAATTAGTCTATGGCAATTGTTCCTAAAATTCTGTATAAAGTGTTTCTTTGACTACATAATACCGGAACCTTATTTAAAACGATATCTGAAATCTCGTTTTATACACAATACATTTGAATGAAAGAAAAATAAAATTAATCTTTGCCACATAAAAATGTTACCGTAAACTGAATGCAAGAGAAGACAAGTTTCAAATATTAAGAATTTTGATCTTGAATTTACCTTTGCACCTTCAATTATGATGACCGACGCCAGAAAGGACACAAACACGGCTGTCATCCATTCCTCTGATTTAACAAGTGCCCAGTCTGAGCTAAATGATACCAGAAGAAATGTTGCTACTATCAAAGCCATAAGGAGGACAGTCCAACCGACATATATGCAAAAATGAGGCAAGAAAAAATAATTGTGATCTACAGCTTCTTCTGCTGGAGGCCAGTATCTTCTAGAAAGAACAGACTTGTCCAATTTTATCTTATCATTTACTTTTCGATATGTTTTGTTCATAAACGAATCCACATGAGGACCCTTCTCCTCATTTTCAGCATTCCTAAAAAAGACTGAAACAATAATGATGATAACTGACGCTACAGTCACTGCTATAAGTGCTGCCTCAAAATTCTCCATCGAGAACCGGAAGGGACCAATTACGGCTTGATAAATCGTTGTGGTGTCATCCGGTATCTCGACAATCATTGTGCAAATGATCATTGTCAAATAGATTAGACCAAGTAGACATGAGAGTCGTTGGACACGTGTGAAATTACTCTGAATCGGACGTACAGATACGGACAGCCAGAGATGATGTTCTGCTATTGTATAAGCTATCAAGTCCTGGTAGGAGCGAACATCCTCGTAATGTTGGGCATTAAGCACCCGGTCAACTCGATTATCACCGCTGTCAAAATCGAACCAGGAGTTACAAATAAAGGTGTACCTACAAATAAATGATAGGAATGAATTTAAATATTATAACTGAATAATTATACTATTCCATTGAAGAACTGCAAGCTTAATTGTACACTTTTCAAGTAGCCAAATTGACCGTAATATAAGCAGATAAGTCTATGCAGTTTTAAGTTGATTATTGACTTATTGAACGATCAATAGACTGATTGATTGATTGATTGAGTGTTATTCTTAGATTCGATAGAGAAGAAGCGAACACCTTAATCACTAGCATACAACTAAATGACGATATCATTTACGACATCAACGAAACAGTTAATAGACATTAAAATGGTTTAGCTTATTCGGTTGATTTTGTGTCTGTCTTTCCCTACTCTGAAACTACCTGTAAATACTGTGGAATAATAAGCCAATAGAAACCATTGCTCATTTCGTTTTTGTTCATTAAAAATGTGGTTCACTTGATATGAAAAAAAAAAACAGAAAATGCAAAAATATAATATCTACCGGACTTCTATCTATTAATATGCACCCGTAAAAATATTTTCTAATGGTAACTCAAATACGTCATTTAATTTAAACAAGTTTTACTAAGTAAGTTTCCTTTTCTTTATAAATCATTCATTCATATTTATAAAATTATAATAATTCTGACAAGAAACTGCTTTTTATATGTTTATAGATACAAATAATAATAATAATAATATATGAAAGGCTTTTTTTAATTCTTCACATGCTGGAACCAGTTAGTGATTAGCCATGTCTCAATACTGTTGGATGATTAACTTTAAATCTTAATCATCACATCTCCAAAACTGACAATGGACAATTCAGTTACAAAACTAGAGAATGAACTAATTCATTTACGAAATACAGCGAGTGAAGGATAAACACAAAATATTACCTTTTTCCATCAACTAGATCTGTGACGTTTATTTTATTTAGATACCACGATGAGTTATTTCCTCCGGAATCGTCGTGCCATATTCGTAAACATATTAGTTCACCGAGATGTCTACGTGAACTCATCACAAAAGTACGTATACTTCCTCGCTCAAAGCCCTGAAAAAATATAATCAATAGTACTGTCTTTTGTTTGTAACGGTCTACGAAAAACGCACTCAATGAATTGTAATTTATTTTTGTTGGTTTTACAAATAAAGCAAGATTTTGAGAGAGAATAGTAAGAGTATATGTTTCTGATTCATAGTATAAAAGAGTTCAATTTGTGAAAAGGTATCAGCTAAATAAGATAACGTCTGTTTTTAATACATAAGTTATTCTTTATTCCGTCATCAACTGCCTTAAATCGTGATATATATAGAGTATATCTGATCGTGCGGCGATATAGTTATCACATATCACACGTGTGTGCTTGGTTACACTGTTAGTTTATTTGAATATTATAAGTATTCATATCTTTTCAGACTCTTATTGAATTAGTGATGTCATGAAAGAAATGATGTATTATTTGGTACTGCATTGAAACGAAGAACATAAATTTATGACATAAGCATAGAAAAAATCGTCCACATTGTTGTGATTACATATATCCTTGTATTTAAATCACTTAAACAAATTGGTAATTGGCCACCTAATGTTATAATATCTGATAGTTGTTAGAGCAAAATATGAATAAAAAAATACGCGCATGAGTTCATTCTTTGCTCATATGTAAAATAGACAGCGTTGCTATTTTGTTATTAATGGCAACATACACACAAAAGCAGGTGTATATGATTAGCCTTAAAGCAAAACTGCAAAATAAAACTATGTCATATTTGATTTTTTTAATACATAGTATCAAGCCATTTTGTCCATATTAGTACACATATTATGCTCTGTGAACTTTTGTGTTTTTTGGAAAAACATAATAGTAATATAAATCAGGCGTAAGATCCTTGAAATTTTGTAAAAGCAGCTGGACACACTCAACTCACACTCAAGACGTCGACCAGAATAATTCCGACGGTTTAGGGCATTCCGTAAAGCTTATTTTTGGAACGTTAAATGTTTTTCAAAGAAAGCATTTGTACCATTTGACGACTGCCAATCCGTGCCCGAGGGAAGTCCCTGCTAAGATATTTACGTATGTGTCGTTTATCATGGATAATTTTAGACAGAAATACATATTTCCTTTTATGCAACCGGGAGGTTAGTGTGTATTAAACTAAAACAACCATATTTTAGATTTATTGATTACTAAGCTCGAAAAATATCATATGTTATATAACGGCCGATTTGAAATTCGTTGAAGCATATACATGTATTATTCATTGTTGTTAACTTACAATATGACTATCATCGTCAAGAATCCTTATATTTGTATCACCATCTTCACCAACAAGGACAAATCCAATCTTTGACTGTGTCCCTGCCCCTGTCCGTAGACCAGTAAACACTCGGACAATGTAGAAATAACTATCAGCAATATCGTTATCTATCATTAAGGAATACGACCACTGTAAAAGTAAAATATATTTGAAAAAGATGTTGATTTCTAATTATTATAAAAATTAAATTAACTAAAAACATTAACATAATGGGTCAAAATAAGTTAATCAGAAGTTAAAGACATAATTTGAAACCATATTGTCAATGAAATTCAATGTACACCATTTGATCTCTTCGAGTAATATAGTTCTTCTTGTTTTCCAGCATTTTACGTGAACTAATAAGATTTATTTCACAAGAGGTAACAAGGACATGATACGTTAAGTAACAATATCAGTAGAAATGATTTACCTTATACTGATCCTTCATGTCTTCCCTCCATGCCCAAAACACAAACATGATATAAACAACCACTGTCGCAATCATCATACCAATGACCGGTGACCGTCCCATCACATCACTTATAGAGTCAAGCGTTTTAAAGTCAACTTTGTTAAATGGTACGTAAAATGTTGTGCCAACTGTCATAGTATCCCCAGTATTTTTGCAAGTACAGTAAGTTTCCGAACGCGTGCTTGAAAGCGAAACCTAAAATTTAAAAGATAGACAAATTACTATAAAGTTGTAATAAAGCTGGTTACTTTCTTCATTTTATTATAGACACGATTAATTAGAGTGTGTGCTTTTGTAAAAAGAATATCATTTTAAAGTAAATGAAATATTCGTATGCTATGATAACATTCTTAAGAGTGATGATGATGTGAGACGTAAACGTAATGATTTACCTCGCATAAGTCTTTGTCCCAAAAGAATTCATTTGTAGAATATTCTTCTCTCCAGGCCAAGCATTTAACACTCGTTACATTCGCACAAAATTTTCTTGTTAGAAGAGATAAATCGCCAGAATTTTCTGAAATTTGTATTCATAGTTATTTCTAAATACGATAAACAACTAAAAATTATGCATATTTATTACACATAATACTGTTTTATTAACCTTTAATTTAATCAGATGAACACTTACTTTGATGTAAGAACGTTTTCCTGTTAGTTTTTAAAGCAAATTGGAATGAGAACTAACAAACGGATGGTATATGTACATAGGAATAATTGATGACCAAAACAAGAACTACCACATTCAGGCAAGGATACCCCTTCATACTAATTTTTGAATAGTTTTTTTATTTTGGCCAATTTACAACTGCGGACATAATAAAACAGGGAAAAGCTGACTCTAGTATATCCATTTCAAACTTGTTTGCAGGGGTATAACAAACAACACTTTTGAAAATACAAAATTACATTTTTGAAAAGGTTCTTAATATAGTTTTTACTATTTAACCAATTTAATTATGATTATAAAGTTAAAAATCCGATTGATGATTATAGTGATTTTACCAAGCAAAGGTCTTAGGGCTATCCATATTTTCCCAGTTTCCGAATATTCACTTGATTTAATTAGCAATTTATAACCATCTTCGATATTCCATGTCTGATCATCTTCGTTCTTTTGCATCTTAGTAGAATAAGTATATACATCTTCGGCAACTTTTGGCTTCTCGTTCTTGTTGAAATACAGTTCGTACACCTACATGTTTCAATTATTAAAATTGTACTGTATTTATATTTTATATAAAAATACAACAAGATTATATCGCTACATTTTCATTAGCATTTATTGATCGAAAAGATGCTAATTGCATGTTTAACCTGTAACTTTAAAAATGCCCACTTATTTTCTGCATAACAAGTAAATATTTAGTAAATATATTGTTGACGTTTCAAAAACGTTCAAATAAAAACGCGAGTGACGTCCATATTTTGCAAATGCCTGTGCATGTTAAACTTTATACATTCTTATTTGTGTTTTTAAATATCTAACCAGTTCACTGGTATTAGGTCTGACGAATATCAGAATATCGTCTTCTGCATGCTGTCTGTCAAACAATATATAAATCATCTTGTCTGGGTCATCTTCTTCGTATGTGGGATCCTGGTCACTGTAAAATATGTCAGCAATGTAATATATTTAGTATTTAAATCGTGATTCTCGTAAACAGTATTTGGATCCTTATTACTGAGCGCGTGAAAGCAAGGTAAGCAATTTTATATACATGTATGTTTAACTTTTGAATCCTTGACACTGTAAAACACGCAATCACATGTAAAGCATTTGAAGCATTTTAATACATTTTAGAAATTTATACATATAAAGCAATTGTATCTTGGTCACTAGGCGCATGCCAGCAAATTTATATAATAATGCAAAGCATTATAGCCCTGATACAGGAAAGATATGTCGATAAATTAACGTTTGTGTAGCATTTTGGTTATAGTCACTTGAAATATGTTAGCAAATTTAAATGTATCATTTCATTGATAAAAAATAGAAAATAGCTGATGAGTTCACAATTTTCTAATTTGAAAATTCATGTGCAGAAATCTCATATGCTTTTTGTAATTGTCATTTCTGTCTTCTATAATATGGGTTATGATCAGGTTTGTCCATCAAATATATATATTCATTTCTATCGCTATACAAAGAAATCAGTCATACTTGCAACTGGCTTCTATTTCATTCTGAAGTCTGTATGTAATCGTATCACTTCCAAAAGTAGCTCCATCAATTTCAAACACGGGGACGTATGAGGTTATCCGGTCAGCAAATTGACCCCAGAAATAGGGATTCTTCTTAAATACTATTGTCTGTAAAAAAAAGATAGCATTTGCTTTTCAAATAACTTAGTCGCATGTTGGGAATCATATTTGATTTATTGACAATTTTTCATGTAACCTTAAACATTTACAAGAAGAAAAACTTTAGATATAGAAAGATTAATCAAAATGACATGACATAATATTTTTAATTTATTGTACTTAACCAAATTGTACATGTTGAGAGTATTCGTGAGAGTATTTTAAAATATTAAATTAATTATAAATGAAAAACAAAACGCACCCTAAATTGAACCTCGCTTGAGTTGCAAGCTTCAGGAGTGTCTTCTATCAACTCATTCAGTTCCAGTTCAACACGAGGTCTAGAAATAGTTTTTCCAACAAGAGCGTACGCAGGTTTTATCTCTACGGAAATGTATAGAAAATTATTCTCCAGGAACATTTCCTGTTCGCCCAACGCCGATAGTCGCATCAGAACATATGTAAGATTTTGTAAAGCCAGTGTCAAATGAGGGAGAGCCTTCTTTGACTGTAATAAATAATTACACAATAAATACTCAGTGTAAATGTCACATAAAAACACTCTTTTTTAATAAGTAAGTATTACTATAACACATTCAATGAGTGCTGCTATAATTTTGCTTATATACTGATTCCTTAATTTCTACATGATAACATGTAAAACTAGCAATAATTGTTCGTACTTCTATGTTATGTTATGCTACTCAGGTTTTAAAGTATTGAGTCTTATGCTTACCGCTTCTGACTTTATATACTTCTGCAGATGATACTTTTGTAACTGCTTTTGTGCAAGAAAAGTTTGTTCTTGAAGACTTAATGGGGCGTTTAAAACCTCTTCTGTTGTTTTGAATATACTGATGTATTCGAGGTACTTTCTCATTTCATCAACGGTCGGGTCCTGTGGAAGGTTTGGTGTTAGAACTGTCTGTAAAATCCCTAACAAATTTTGTATCAAATCAATCACACCTGAAATTTAAAATCATAACGAACATCAAAGTCAGAATAAGATAAAGACAACCCCCCCCCCCCATTTGAGTCCGCACGAGCCCGACGGGGTCATAGCACACTGAACTTGGATGTTTACTATTTGGACTGTCTTAAAATTATTGACAAAGGCTGCTAAACAGAAACAAAATTGAAACTGTTGTATAACCTAAAGTGACATGTCAATGATAATGTTTTATTTTACTAAATTGATATCATTACACTTAACGATATCTGTGACTTCACTGTTCAAGCCTGATTTATTTACTAATTTGATTAATTTATTAATATTAAAGTAAAAGTGTTTAAATGTGGTGTACCCTTTGCAGCTGCAAAAAGCTGTTCCGTATTTGGAAATGTACGGTCATTAGATATATGGGCTAGATTTCTGGCTAATACTTCTGCGCAATTCGCACTCAGTATCTGAAATTTAGAACAAATAAACAACTATCGTACATCTTTATGACATATTGAAATAACACAAGCTAGAAAAGCCGTTTTTTACATTTCAAGAAGATTTTCATACAATGATTCTTAGATTTGTTGCTTGTGACATCAAAAAAAACTAATCAGTGATCTAATATCTACATATAATTTCATTTGTTAATAAGGGTGTAAACAAACATTTCAATGAATCGCATGTATATTTTAGGAACATGACATTACATATATACCAGGTCTATGACAAGCTAATACAAGAAAATTTAATAACTACAAAACTTTTATTTTGTTTGCATAATTCGTCATAAAACACAACTCACCGCAGCTGTAACGTTTGAATATTCAGCAATTGCCGTAGATTCATTTAAAGCTCTGCTGATAGTTTCAATTGCCACAAGCGTCATTCTTTTATCAGGCGGCCAGGCCATCACACTTGCATGCAACATGTATGCGTGTTTTTCGCCAACCTTTTGATTAATAGGCAATGACTTTACAAATATGTCCATTATTTAATTTTAGAGGGGAAAATCGATGTTATCTTCATTTGTTATAATAAATAAAGAGTATTCGTATTGTTTTTTTATCATAAAGGTTTAATGTCAAGACAAACTGATAACGTGTGTACTGTTGACCTTTTCAATATATATACATTATATTAAATTGTATCATAATGTAACACACATTAACAAAAATGTGAAAGATAGTTAATTACACTTATTTTGTATCAACTTTGACATGATTTTATGTAAAAGGTTAGGGTTATGTAAATCTTAATGCAAATTACAAAGGCAATAAGCAAGTCGCATAAAAAATTTTAAACTATGACTGAGTACAAATAATAAAATGGATCGAGTGCAAGGAACAAGAAAATATGATAAACAAGATCAACAAGGACTGGCGGCGTTCAATGAACGCAATTGCTTATAATACTCAAACAGTAAGGGTTTGTTTTTACTTGAATGAGGTAATCTGTGGTTTGTGTATCGACAACTTCCACTATGATTTTCCAGTAATCTTGCCAACCAAGTAATGTTTCGTCATCAGTTCTAACATAACCAAGAGATAGTAAGTCATCTGGTGATAAAATAATGCCGGAAGATGTGTTCAGACTCTGTAAAAATAATTAAAGTCAAAAATAAAAATAACAAATTTTGTTGGGAATGAAAAATATCATTCTTTCTTTCACAAGAAAATAATTCTGTCATATATCAACAAAACAACTCAAGTTTTATATATCTGATGTACTTAGAAAATACTATCAGTTATTATAGCTAAAGGATGCAGTTGTGCGATAAAAAAACGAAACGATTCTATTATTTTTAAAGTAAAAATACTTTTATCAGTAGAATTATTTTCATTATTTATGTTCAAATTTGAAATCTGAAGATAAAATGTTATAAGTTTATAAAAAATAAAATATATATATCAAACACTCCAAGCGATAAAAATGTTGGCTTGAAAACATGGTTTGACGCGCAGCGATTTAAGGTGCAGCGTTAATATGATAATAAATGTAACAATGAGAAAACAACTGCTGTCATAACAGGCGTGTGTTTTCCGGATCATAATACTTGAGTTCATATGAACTCTTATTACATACTTACTGTTTTAACTCTTATTACATACTTACTGTTTGCATTGACTTAAAACATTTTCAAGTTTTTTATTCGATACATGTGCAAATTTAATGTTATTAGTTATTCGATTTCTGTCAAAAATTCTATTTATGTACGGCAATTAATTTGCACGTTTCTTACTTTTTCATTTAGTCTAATACATATAAAATACATCATTGAATATGAAAAGTACAATTTGAATAATAATCAAACCTCTTTTAATGTTTAATTTATGTTCCTTAAACACATTGTGCTTGAAAGTGATAATTAGTTAAAATATTAGTAGATTGCAGTGCCATTATTAAGCGTGTCCATTACAAAACAAATATGTTTTGCTTAGACATATCAGGACAAGGGTTTATTGGTACCTATAATATGATGCGTCCTCATTTTATAATCGATAAATTTATACTCTCAAATTCATCTTAAGTCATTTAAACTGTCAAATTGTGATACATTAATGATACTCAATATATGACTATATCATTTCTAAAGAAGCAAAGCGGTGTTTTTAGCTCCGTTTTGGAAAAAAGGGAAATCAGATTGAAAATGACAAGACTTGAGGTATGTTTGTCTGCGCTCTCTATTTGTGAATTAGTATGCATTGCAAGCGAATATGGCTTAACTAGCTTTGTGTTTGATCAAATGAAAAGCAATTGCTATGTTTAAATAAACGTTTAAAAGTGTTGTGTTCAGTTACAAAATAAAGATCATGTGGCAATTGTGGCTGCGACAGTTGTTAGTAATCGATAATTTGATATATTTAGTAGTTAGTTATTTGTTTATAATAAGCATTACATGTGAAATATATTTTAAATATAAAATTATATGAATTGAAAACTAAAATAAAAAGATGTGTACAACTTGTATCAAAATCTATAATTACTATGTTTCGCTTTGGAACAATCACCTGGTCAATAATAGATATAATAAAACTGGTAAATATGCACTTCCTCTATATATCCATACACGGTATATATAAACTGTTAAAATTAATACAGTTATGTTGCTAATGTATTGTCAAAAACCAATCATTGGTTCACAAAACAAAGAACTCATTTCAACATTTTTCGTTCGAATATCAATAACTGTTATCAATATCAAGACATGTTCGAAAGTTAACAAAGATAAAAGCAGAGTATTATGCAATATACATTATCAGGCTCTTTACAATACAGTACGTTAACAATCAAGTTGAATGCGTAAAAGATTGACCAAGACGCAAATACGTTTAAATTTAAAGATAAATGGGATACAAATATTCCCATTTCCTGAAGTATGAAAGAATCATGTTATATAGATAGAACGAAAGCTAAGTAAACATATTTGTACATAAATACTTCAAATCATGTGTTTATCTGTACCTTTATATAACAAAAAGTTTAACAGCTGAAAACAAACATTCATATCAATATCTGAAAAAAAGGGCTCAACATCTGAAAGTAAATAGAGGTTGAATACACGTATATATTTGAATGTATAACTACCTTTTCCAATGAAAAAAATATAAATAAATGAATTTAGTATATTCTTATAATTGAAATATTGAGAAATAGTGATGAAATAAAATGGGTATTTTCATTTCATGTATTTTCACTGTAAAAATACTTTTTTATTTCAGTGAAACATATTTTCCGTATTTTCACTGATGTCTTGCCGGACTACTTTCTTCTAAATTCTGCCAAAAATTTAAAGGAAAGTTTTTCAAATTAAAATGTCAATTAAGAAAAAGATGTATATAATAAACAGAAAATTCAAGTTTTTTCTATAAATACAGGATTTACTTTCATCTTAACAATAATAAACTCTTTATTTAACGGAGGTAACTTATTAAGACAATACATCAAAATATTAGATACAACACATATTATGCAAAATCTTTTTTTCAACAAGACCTTCAAAAAACATAAACATAACAAAATAAATATGAAAATTATCATATTACATTTGTGGCTAGCGTCACTCATGAGATTGTTTTTTTCTTACCATTCAATGAAAATAAATATTGTATTTGTAGAAAAAAACTTGAATATCCTCCTGATTTATACTTAATTTACACAATTTGGCACAATTGCAAATAAACAAGAAGAAATATTATAGCTTACTTAAAATTATTTATCCTGTATTCATAGAAAACTCTAGAATATCTTCTATGTGTTAAATTGTTTTTCCACCTTCAAGATGAATATCCATTTAGATAATGAGTTTCACAATGCTCACATTTAAAAATGCATAATGATAGTACTCATTTTATTTCATTCCTAAACAGAAACAGTATCAACGCTACTCGTATAATTACATTATTACCAGCAGAGAAGAAATTGAATTATTCCGATTTAGTTTATCTTAACTCATTATTCATCGTATACACTTCATAAGAAGGTTTTTTATTAAAACTTTCGGCATTCTTATGATTTTACTTATGTGCGTGACTTTATGATCGTAACTTCCCTTCCGGCTCAAGTCTGAGTGTATAAGACGCACAGACAATATTCCCGTGTAACGAAATATAGAAACAGACAAATGAGCCGTGTCATGACAAAACCAACATAACGCGTTTGCGACCAGCATGGATCCAGACCAGCCTGCGCATCCGCGCAGTCTGATCAGGATCCATGCTGTTCGCTATCAGTTTCATTACTTGTAATAGAGTTGGTAAGCGAACAGCATGGATCCTGATCAGACTGCGCGAATGCGCGAGCTGGTCTGGATCCATGCTGGTCGCAAACCCACTATGTTGGTTGTGTCGTGACGCGGCTCAAATATAAGATATATCTTCAATAATCGGATAGACAAAATATGTTTCCTTACCAGCTCATTATAAACAGACGAGATATCCATGACTTTTCTAGAAATAGTTCGATAATCATAGGTTCTGTTGGCCTTGATCAGATCCTCATCAAATTGATCGAAGTACTCGGATGTTATTACGTACATAGCTGCATTACTTAGATCGGCAAGCTGAGCAGTTGTGAGAGACGGCTCCGACTTGAAGAGAAAAAATGGAATTAACTCTGACTCTCCTGGAACAAAATGTGATTAAGCCTTGGCCTTTGACACCAGCAAAGTTTACCAGGCTACACATTCGTGTAACCTGTCCAGGCAGCTCATGTTTTTGTTCATTGATAGATATTAAAATCTTCTAAACTTTGAATAAATGTTTTTGCAAATGCTAAAATACATTGTTGTTTGATGTATAGACTGTAACTGAATCTCTATTGTAAGGAGCAAAATAATTGTGTAAAAACATGATTGTAAGTCATATTTTATGTGCAATGGTCAATTGTTTGTTAATGTATTCATTAAGCTTCTATAAGAGTGATCTGGTATAAACACAATCTACATTTTGAGAAACTTAAAAATCTGAAGAAGACAAAAATTACCTTAACATTGAATTTTACATCAGTGTAATCGCCGAGTACGTCAGTGATGCGCAGTACAACTGTTGCTTTAAATGCGTCATTGGCATTGCCTACTTGGAACGAAACCAAGTTTGACGTTTGTCCGGCTGATAATGCAAAGAAACTCGTGTACATAATTCGGTCTTTGTTAATTTATTAAATATCAGAAAATTTAGTTGATTACTCGTATCTTACTTCATATTATATTTGGAGATAATAATTACTATTGTGGAAAAAAATACATGGAATATTTAATCAGTAACAAACAACTCTTTAGCATTTCAATTGTTTAATTGCTATATTATAAATTTTAACATGGTCTTACGGTCAAAGTAAAGGAGTTGTCTTCTATAGTCAGCTTCGATATCGTCATTGTTATCGTGTTCACCGTAGGAGAGAAAGAAAAGATAGAAAAGTGGCTCTGTTTCTGAAAATGTGTCATTTGTAAACCCCTCATCTTGCCAACTTAAACAAGTAAGGTTGAAAAGGTCGATTCCTGCTATCACAACATTGTATTCCCCTGTAAACATAATTCGTTCTAGATATATATCAAAACTAAATGCACGATTGTTAGAAAACGTTGGCATCTGAACATTATTACATACATAATGTTTCACAGCACTGATGTTTTGATTTTTATTTTAACATTTAGTTGAAAAAGAAACAAAATCGAAAACGTTTAAACTAAATATCATGAAAATATTTATTTAAATACCTGACGAAGCTGTCGTATTTTGTAACTCTAAATTCAATAAAGGTATAAGAGTTGTTGCGTTCACGGGAATTATCGTACATGTTCCGCCCTCTGGTGGTCTGTTTGTCACAAATTCATAGTAAGCTGGCCCATATGTTACGCCATCTAGAACAACGGTTAACGACACAAGATACCATGTACCGTAATCTAACTTATTCTTCTTTATTGTCAGGGATCGCGCGTTGTTTCCTTAAAGAGTTAACAATATAGTGCATATATGAAACGATTGAAAATACGTCAGTACTGAATTCATTCTCGCTTAACTTATTATCAGTAGATATTCTATTTCATTGTGGTGTAAATATTTAGATTTAGATATAATTATATAGCATGATTTCTGTAAATAAATGTAATTCTTATTATTTATTTATGTTCATCAATAATTTGTTTTGTACGAAATAAGTAAACAATTTCTATGCAAGTATCCGTGGTAAAAACACATAGAAGAAACTGTAGCAATGATTTAAACGTTAGTCTCAAGCGAAAATACTTATTACATTAGCAAATTTATTTTGAAAAACAAAAATGTTTCGTACACTTAATTTGTTTAAATTCTGAACCACTCTGTTTTTAACATATTAGTAATTCCCTATCAAATAACGAAATTATTTAACTTTAAATTTACTGAATATCAAACATATTTACCAGCATTTGAGACCATGTTTGTCATATCAACGTCGACATAAGTTAGTCCAGAATACTTCTTTAAGGTCCATGAAAGAGTAGCTGGGCAGTTATTTGACAGCACTGGTAATAGCTGAAGTTTTGAGCTGACCGCGACTTTTGACAGGCAATTTATTTTGCATCTTAAATAAAACATATAACATATATTTTACAATATGATAATTAATTGATTTAGTATATATAGAAATTAGGTTAGTTCGAGTGTGTAAAAGGCTATCAATTAATGCATATTCTCGAATGTGTTGCGTTAACAACATGTATCATGCTATCTTTGAACAGCTTTTCGTTTCACAGAGAATGATTAGCATAGGGTCATAAACTGTTTTGGTATGTGTACAAGTAATTGAGCAGTTATATCAGTAACCATTTCAATTCATAATACACTGAAGCATGTCACTGGAGTACATACTATCTAAGAACAACCAGGTTTAATTTTATTGATGATAATATCTTTTTTTAATATCAGTAGAGGAACATGCAATTTATATGAACATTTAAATGTTAATGAACAAAACAATAATAAAACAATACGGAACTTACTCTATGACGAGCGGTTCCTTGTTTTCTATAGCTAAAACCTGCGTAAAAGTAGAGGTCAATCCCCTATTATTGTCAACCTTGACAGTAACAACGTAATGCGACTTCGTGGGGTTTTTATTAGTATTTAAATTCATAACACCGGCACTGTCAGTGTATGTACAAGAACTTCCCCCTGAACCAGAAGTGTAAAGGTCAGCTGCTTCATCAAAATCAGCCGCGTCAAAACTGCAACAAGAGATGATTAAAGAAATGCAAATTAAGGATTGAGGTTCTTAAATATACGTTCTATACTAATAATATATCAGTCCAATAAAATGCAAAATCGATGCATAAACTTTTTACCGTTGACTTAGTGTTCATAGATTAAAACATTTAAGCCTGCTGGTAAACTAAAACATTAAAAACAATTTACCTTTCACAAGACCAAATGAATGTGAGGTTTTTCCATGTTGGAAAAACTGGATCGTAAGACAATGTTGCTGCATCTATTGTTACAACATCCCTCTTGACGTTTCTCCGTTTACTCCCAACAATCTCTGCGTGCGGTGGTGGCATCACAAATTGTGTAAATGTTGGTTCAAAGATGCAATTGTTTGGCTCTTCTTTGAAACAGACATGAACCTTCACATTATATTTGAGTTCCGGTACAAGTCCGCGCGTAAAAAGTAAACCATGGCGGGTTGGAGGCGTTTGTCCCAATGTCACGTTGTCCATTGTCCAAAGATTTGTATGAGTTTTCTCAGTAGAACTTGCAACAATTTCTAATCGACTGAATATTTCTGTATCAAGCATTGAGGATATATACATAGGAGAGTCCATTTGAGAGTAAAATCGGTCAAACACACCAGTAAAAAGAAAATCTTTATTGGTGACTGTTATTTTTGTCGTCAAATGAGTTTCATTTATAAGATTCCAGCAATGGATCGTGATGGTATGCAATCCTAACGCAATGTATTGAAAATTAAATACATATGGATTTTCGTACGTGACTGTCTTATAGTCAAGCTCATACGTTTCACGATGAATAGGATCGCCCATATTCCACTTACAATATAACCTTGGCAAGTAAAGGTCATTCTCTTTTATCCTCAACTTTGCATCTATCGTTCCATTAGGTATAGCTACCGTGTACGGTATATCCATTGTTATATTTACTATCGGATTGTCGCATGTCATATTCATATAATCAATCTCTATAAATGATCCATTACTTGCTGTCACTTGAACAAGGTGAACTCCATACTGGGGACAAAGGTGGTGAATGTCACAGCTTGCCATACCAGAGGCATTGCAATGATCACTTGGGGAAGTGTCGTTAAAGTAAACTGTGTAAGTTGCTGCCCCCTTTACTCCATACATTGTATACTGTACATCCGTTGTATTAATAAATTGCACTGTGGTGTTATATTCATAATACATCAAACCGCATCTTAAAGAATATGATATTGTATTTGACGTACTGGATACCTGAGCGTCTACAATAACTGTGACAGTGTAATTACCTCGTTCAAAATACTCGTGAGAATAAGTTCCCTTGTCGTAGCAATGGCGAACGCCGTCTCCTAGAAGTATGACCGTCACCAAAATCCCAATCTAAAGTGACGTAGTATGGTAAAATTTCAAAACCCCCATTGTCAATGTGAAAGTATACAACGACTGAATCAGAATGATTTAGTGGGACATTGTCGTGAAACACTAAAGATAGATCCGAGGCAAGGAATTTTCTCACTTCTATGTCAAAAATGTACGTGTATGAACTCACGTCATTTGAACAATTAAAAGTTGAGTTATAAAATCCTTCATTAGCGTAGGTATGTAAATGATTGAAAAAAGAACTGTCAAACGTAAGGTCAGCCTCAGTTCCTGATCCATCATCCGGCTCATACAAGCACGTTGCGTTTGTAGGTACTGGAATGCCGACATCCAATGTAATATTCAATGATATGCTCATATTTTGTAAGACCGACCAAGGGTATTTTTTACTAATTGGCTCAAGAGTGAAGCCAGTATTAGGTACTTTGTTCTGAACATAAACAAATAAATGGTCGGCTCGATCGTATTCGAATGCGCCATTTTTGGCCGTCCAGCTAACTTTGTATACCCCTGGACTTGTAAAGACATGTGTAAAAACAGGCAGATTATATGGAGCATAGAGGAGACTGTCGTCAGTACTAGATACTCCCGTAGTACCATCGCCATAATCAATAGTGTATTCAAAACCATAGTTTGGAACATTTGTAAAATTAAACCTAGCGGTTGTGTTTGTGATTATGTACTTTCCAAATCCATTTATGAACTCCAAATCCAAATCTAAAAGTGAATCCCATATTCTCATTGTTATATTGTAAACTGTTGAACCTAAAATACTATTAAGTGTTGCTTCTACAAGAAAATTTCCTTGCATATCAAATAAATGTGCATACATATGACTTTGGTCCAAGCCATAATTTTGGTCTATGAATATGTTATCGCTTTTGCTACTGCCATGCTTAAAGTCGATGGAAATATTGACATCCTTCATTGGTAGCAATGCAGTTGAAAGCAAATGAAGATCAAAATCTATTTCGTGAGTTGTGTTTCCTAATGTACTTGCGACAGTGAAGGTAAAGTTGTTTATTTTGTAGAACACCTCAACAATTACATCAACTGTTTGTGAACTAACCAAATTCCGTGCTGTCACTTTAATGTTAGTCTTTGGCCTGCAAAATATTGATGGTATCTGTTTATTTATGTGTATATTCTATAAATTAAAATATGCCCAAATTGATTGAGTATATGTACAAATAAATAAAGGTAGAAATTCCTTTGAGATTTTTATAAGTCGATCAAAACTCCTTTATAAATTATAATTGTTTTATAATAACTTAAAGCTACATGCCTCCAGATGAGTCAAAATATTTCAATAAAATCAAACTTGAGAAATATGCACTACGATTTTAGGAAAAGGAAAATGATTCAAGATTCAAGTAATATTTAACATGTTCTATGCGGTAAATGAATACTTTTTTCAGTATTTACTACTATATTTCTACTGCGTTACAAACGCAGTAGGGGCTATTTATGCATATTTTGGCCACTTTTTTGTAATTTACGTGGGTCGTAAGTGCCATTTATAACGTGTAAAATGCTTCCTTTTGGTTATTTCACAATATTATACATTCAAATACATTTTCAAATTTTCATGAAAATAAGTGTTAATCTGGAGGCGTGTTGCTTTAAAAAAAGGCCCTTAGATTGTCATTGCAACAGTCTCAAAACACGTTATAAGATATCATAGCTTGCAAAAGCTTGTTTAAAGTGATTTATTCATGTTAAGTAGTGAATCATACATATACCCATCTATGTTGACTTTAAAATTCAATATGGTTAGACCAAATAAAAATGACTCAATTGAAGGCATTATTGTAGGACTATTGAAGCAAAATATTGTCATACAGAAAATTGTTTGACAAGAAAAAAAGATGGGACATAATATTTCTGCTGCTACTGTGGATCACATTCAACATGGTAAAGATGCTATTCCAAAGAAATAGTTAGCAAAACAGGTAAAAGTGGTTATTTCACCAAACGATGCACATCAGCTACTGCTAATGTCGTACGTTAAACCTGTAATATGTCACGTTGGTGAATCCTCCCATACAAAGAGAAATGGCAGTATGGGGTGTCGCTAGGCACTGTCAACCGAGTAAAATCAAAAATTCTATTAGCAAAACTCAGGAAAAAGTGCCGTGTTTAAAGGCTAAGTTAGGCGTGGACAGTAGCTTGTTCTTATCACTAATGTCTATAAAAAGGCAAAGCCAAACTCAGTTTGCATATTTTCATTTCAGACAATATTCTACACATTCGTTAAAAGTCTCCTTTTAAATAACAAATCGTACGTTGACAAGCATCGTGGTACATCTATTTTCAGAATGTTGCAATAACAGAAACTTTCATAGTAAGTTTACAACGAGTTCATTTTCTTATAATTGCAATCAAGTGACTGTTTCATCCTGCCCAATATAAAAAATATAATGACACATCATGTGCATACATACATGTTACTTTTATACCTACATACATTATTCGTAACGTACATTTTCTTCCGAAGAATATTAAGAATGTTGACATAAACAACTCAAATAAACGATGGCAAGAATTATTGGAACACAAAACGGTTACCATACATTTACAAATGTACTTATTATATAAAATATTACAGTAAAACAAAATAAAACTCACTTTGTAAAGGCGTAGCCAAAGTTGCCAGTACTAAATTCTCCAGGATAGCTTTGTGTAACTGTAATATTGTCCTCCATTTTCCAGTCAATTGAAACGCTTGTTCCAAGTGTTGCATTTGCATAGAAATTATATGTATCCCATACAGCTAAATATATCATTGTGTGGTCCAAAAATGCCTGCAATTTACAGAGAATATAAATTGATAAATATTAAACAAACGTTACTTTCATAAAGTCATTCAAATACATGTAAGTCTATTTTTCCATTGTCTGTCAAGCGAATCAACTCAATTTTATGCATGATGCATTTGCAGGTAAATGCAAAGGTAAAAAATGTGTATAAATATGTACAAGTGTTGTAGAAGCTTTATTAAAACTAAAAAGTGTATACATGTTATATCGCAATGACTTTTTAAAATTAACTGACAACTTTAATTTACAAAGGTTCTGAATCCTAATATCCTGTTACATTATCAAAAGTTACAGGATTTCATCAACTTATGTAAGTAAGCCAAATTATTATAAAATAAAGTATATTTTACAACTTGGAATTGACCATCAACCTGTGGAATGTTTTTAATGGAGATGTCCATCTTCCAATTTTGTTTTGTATTTTGGTATTGTCAATTATCAAAAGAAAATGACCATTTAAACTTAGGCAACAGGTTTAGGTCAGTGTAGAATGGTTTTATTCTAAACCAGTAGCCTATGCTTATCTCATTTTTATTCCAGTAGGTTAAAGGTTTGAAAGTTTTAGTCCGTACACATTGTAATTTCTTATAACCTTTACTTAATTGAATAATAAATAATAATAACAACAAATAAAATTTAAAAAAACTGATGTTTAGAGAAAGAAAATTGCAAAATACAAAAATATAAAAATCGGAAAAAGAAGTTATTTACATATGTTGTGTATAGAGTTAGTACATAAAACTCACTAAAGAGAAATCTAATATTATATATTTTAGTTCAAGACCAAAATATATTAAATAGTAATAAAAAATAGCACACTATCTAGAAAAATGACAAAAATATTTAAGAAAAAAAATTCATTACAATATACAGAAAATACAACTTTCTTAGTTACATACAGTATGCAAAATATCTGCCTACAGCAAAGTTGAAAATTATAGAGAATTATGCCATTTGCTATTCTATCTTATGTTTTGCTATTATTCCCTGCGGTCTGGAGACCGCAGGGTATTGGTATGCGTTTAACTTTTGAGGCATGGAGGAGCACGTGACCTGTTTTCGGTACATGGAGGAGCATGTGATCTGTAAACCGTATATGATTGGTTAATTTACCTTTTCGAAAACCCAGCTAAATACCGTTTGCCGTTACGTTACGGATTTACCTGTAGGGAATTAGTCCGAATTATACCTAATTGAGAACATAAAACTATTACGTGATATTTGTAATTTTCTTTAATTATTTTACTTGAATGATGTGTTTGAAAATTATCAATGTTTCTTTAATATCTATCTCAAATTTTACAAACAATAAATTGTTTAAACTGAAAATCTACAAAATTAAAATATTCGTAGTGGCATCTGCCATAATAAATAGAGATATTTTCTGCGTAAACTTGTGTGTTTACTTTATTTATTTTTTGCTCGGAATTATTCATAAAATGCTAGGCCTATTTAATCATTTTCTTAAAAAGAAATAATTGTTTTATGTTCGACCTTCTCCGGTCTTCAACGGTCACCAGTTTCCAAAGACCTTCTTCTATATTGATCGATTATTGTCAACTATATTCCTGATACAAACGTTTATTTATCCCCCCCCCCCAAAAAAAAAAAAATGTTGAAAATAGTTAAATGAAATATCTTTTATATCATTAAAATGTTCACCGCAGGAAACCATTTTACTTGTAATATAGATACTTTAGTCTTGAAAATTGATGATCTGCCGCTTTTATGTAATAAACAACAAATTTTAAGTTGGAGCATAAAAATGCTCCCAATTAAGAGATATGATTGTTTCAATATATCTATATCAAAATGTAAAGACATACAATTTAGACAAAAAGCTTTCGAGCTAGCTTGCAGAAACAGGTATTGTGGAATGTCAGATATATTTACACACATAAAAAATGAGTTAGAGGATCTTTGAGCCTGTGTTTCATTTATTATCATGTTAAAATGACTTTACTGAATATATCTGTAAGTAGTTTGAGGCATTTCTATATTACAAGTACTAATATGTAAACAGTAGAATTATTGTTTTGACAAAACAGTTTGACCTGATTCTACGATATTGACTAAACCAGAAATTATCGTCATTTGTATTGGACGAGCTGATATATTGAGCATGTTGAAAGTGTGTGTTTTCAGAACATATACATAAACAAATACATAATAAATACATAACATATATCAACGTTTTTTCATCGAAAAACACAAATCATTTAAAATGTATATAGACATTTCTACTGCTAAACACCTCTATATACATGTATTTTCCAATGTAAATCACACACATTTAAAAGCATGCATAAATTGAATAAGTAAAACGCTGTCAAAAATAGAAAGTTATAAATTGTGCAAAGTATTTTCTCAAGCAGATTCGACTTCTTCAAAAGCCGATGAAATAAAACTAGTAGTTTATGATAAAATTGATTAAATACAAAAAGGTCCAGCACTGTGAGATGTTTCGCTACCTGAAAGTTAGTTATTTCGTTCTCCACAACTATCCACCTGTTACCAGTTTTGGAGTATCCACCGTTTGAAACGCTCCAAGCAACATTATAATTCCCAGGTGTTGTATATGTATGGTTAAAATATGACAAACTGTACAATTCATAGAGGATTGAAGAATTAATGCTTTGAAATGTTGTTCCACCTGCATCATTCATATCAATAGAGTATTCAAAACCAGATCTTGGAACTCCAGTAAATTCCAAACTCGATTCTGTATGTGTTACTGCTATAGGACATGCTAAAACACACTCAAGCTCTATATTGTTCAGTTTGTCCCATATCATCATGTTATGATGTAACGTCATTGAACTGATCGGATTAACCATCTCAACAGTGACTTTATAGTTGCCCTGGGTGTCATATGTTAGATCTTTCTGGAACAGTGGTGTACTTGGTAGTATCTCTTGTGTGTCAGTTATAAAATTCACAGGTGCATTTCCATCCAGTAATGTTATAGTGATGTTGATAGGACCCATAGGTCCAAGAGCGACTTCCGAATTGAATGACAGATCAAAACGAGCAATTTGAGTCGTCGTTCTTCTTACATTATTAACGTTAAAGTCGATATTATTCAATGCATAAATCACTTTCAGCGGAATTGTTACATATTCACTACTAACTGCATTACTAACACTGACTGTAACGTTCGTCCAAGGGCTGATAAAATTGCGGAAAAAAAAACAAAGTATAATATTATTTAAATGTAGATCATATTCAGGATCACAAAAGTCTATGTGAAAGGCAGTTTACCACATAATGCGCCATTTTCATAGTAAAGCCATTCACATATATTTCAATTGCACAATGTATGGATATTTCCTACCATCGAATATAGTATTCATACAAGAACGATCAATGATTACATGTGTCGCCTTATTATAGCCAATTGCATGTTGCAACTACTGTGTAACAGAATGCACAAATTCATTAACAGGGCTAAACGCACTGTTTATTCAAGGACAATAAAACGGCCAAAATCAACCAACCGGAAAGCCTTTATTATGTGCACGAGTACTTGAGCTACCAATCAATCCTATTAAGTTTCATTAAAATTGCATTAAGAATATAAAGGAAGAAATCCGGACAAATTTTAAAAATAAAAATCATTAAAGGGTCAAACTTTTTACAAAAATCATTGAGCAAAATATTGTCAATGATATGCACAACTGGACCTTGTATTGACTATTCCTGTGAAGTTTGGATAAAATTGCACTAGTTGTTTCTGAGGGGTAGTCTAGATAAGGTTCTGTGTAGCTGGCAACACTTTTCTTATTGAATGGCCGTAACTGCAAAAAAGTCATTCAACTGTAAAATGTGTGTAATACGCACAAGTGTTTGAGCTTAAAATCAGTCCTGTAACAGTTTCAATGAAATATCATCAGTGGTATAAGAGGAATAGTCCAGACAAACTTTTAAATAAACATCATTAAAATGACATAACTCTGATAAAATCGTTGAACCTGAAAGTGCTGACAATAAACACAACTAGAGTTGGAACTGATTTTTGCAGTAAATATTGGATGGAGTAGTCCGGATAAGTTTTGTGACGAACGGAAACACAGACAGACAGACAGGTAGACGGATGAACAGACGATGGAGAAGTGATCCCAATATGTCGCTACTACTCTGTAATGAATTAATTGATTTGATATTAAATAGATTGGATTAATTACAGTTTCAGTATGTACAAAGTAAAATATCAGTTGGTGTAACGATCTAAAGACACTTATGGATGTTTACTTTTTGACTTAGCTATGCCTATTATACTTTCGAAATATAATGTTGTGAGAAGTAGTGGATTTCATTATGCATATAAAACTTACAACACACAAATATGTGTCCGATAATAGTGGAACAACTGCAATAAGCAGTGTCCAGCTTATCACATTTATTTCAGTTAAAGCGGCCTTCGGCTTTTCTAAAGGTTAAATATGCTTTTTCTTTTGATAAATCGTTTCTTATAATTGTCAAATCAAAATAATTAAAGAGGAAATTTTCCGTCGATGAAATATATTTACAGTAAGGAAACTATAAAGAAATCCCTAGATACCTCTAATGCATCGTTCAACTCTCTATATGCAAATTAGTAAAGGGGAGGTTTTTTTCCCGGTCTTCTTTTTTTAGAAACAATCGACACTGCCGCGTTATAATTAGCTCTCGACAGGCTGTTTTGAAGATTGTTTAGCAGTACTATGATACATTTGCAAGATTAAATTACTGAAATACTTAATTTCAAACAACACAGAATTGTTTGCCCTAAAAAAGATGAAGGCCACTTTAAATCAAAATGTTATATTGTTTCTATTTTCTATCATAATCTACGCGTATATCTACAATTATAACAAGAAATAATCTTATTAAAATCTATTACTGATAAAAACGAGAAATTACAGTTAGTTAATGCATCAATCCTGAAAAAAATGAAAATCATTCCATAAAATTGACAAAACACTTAAATTATACGGGTGCGTGTTGAATATAACCTGTTAAATGTGTGCATAAAATCCATGTAAGAAAAGTCTTCGTTGTATGCATATGGCTTTGTTATATTATCCTCTAATGCCCAAAGCATGGACATAACTGAGCCACTTGTGGCATTGGCCTCAAAATGGTACGCTTTGCCGACCTCTAGGTATACATCGGTATGATCTAACCACGCCTGTAAGTTTTAAAAACATATTGAAATGCATTTCTTTTTCTTTTCTTTTTTTTGTGTTTTTATGCATTTAATATTAATAAAAATCATTAACACTTTCCAGTCAAGTGAATCATATTTGAATTAACCGATCATTTTAATTAAAAGCAAATGAGTGCCTTCTTAACAAAATAATAATCATTAATGTACTAAAGGCATTTACTTTAATTACTGATACATTCGTTCTGGGTCTGTTCTCCTTCTAACAATGTAACAATGTGATCTTCAATTAATTGACAGTTGTCTAAAAAAGACATTAAGGGCTATCACTATTCGAAATGGATGTTCTTGTGAACAATTTTGGTACGTTTATACTCTAATATAGGAGAATATATACACTGGCAGTGAAACTTGTCCAAGCTTTATTAATACATATGTAATAAATATAATTTAACTGAAATTATAAAGTGAGTCTAACATTAGCACATCGCTTAAACAGCAAAATAAAAACTGCATTAAATGCAATGCAATATACCAAGCACATAATCTGATAATCTGAACCATTTTCGAATTATCATTATGTCACATGTTACGTCAAAACATATGAGATTATATCGTGTATACGCTAGAAACTACTTTAATAAAGAATAACTATATTGTTATAAACGCATAATTAAGTGTATTCATAAAAAAGTAACATATATAGTTTATATTGCAATTGCAACGAATAGCAATAAGGCGTGTTTACGTGTTTGTAAGGTGAATGTCAATTGTGTAGCCTTTTAGCGTACCCGTAGCAGTGTCTTGTATACATGTAGATATATAATATACAGCAAACACATTGTGCAAGATAATGTTTACAATTCTGTAGCAAACATCTCATATTCCATACGTTTAATTTGTGGTTTAACTTCTAAAACTCCTCTATTTACATGTTTTCTATTACTGGAACCTTACTTTTTTAATCTTGAAGTATTCAAATGATCTTCGTCATGATACAAATAAAATGTTTTACTCGTTTCTACACCTACGACTAACATTTTCATAAACAACACCATAAAATATGTTTATAATGCATACATATATTTATTACAATTCAATCAGATGTCATTACATTGATTAATGGTTTATCTTGTAGAAAGGTCTAAAGTACATAAAGTATATTATGTCTTTGTGTGTTAGAAATCATACATTTGAATGTTAAGGTCATGTTACGTTTGACAAGATGCTAGTAATCTATAATTATTGATAAAGATCATTCATTGAGGTAAACTAGTAATAAAGGAAACAAATAAACAAATAATAAACAAACGTTCGTACAATGTTATTTACTTTATTTATGTGTTCATTAAATAGTAAGAGAAACTGATATGAAAATGATCCCGTATGTGTTGCTCATATTCTAATTTACCACATAAAATGCTGAAACAGCAGGTGTTATGTCAATATGGCATTCCATGTTCTATGATTCACTACGTATAATATCATGTTATAAAAATATATGAATTTGCGTCACAAACGAAATGTCATGAATGCCAAAGCCTACACTTCATTTCAATTTTGGCGACACAGAAAAAATGATGGGGTGCACCATGTCTGCATCTACTTATGGCAAGGAAAGTTATCATTTCTTATATATTCATTTACATTTTTGTGAAATTTGAAACTGAAATATCTATAAATATCGGAGAAAGGACAGAGTTCAATTTATGTTTCTGTTATATGATCCATGCATTATGATTATAAACATTCCTTATCAAATAATAGTTTTATTTTGATGCATACACAAAATACTCTACTTACTTGAAAACCGACGATTTCATCGCCAAAGAAGACAGTTCTGTTAACATCAGGATAGGTTCGTTCACCATGGAATGAAGACATAGTGCAGATATAGTCATCAAGTTGTGTACTACCCGTCTGTTTCAATGTCATAGTGATTTCAGTCCCGCTAACAACGTGGCTGACGTCTAACAAATTTGGATCACATGTTATAGTGACGACACACATTCCATCAAAATCAAAGACCGTTGTGGTTTCATTAACAGTCGTGTTAAACCAAGTTAACGCAGGTTCAGATGGACTTACTGTTATAAAATGTTTAACTGAAATAAAAAATTATATATTTTTGTCTTTAGACGTATCTTTAGAGGTAGTAGATACGCATACGTTAGATATAAATGTAATATCAAATTTAGAATCGTTTTATTTTTCACCATCTTACTTTACTAATATCTACAATTTAACTGAAAATGAAAAATGTTATGAGCTTTATCCAAATAAACTGTTCATTTGCGACTTCTCGGAATGTAAAAACGCAAACAAAGATCATATTTAAACGTACCCGAGCAGTCTACATCAGAGGGTGGGAATGATCCACTCTCGTTGCAGGTTGTGATGTTGCCCCCGGAAACATAGTGATAGTCAGCATCACACGAGTAGTCGATAGATGTATTCCAGTCATGTTCTATCAGACCATTAGGCACATATGACGTGTGTGCTATAGGCGCTGGAGGGTCACATGTTATGACTGAAAATTCAGTGGCAAATGAAGGTGAAACGCATTATAATCACAATACACAAGGTGAGGATAGGGATAATTAAATTAATACAACTGATCTCTAGCTTTGATATTATTTCACTTTGCCTAACATTTAGCCAACGGTGCTGGTACGCGTTAAAAGGATTTAGCAACTAGTCAATATCAATATTTTTGCGTATTGGTATCTGAGTGACCATAATCCAAAGTAAACGAACAAGTAAGACTTGTTATTATATTATGCGCATACAATTACTGTATTGGTTGCGCATATTGAAAGCTGCATGGCTTCCGTTATAAGGTAGTCACAGCGCTCGCTGCCTGAAGCTAATCCGCCTAAAAAATGAGTATATTATAATAAACAATTTATATTTGGTGCTATATCTATAAGCGAAAAATTCAATCGATAGTATACACTACCAGATTGAACAGTATAATGATTGCTAACAGCACATGATAAAACACATGTGTTGGACCGTGTTTAACTACATGCAGAATGAATATAAACTGGAAACCTTATGTGATTATGAAGCCTTGTAATGCTACTTAAAACATTCCGAGGAGAAATACAGACATGAAAAGCAAATGAAATTATTGCCAAAAACAAAATGAATACAAGTACTTTTAGTCTGCAAAATGAATACAAGTACTTTTAGTCTGATATGAACAGATTCTAAGTACTAAATCTAACTGCATATATATATATATATATATATATATATATATATATATATATATATATATATATATATATATATATATATATATATATATATATCTATAAAATAATATATGAAAAAAGAGCTTTTACAAATCATTGAAACATATATCCTAGCTTTCATGTGATAATTTTCCCTCTAGATGCCTGCTATGCCTGGAAACAAAAACAAAAAAGTCATATGAAGTGCTGAAATGCACAATTACTCTACATGTATATGTGTTGTGATAGTGTGTATTTGTATGCGCGTGAATGTTTTATACAAACTTGTGCAGTTTGGTAGCGTTCCTGTCCACTCGCCGGTATAGTTACAAGTTCTAAACAAGTCCCCGTAGCTATGATTATAGCCTACCACACATGTGTACTCTATTGTAGTGTTAAAGTCGTGGGTGTCGGAGGTAGGCGGACTAAATGTCATGTACTGTACATCAATCTTGTCACAGGTTACAACTAGAAATAAAATATAAAACAAATCTTTGTCATTTGTTTTAAAACATGTAAGATAAATCAATTATATTGCACAGCATATTTTAAATACAGTGCCTCGTTTTGAACTTATTTCTAAACTACTCAGACAAATTCAGTGATAGTTTTGCACATATAGACTGTTTTGTAAAATTATGATGGTTTTGAGGTACACAGACGTTTTTTATCAACAACAAATGATCAAAGACGTACTGCCGGAAACATTTTCTGTAGAGGAAACCCGAGATGTAGTCAAAGGGCATGATCTTTCTGCAAAACAGTCGAGTTCGACATAATATTACTATTGGATCGTATGTTAAGCAGAAATGAAAATTTTGATGAGACATAAAATTTCAATTTATATTTCTCTTCCTTTAATGAATCTTATTTCACGGTTCGAAACCTCGGATATTTTTAATAGTACAATAAAACTGACAGAACATTTTTAAAAAGAAATTTACATGCGAGAGCCAATTAGAAATATGTTGGTTGTATGAACACATACACATTAAAGTATTGCTTTATCTAAACGTGGCATGCCAAAGTTTTGCTAACCGTCTTCACATGATAAGGATTATAGTCACATGCTAATTGATAGATTTTAAAATCTATTTCAATGGAATGAAAATTCATTATCTCAAACGCTTGAAAATAATTAATTTGTAAGTATTGTTACAGGAAAGAGCAGGTCCATACAGTGAGTTAATGTAATTCTGCAATCCTAATTATTTGACGGCTAACAGACTTTGGCGCATCACATTCAATTTCTGCAATGTTTTCTGTGTTTGTCGTTATGGACATGCACCATATTTCTGATTAACTCTCACTTTACGGGTTTACAATAAGAAAAAAATCGATCATTTACATGTACCCACCAAAATAAAAAGAAATCGTTGTTCTAAATATAGAATGTAATTCACAAAGAGGAAAGAAAATTAGATCAAAATTCTATACCTGATCAAATTCTCATTGATGTTCATGGTGCCATGAAACAAATATAGTATATCGAACTTCACTTTTACGTTCAAATGTTATGTACGGTTTTCTCTACAGAAAATGTTTTATGCCTTACACTTTCGATGTTTTTTATACAGAGAAAGACCTACTTGGCAATGGTATTTCTGTCTCGTCGCTATACTTGACTGTAATAAATCATGTTCAAATAGACATTTAAAGATAGTAAATGCTATGAAGATGTAAAGGATCGGCAGGACTTATGAAATATTAAGTATTGTATACCATGTATTCTTTATATTATGATTAATTTTTTGCATATTTGCTTACCAACACATACTGGCGTTATTGCAGACCATGTTTTAGTGTGTAGACAGTATGATTCAAGGTCACCAGAGCTATGATTGTAGCCTATATCACACGTGTATGTCACCGTGTCATTCCACACATAATCTAATAATGCAGGACTATATGTATTACGAACGCCATCTGGTGGGATTGGACAGTGAATAACTGAAAATAGATACAATAAAAAATAAGAGAACGGTTCAATAAAATAAAGGATGGAGCAATAATTAACTATGTTAGAATTGCATTAATTTGTCTAAATAAGAGTGACACAGTGTAGCACACAACTTACTGATATATACATATAAGGGAAAATGAATGGTGCAAATGACATTAAGTCTTTCATCGTGCAAACATTAAAGTGCGGCTTAAGTATGTGTTTTATTTATGGAATATAAAAACAATCTAATATTGACATCGATCCATTTTATATTACATACTTGTACATTCCGGAGCTGTTCCAGTCCATTCTCCGAGTTCAGTGCATGTTCTTGTGTCATTACCGCTTGTCAGTTCGTAGCCAAGGTTGCAAGTGTATGTCAGCTTGTCTAAGTAAACATAAATGCTTTTTATCAGATCCAGCGAAGATTCGTTTACAGGTGGCGGGACGTCACATTCCACAACTGAAAAGAAACATATTAAATTGTATCACATCAAAATGTTTTAAAATAGTATAAATTGTACAAAATGTTACATCTTGTGAAAGTTAACATTTAAGTGACATAGCGATAAAGAATAAAAAGGAGGGACAATTCACAACACAATGTATGTAAGATGCGCATGCTGATATTTACTAGTATATTAAATACATGTTTGATGATATCTGTCAGAGTAAAAGAAAACAGAATAACAACATGATTCCTTTAGCATTTTAAAGAGAGCTTACTTTTCAAACCTAACCCTGCCTTGATCAATATTATAATACGATATATATACAGTATAATAGTTGGTTGGTTTGATTATGTGTGTGAATATTTTATACAAACTTGTGCAGTTTGGTAGCGCTCCTGTCCACTCGCCGGTATAGTTACACGTTCTAAACAAGTCACCGTAGCTATGATTATACCCGATATCACATGTATACTCTATTGTAGTGTTAAAGTCGTGGGTGTCGGAGGTGGGCGGACTAAACGTCATATGCGGTACATCTATTTTATCACATGTGACAACTTAAATAAAATATAAAAAAATTCAAATATCATTCTTTACTTGTATAAACCTGTTGTTAAACACTGATGAAAATAATTTAGCGAAAATCTTCTCGTCAAAACTGTCCGACATGTATATATTCCATTACTCGACAGTCAGATTTATTTGTGTATATCGCTCTGTAGTATTCGGTAATGGACATAGCTAAAAATAGCATTTTCATTGATTAAGCTTTTACGGAAATAGTCGAACATTTTTTATTGGGTAAAAAAGATATTCATCCGCGAAATTTGTGATTGTAACCTCATATTTCTATTGACTAATGTAAACTTTTAATGCACTGTAATTCGTTCACTGCCTACATTAAAATTTATTCTTTCTTTTAAATTTCTGGTTTTTAAGCAGTTTTGAGTGAGAACTACTTTGCGTTGTTAGGTCTGTGAGGAAATTTTGTGTTAGACCGTGGATGTTAGATATGTATTTACTGATCTTGCGATCAGAAAATACAAAAAGGAGGGACAATTCACAACACAATGTATGTAAGATGCGCATGCTGATATTTACTAGTATATTAAATACATGTTTGATGATATCTGTGAGAGTAAAAGAAACCAGAATAACAACATGATTCCTATAGCATTTTAAAGAGAGCTTACTTTTCAAACCTAATCCTGCCTTGATCAATATCATAATACAATATATATACAGTATAATAGTTGGTTGGTTTGATTATGTGTGTGAATATTTTATACAAACTTGTGCAGTTTGGTAGCGCTCCTGTCCACTCGCCGGTATAGTTACACGTTCTAAACAAGTCACCGTAGCTATGATTATACCCGATATCACATGTATACTCTATTGTAGTGTTAAAGTCGTGGGTGTCGGAGGTGGGCGGACTAAACGTCATATGCGGTACATCTATTTTATCACATGTGACAACTTAAATTAAATATAAAAACAAATATCATTCTTTACTTTGTATACTTATAAAGTAAATTGATTTGCAAGCTTCTAGTTTTGTATTAATTGTTCATCTACTCAGAAGTTTTGTATATGATCCTCAGATGGACGAAATAATACAATGTTTAAAACTAGTGATCAGTCTAAAGACAATGAATATTCATTGTTGTAGGGATCGTAATAATTTTTGCAAGATTCAGAAGTGTGTGAAATATATTCTTTATATTAAGGTTGTATTTTGTATATTTGCTTACCAACACATACTGGCGTTATTGCAGACCATGTTTTAGTGTGTAAACAGAATGATTCGAGGTCACCAGAGCTATGATTGTAGCCTATATCACACGTGTATGTCACCGTGTCATTCCACACATAATCTAATAATGCAGGACTATATGTATTACGAACACCATCTGGTGGGATTGGACAGTGAATAACTGAAAAAATAAGGGAAATGTTCAATATACTGAGCAATGGGAAAATGTTTAAAGCTTTAAGTCTTGTAAGTAAAGTATTGCAAGTAAAGAGTGACACACAAAATAAGTGTATGTTACTACTGTTTTGTAAACATTTAATGAAAATGATAGGTCATTACTGCATTTTATCTCGCATCGCGCAAACATTTTAATCATTGTTTGAAGTAAAAGTGTAATTTTGTGTTTTTGTTTAATTTATAAAATAACCTAATTGAGATAGCTAATCAATAGATTTACATACTTGTACATTCAGGAGCTGTTCCAGTCCATTCTCCGAGTTCAGTGCATGTTCTTGAGTCATTTCCGCTTGTCAGTTCGTACCCAAGGTCGCAAGTGTATGACAGAATGTCTGCGTAAACATAAATGCTTTTTACCGGATTCAGAGAAGAATGATTCACAGGTGGTGGTGCGTCACATTCCACAACTGAAAATATGATATACAATATAGTATCACATCAAATGTTACATACATTTTACAAAACTGCATAATGTGAAAGTGTACAGTTATAAGAATTTGCAATTTAAAATAATAAAAGGCAAGATTCGATATTATAAGATATGTTTCTATATTATACTTCACAAAATGAAGCAAAGGCCTTTTAAAGAAAATCTACCATAAAGAAATGTCATAGAACAGGGGAAGAACGAGATAGTATAGATAAAAAATGTGACTGTATCAACATATTCAGGTATTCGTTTACGTCATAGGACGAATCATGCTTACTTGTGCAGTTTGGCGGGGTACCTCCCCAATTGCCTGTATGGTCACACGTTCGTGTAGCATCACCGTCTGTCAGATTATAGCCAATCACGCACGTTGACGTAACCGAGGTGTTAAAGTTGTACAATGTTTGATCAGGAGACACAGTAGCATGGGCTTCGGTAGGTTTGGAGCACTCCATTACTTACAAAAAAGATATTTATACGTTTTGAATGCCGAGAAGACGATGTTATTAAATGCTTAAATAAACACTGTTCAAGCTTTTGTTAGTACAACATAAGACAAAATAACCCACTCCAGGGTATCTTTTTATGATAACCGTCAAGTTAATATATTATTTCTTTTTAGATTTAAGAGTATGGGCAAATAATGTTTCTAGCCAATTTCCAGCATATACTAAAAATTTAACTTCTCAGTATATAGCTGACGGTCGTGTATAAAAAATTATTAATACATTTATTCAAACCTTATAGTTTAACTTCTAAATATACTTTAAAGATCATTGAAATAATATTATACTATATACGTATACATCAATGTATTTCTAAAACGATAGTCAGAACTTGTATCATATAACATTTTTTAATTGAATGAATTGGAATTATATCTGAAAACAACCAAAATGCTTACTTTTACAAACAGGTTTGGTGTTAACCCAGTTAGCATTTTCGTCACATCTTTGAATATTATTGCCACTAAAAAGGAAGTATCCGAAGTTGCAAGTAAAGTTCACCGTTGTGTTATAATCATATTTTGCCAACACGGGGTGATATGTGCTGTCAGTTATATTGGCAGGTGGATCACACGTAACCACTGAAACAAAGAATTCATTCGACAAATTGTATATTTTTGGAAAGGGCATTTATAATTCATAGTAAAAAGGAAATGATCTATAGAGCAAAGTTTAACAGTAAGAAACAATGAAATTTTCATTAATTCATTTAAATAGTTCAATTTATTTTATTTCATTTTTCCACTTTTGCTGAAGAATATACATGACCCTATCGTGAGTTTAGTATATATTTCGTTTAAAGATAAACACTAACCACCGCAAAAGATAACGAGACCCGCCCGTTATTGGTGTGAAATATTTCTTTATTTCGTCCATTTATGATTGCGAAAATACATGTTTTATACCTGAGAGCTAAGATTCCTCGGTACTATTGAAATAAGTTCTTAAAAAATTGTTATTTATGTTTGAATGCAGTAACACACATATTCCATGGTACATATGTCATTGAAATAGAAAATTTTATATTTTAATTAAAGTGTTTGTTAAATAAGCTAATCCATCAATTAATTTGTCTGAATTTAACGTACATGTGCAATTAGCCTCCGTCCCATCAAAAGTTGAAAGTTCTGTACATCGTCTGGTCGCATCACCATCAGTTCGATTGTAACCGAGGTCACACGAATACGAGAGGGACGTGTTGTAATTAATTTCAGCCACATTTGGTGTAATTGACGCATGCGCAGGTATAGCAGTAGGACAGGTAACAACTTCAATCATTTAAAGATTGGCATGATAAATGTATTGCAAATAATCAGTTATAAGGCAACTTTTGTTGAAAAAAAAATCACAAATTATTCAGCAACTTTCAAGTAGAGCAAAACTTATCACCTATTAAATCAAAATATTATATTATAATATTGCAATAAAAATATATGTTTTAGACTTAATATGGCATCCATTTTAATTGAAAATATATATTCATTCTACGGGTGTAAGAACGTTTAAATGGAAAAAACTGAAATAAAACATATTCATACGAAGTACATAAAGCATTTGTTGTGCGGCCGAAAAATGATAAAAAAATTTCTTTCAGCAAAATATGTGTATTAAAATAAGGTTTCAAAGACTTTATAACTGTCGGTTAAGCAAGTTTTCAAACGTTTAATTAAAAGTCGTACAAAGTTAACCTTTTTGCAAAAAATAATTACGTTTTGCCCTCCATCCCTACCCGAGAAAGATATTTTACAGCAAAAATTAATACATTCAATCACGTTTTTTGCTTCAAATGATATGCAGAGTTGTTTAAGCAGACGACAATTATAAAGCCTGACAAAAAAAATAAAAGAAAGCATCAACTTATATTTAATAAATTTAATAATAAATAGCATACTTATGAATATATGTAAACATATATATGCATGTATATGAAATATGGGAAGCTATAGTATGTGCTGACTATATAAGGCTTCTTCATGCAGCGCCGCAGCTTTTTAAGCCAACCATCAGCAAAATGATGATATTTGATTAAAGCATTGGTGCATGACTTTCTCGTTATGATTAAAGTATGAAGTTTCGCTAACTTATATATCAAACAAGATGTTATGACCATTCTATATAATATTCAACGGCACATATAGTTTTCCCCTTAATTTATATATACATGCTATTTAGATTAAATGTAAAAAAAACACAACATTTCATTTTTAATGCCTATATCAAATTAAACTTCATTGACGTATCTTTGGCAATAATAATTTGTTAGTGATTGATTAAAGAAAATCAAATCTTTAAATAATCTAAATGATATTTTAACATATTATGTTATATGTGTCTTCTATTATACATGTATGTATCATTACTTACTGACACACTCTGGTTTTTCTCCAGTCCAACTACCATTATTTATGCACGTGCGATTCGTGTCACCAGAGCTGTAGTTATATCCTAAAATGCAGTCATATACTACAATGTCACCGAATTCGTGAAGAATTTTGTTAGGAGTTGTTGCCATGTAAGTTGAATCGTCTTGTATACAAGCAGCAACTGTAAATAATATCATAATTTAAACATATATAATGAATACGGTAATATAGGATCATTTTAACGGTCAACTTGCTAATCTAACATTACTATATACTTGTATAGTACACAATTGAAAAGTGTATCAAGCTTTAATACAGCTGCTTCTTGTAATGTTTGAATTTTGAAAAGAAAGAACAAGTCAAAAATACCAGGCATATGTTTGTATATTTCCTTAAGAGCCAATGTTGCATGTTAGAAATAATTGCTATACGGTTAAATACCTAGTTAAAAACAGCCTAATATTTTTTTGTAAAACATTTTATTCCGTTTACGAAAGCAACTCATTGATAAATGAGACATTCAGTGTTATAATAGAAAAGGACAGAATCCCCCAAAGCGGTAAAAAGTGGAAAATATAGCAGGCTGAAACTGCAAGCTGCCCTTTCGAGAATCGACTATAAGATCGTAGAAACAACATGTGACCGTTTATAAATCTTATAAAAGTACTTCATAAGATATAGCTTTATACCCTTTAAATTAAACCTCGAAAATAAAGTCATTTTGGACAGGGAATATGAAACAAGAAAATAATTAGATTACATAATTATGTTTTGATAACATATTTTATCGTAACCATTAACAGTTATAAATCACTTGACTACAACGTAATTTTAATTGCCTTTCTTTCCAAATGTTTTCTGGTATGATAAACTATTCCCATAAAAAAAACTTTAGTTAATCAAGCAATCAATCATGTAACACCAAACATTTATCCTATGTCACGTTTAGCACATTTTTGTGTCGAGAAAGTATCAAACTCTAAACTACAAGTCTAAGGGCTCGATTACAAATACAAATACTGACTAAATCTTTGCATGATACTTAAGAAAAACATGGTCCCAACATTATGCCCTAGAATTTGCATATGTGTTTACGATGAGCGTCTGTATACTAGCGATCATTATATTAGATAATAAGAAGATGTTTACTTGTACAAGTTGGGGCGTCGCCCGTCCAGTTAAAGTCTTCTTTACATGTACGTGTGAGGTTACCAGCAGTATGATTGTACGACAGGTTACAGCTATAAGTAATGTCTGTGTTGTAATCAAACTTTACAGCAGGTGACTGAGAATATGTGGAGAACATCACTGTCGCTGGCAGGTCGCACCGTACAACTGTAATATATATATTATTATGCATATGTTTCTGTTAAATTGATAACATAAACATTGTTACACTTCTAGTGTCGCTTGAAATAAAATACATGTACAATCAAAGTATATAAATATATAATTAAGGTTCCTACAATGTATTTTTTAATTATTTTTTATCAACAAGTATAACAATGTATCATAGGAAATAGATATCACGTTCCGTTATAGCTATTTTATTTGAATTGATAATTTCACTCTTAGTACTGTTTGAATGTAGCATCCAGTCACCATATAACAGGCATACCTGTATAACTGTCGTATTACAATGAAACCAACTTACTTACTTCAAAAAATATCTATGTACGTCATAGCGCCAATGTGTGGGGCGTACAATTGGCATAATAAGTCGTGAAAAATAAGCGTTCAAAATTTGATATCAAATAATGTATATAGTATCATTGCAATCTTGATAAAGGTGTCTATTATTGTTTCATATAAGTTTTGTATTTAAAACAGACTTACGCGAGCATATAGGTAGAGTATTTGTCCATGAGCCATCTGTTTGACATGTTCTGGTAGCGTCTCCAGCACTAATATAGTACCCAATGTCACATATGTAAGTTATTGTATCCCCAAACTGCGTTATGACATCTGGCGGATTATAACTTCCAAAAGAAGTATTTTCTGGTATACACGCAGCCACTGTAAACAATTTCAAATTTAAGCCACCCAATTATCATTATAGTGCATATCTAACATTTTAAAGACCAAGTATTGTATCAATACATTGATGCATACCACGTTTGAATGAAAACTACACAGAATATATATAGCAAAAGGTATCAAAAATGTAACAAAATGAAACGATTTCTAAGGTGTGATTCATTTGTTATTGATTTCTGCAATCAACTAATAATTATAATATGAACACACTAAGAAAGCTTTCCTTTAGAATCTGAATTTTAATAAAATAAATTGCACCTCTTTGATAAAATGGTTTGTTATGAAAGAGGTTATCTTTTAAGATTTACCTGTACAAACTGGTAGTGTTCCAGTCCACATAGCTGAAGCATTACATGTTCTTACCAAATCTCCATCCGTTTGGTTAAAACTTAAGTTACAACTGTATATAACTGACGTGTTAAAATCATATGTCGGTGTGTCGGGAACAGCTGCGCCATTTGCAACAACTTCTTTTGCACAAGTTTTAACTGGAGGAAAAAATAACAAATGTAAACTTGCAGTGTGCTTTCTCTGTTATTATGAAAAAAATACGTTTATATGTGTGCTTAAAACAATTGTGCCGAAAATTACATACATTTTGTCGGTACATATTGAGAACATTTGAAAAACAATGACAAAATGAAGCAGTGAGGTTAGTCATACGCATGATTGATAATTTAGAAATATTTATCGAATCTTTGTTTGGATTGATTATATATTAATGAATAGCAATCCGCAAAGCAGTCTTTAACGATATGGTGTACATCAATATTCTTCTTTTTTTCTCTTTTGCATATTCAACTAATTTTAACATGTTGCCCTTTTGAGCGTAGTATTCCTTTAAGATAATAAGTTAAAACTTATATGTATGTGCGGGTATAGGTTTCAAACTAGTACGTGTTATATCAGTATTATATATACACAGCCAGCATTTATTTTTACTTATTTGGGTTATTTACTAGAAGAAATGTACTTGTTACATGCTCCAAACGGGTTACTGACACAATGGTTAAAACAAAAATGAAGAACAAACTGATTTACCCCTACATATTGTATAATTCAACCTATTGGTATGTTTGCTTCTCTGACTGGTTGGAGTGGCTTAAATATACTGATTATATAATTATAATGTTAATTGATAACTTCCAAGATGACACATTGGTCATGAAAATAATATAAGTGGTATTAATTAACATTACTGGTGCAGACTGGTGCAGATCCACTTAAAAATCCAGTAGCTTGGCAAGTTCTTTGCAGCGTTCCACTAGTCTGTTCATAGCCAATATCGCAGGTATAGTCTAATGTAGTATTATATGTGTACGGGTCTGCGATTGGAGTAAGCGATGAATGACTCACTGTTGGAGGAGCTGCGCATGTCACAACTGAAATATAGAAAATTTTAGATAAACAAATAAGTTCTGTAAATAGCAAATAAAAAGTAACATTTTACCATGATCTCTATGAATCAAACGTTTCGCCGCTCTAAACCAAAGTATGATAAAAATTCGTATGTCATAAGCATTACTTGCTTAATGCGTTTTAATCCATGTCATGTATAAATGATTTATATTTTAAGCAACATGCAATATGCCTCTAGATGACTTCTTCCCAAAATATCAGACGTAATAAGAAATGTATAGAAGTAAAAATTACATCCATCTATGTTATTCACAATAGATTAGTTTACTATTTTAACTTGCTTTTACTTTGTTGCTATATGTTTAATAGTTTGTAATAATTAGTAAGACTATCTCAAATCAATTTATTTGCTTATCGTAAGTAAGGTTATTTGCTCACTATCTGATATTCATAAAACAGAAAAAAGACATGCTGCTTTAATAATTTGCAATATGTCTCTAATGGTCTCATTGCATGTTAAAATGATGCGTCCTTGAAAACAATTGTTTGCTGCTGCAAAGGCATTTTGAACAGTTGGAACATATAAGCATATACCAGCATAACAATGTTACCTGAGCACGCATTATATATTTTCTCATCTAATGTTGCCATTTTAAAAATGTATTATTAAAAAAGTACTGCACCGCCTTAGGCTCATAACATCTAAATATAACCAAAACTATTTGACTATATCTATATCAAATATCAGATACTTAGCAACTCTTGCAGCTTGCATGTTTATTTAGAAATTTTACTAGTGCATGCTGGTTGGGTGCCGCTCCAGGTTCCGTCAGCCGTGCAAGTTCGGGTTAAATCCCCGGTATCCAGCTTGTATCCCATGTCACATGTGTACACAACTGGTGTGTTGTAGTCATAACTCGGCTGAACCGGCGACTTTGTTGCAAATGTAATATTAGCAGGCTCTGCGCATGTCACAACTAAACAAGACAAAATGTAAATACCTTATCATTGATAATACAAAATAAACTATAATCATCACTTCTTAAGTATTTTTCTTTCTTTTGTAACAGAAATTGAAAAGAAAATGAATGTGTTACAAGTAATTATTTAACTTGATCATACTTTTGTGTTTAATTGTTTTTTGTTTTTTTATGATCAAAATGGTAAATTATTAACAAGAATAGTAAAGGTTTACTAAATGTTGAATTATTACTACTAGTATTTGTTATGATAACCTTGTGAGACATTGACTGGATCAGGACAAATGATTGAATTACGATTAAATAGATCATACTGACGTCAAAAGAATATCATTCAATTAAATACTTAAATGTTTAAATATGCCAGAACCCTTTTGCAATACCAAATGCTTGATTTAAACAGCTATTTTTTATCATTTGTAAACGTTAATCTAGTTAGAAATGCATGATTTTAATCAATATGTTTTCTCTTATAGTAATTGTTCAAGTTGACAGTTAAATGTAATGGACGTTCTACAGGCCTAAAATGTTCGTTTCCATACTGTTTTGTTTTGTTTCCATTTCAAAAAGAAATATTTAAATTTTTAATGAAATGACATTTAACAAAACTCTATATTGTGTCATAGTTGAAACTAAAAATGTGTTTGAATAAAATGTAAAAATTTACTTTCAATGGAAGATATTGTTTTATTGATTTAACAGTTTGAAGTTGAAGGGACTATTTACTATGATAATATATCATTTCTATAGTTTATTGTTAAATGCAAGCCCATGGTTTCAAAAGCATATTTCATTTCTATTATAATTGTTTTAGAATAATAAATAAGTCGTACTATATCTTGACATTTCTAAAGTTCGTTCTAAACTTCGCCCGAGGGAATCCAGGAATATATCAGTTATGATTATGATTATATATAATCATCATAATTATTGTATAAACATCAAAGGACACAATACCCATGTTGTAAATTAAGAATTAAAACAGAAATGTCCTATGATTCAGATGCATGTTTTTACTTCTTTTAGACCCTCTTGTGTATTATGCATTTAACAGCCTTTATGTCTTAAATACTTAACAGCAAAATGAGATCTACTTTTGAAATATATTGAACGTTAATGATATGTATGACTATGTGTGTGCGCGCGCATGCTTGCGCTTCTGCGGGTTTTGTAAATTTACGTTCTTTAGATCTAAAATAGTTGAAAGATTCTAACAAATTTTATAACTATAAACATGTGTATAACATAGACTTGCAAAATGTAGCTTTTGATTCATTAAAATGTGATGTTTTATAGAACTGAATGCTCTGTAAATATTATCTGAATAATTAATCATTCGGAATAATGTCACGCTAACACAGTTCTAACATTTATGATAAAATCATTAAATAAACAATACACACAAAGTGTTACTTTCAAGCTGAAATATCAAATATAATTAAAGGTAAACAAAAGAGATAGTTTTAGTATCCAATATCTAAAGCGTAGTTTATTTTGATGTTCGAAACATCGATCACAGTTATCTTAAACCATTTTAAGTCCAATGTCACGTTTCAAGTAAAGATCAAAAGAACCACGTACGGTTTTTTTTTTTGAAAAAATAGTTAATTTTTGCAAGACAGGATAATCCCTCGCAAGCCATGAAAACAAATGGAAAATCACAGACATGTTAAATTGTGTTACATAATTATTAAAAGTTCAAAGCAACAGACATTACATGTGATCATTGATTATATAGATGTATGTAAAGTATTCATTTTTTAAATTGTATAATTGTCCAGTTTGCGATGGTTGAAGATCCAGAACTAAAATTGCCTATATTGGCAACATTTTATCAGCTCTATTTGTCGTGTTTTGTTTAATCTATTACGCAATAATACAACCAAAACAATCATACTTGTGCATGTAGGCGCATCTCCCGACAGTGTGCTATTATGCTGGCATGTTCGTGTAAGATCCCCGTTGGTATGGTTATAGCCTGTGATGCAAGCATATGTCAGGTCTGTGTTGTAATTAATAGTTGCTGTATTGGGCGACTTATTAGCAAATGCAATTGCTGGTGCGACACATGTTTTAACTGCAATGCAGGGAAAGCACAAATGCTCGCAGATATATACATAAAGATATACACAGTTGACACATAAAATAATCACTCCAACCTTCTACACGTTCGACATTTTTTTTAAATTGCTTTAGCTCAGATATTTTCATTATAGAAAAGAAATGATAAAGAAGTTTAAAGAAAACAAATTTGACAACAAATAAGTCAAAAGCGCTTCCAAACCATCTTAAATGAATGAAATATTTTACCGAAGAGTTAATACGTATATGGATATACAATAAACAGCAATAATAATCATATTCTTCATAACCATTTTATTAACAAATATTTTGCTAGCGTTGATACAGATACAATGTTAGCTACAGTTTGCCTACAAAGAACAGCATTTTTAGCACAATAATATAAACCAAACTGGCGAGATCAATATATGCTTGAATTTTGAATTTTATTTCACATCTTTTTGTCAAATATATTCGGGGCAGACAAAAAAATACTAACTAGTAACATTTTTAAAAATAAAAATTCATTTCATTTTGTTGGTTGTCAAAATTTACCTGTGCTCGAGTTAAATAGGCTGACATTACTTTTATGTGAAGAATACTGTTTAGAGTGACGCCCTTGGATATTCTTACCAGTAAATATTTCATAGCTTAAAAGTGTGTATTAATTTTTCCCCGAGTGCTAACTGTTCAAATCTCTACAGAACTTCAAAAGTGAAATGTCTTAGAATTGATATGACAATTCAGATGATGCAGAAATGTTTACCATTTGATTCTTAAAATATCTATATACGACTAAACATCGTTTAAACTCTAAAGTTTAAAACGTAAAACTAAATCTATACAAAGAAAAACATTTTTAATAAACAAAGGGTTTATTTAGCGTTAAGATATTTTAATTCACATAATTCTTGGAAGGAAACGAAAGAACCAAAAAACCTACTAGAGCAGACTGGAAGCGTCCCAGATAGATCGCTGCTAGTATCGCATACCCTAACTGTATCGCCGCTCGTGACCTCATATCCTGTGTCGCAAGCATACGTCACAGTTATGTTAAAGTTAACTGGTGACGTCGCTGGTGATTTCGTTCCAAATGTAACATCAGGCGATGCGCAGGTGATCACTAAAAGGGAATGATTAAATGTAAGAAAGTAATGAATGTAAGAATAACGCTGTTCTAAAAAGTTTCAGGAATGAATTTAGATTCTTGGCAGATCATATTGTTGTTTAAATATCTGCATGTACATCGCTTATGAAGATGTGCAGCTTGCTTAGTAAAAGTACATTTCATATCAACGAATGTGTTCGTATGCACACAAGGCAATTAAGCGGTGCAAATGAAAAATGAAATTATGTTAAAACTATCATACAAAGTATTTTATCTTGTGAAAAAAACTTAGTGTGCAAATTGCTTCAAAGCTAAGTAAAATACGTAATAAAAAGTGATATAGAAAACAGATAAGGCGCAGCGCCACTAACATACAAATGCAAACAGGTAGCGTTCCTGAAAGGCTGCCGCTTGCTTGACAAGTCCTTGAAGCGTCGCCGCTAGATATTTCATATCCGAAATCGCATGTATACGTCACAGAAGTGCCGTAGGTGACAGTCGCTGAGGTTGGAGATTTGGTGCCAAGTGTAACAACTTCGATATTAGAGCAGTTAACGACTTTAAAGCAGTGAAAGAGAATGAAAAAGAAGAATTTTACATTTTACTGGACATAACACTTTGATAAAAGCTAAATAAAATAAATAAATATTGTATATACCAAATATTGCAAAAAATGTGTACTTAAGAAATATGTATAAAGAAAAATAGCTTGTATTTGGATCTTGAGAATAAATTGAAAGTCATTTTAATTGTAAGGTTAGCATAGAAATACAATCTTGAAAATACTGTCATACCATGCTGTCATACGTTGCAAAACAAGTAGTTGATATAATATTACTGCACAAGAAATAAACAGGTAAAATCTCAGCCAAATGGTAACAGTTCAATCATTTGACTATGCCCCTTAATGATTAATGGCAGTTAGTAGCATAACAACATGTAGAAGATTGAAAATGACATTATACTGATCTAAGTGTAATTAGTTAGTCTACACGTAGCATTGCCATAATTGTATTTAATTTTGTGTTTGACTTTCCAGATATAATCAATAAGTCACATGACTTATGGAAAATTCTCCTCATTTCAAGCAGAATGTATCTGGAAAATATAGAATAATGAAGAATTCCTAAAACACGCTCAAAACAACAAAATTGAAAATATTGTAGGCTAGGTTTGATTGAACCTGTTGGACGGTAATGGAAAGTGCAATTTACCGTCACCACCCCCTAGCACCGGTTTAAGCAGAATTCAACATTTATTGATACATGAATTGGTAAAATTTGGAACTTTTGAAACATCAACAGATGTGGTCATACAGCGGTTATCATGGAACATTCAATGTGACAAAAGTGCCATTCCATGAAAAGCGGCGTATGGTCCCCATGTTAAAGAATGCCGGTGTCCTAAACGAGAAAACAAAAGGCGGAACTAAAAAATATGGAATTTTGAAAGAGGATCAGAGGTTATGAAGGCTGCATATCACAGATACAATGTAAGACGTCAAAAGACAAATCTAAAAGCAGGCTACATATCCTACGGGTGATTAATCAGTATTCAAGTGAAGAGTGTTGGAACAACCCAACTAGATGAAAAGAGTTAGGCAGTATTTTTATATTTTAGGCAGTTTTTATAATTTGTCCTTTTCATTTTTAATTTTTGTCAATGACCATTGAAATAGTCAATCTTTTTAAATGTATTACTAATTATACTCATCATAAGAACAGGAACAAAAATATAATATTAATTTAAGATATCATTTGAAAAAGAGAATCTGGTGATTGTATAAAAGTCATTGTAAACACAATAGATGCTCATTCATAAGAAAGTCAATATGAGAGAAATACAAATAAATAACAGTTATTCTAAATGTATAACAATTGCTAAGAAATAAAGACATAGATGCCAGAGCACATGTATGCAATGACATGTTTGATGTAAATGCTTAAGAAGTATATAAGTTTTCATAAGAAATCATGTGTCATACGTAATATTGGTTTGCATACAAGTGTATCACTTTCCAGAAGACAATACTTCACAACTATTCTATTAACGTTTCGGGAATTTTATAAGAACAATAGAGGTTTGAATTATGCTTGCTAGCTTGTAGAATAAAACATACTAGAGCAGACCGGAAGTGTTCCGGAAAGAACGCTGCTCGCTTCGCAAGTCCTTACAGTATCACCGCTTGTGACCTCATATCCTGTGTCACATGTATACGTGACAGCTGTGTTGTAATTTACAAAAGCAGACGCTGGCGATTCTGTAGCAAAAGGTACGTCGCTAGAAGGACATGTCTTAACTTGAATATAAAAAAATAAGTGTGCATAACAAAACTATTTTACACATATATTTATTTTTAAAATAATGTAAGCTTGTTATCTTAAAGAATGATGTTCACAACTTCAAATATAGTGGTTTACAACATAGCCGCTTAAAATACATATTAGAATTTAATGCTTATCTAGCCTTATATCACGCTAAATCTAGCCTATAGTATAGCAATGTCGCATGCTTAGAAACTCCTTTTGTACCATTTTCAATGTCATGTAACATTACTATATGGAATCTCTGCTGAAATTTAAGTAATGATATTTAAAGCAAGTCAAAATTCCCAGTGGAGATCAGCGATTGAGGTAATAAATGTTTACACTATCATCACGGTGCAAATCCATATCGGTACCCTCTTTGCGGAATCTGCTCAAACGGTACCCTCTTTGCACATGCACAGGTCATTCTCTGCTAAAAACAAACCAGCGATGTTTAACAATCCAGTAAAATTTCATTGTAATAAGGAAAGGAGGTATGACACGTAGAAAAGATGTATACCACGGAACACTAGAATGTTTTATATATGTGCTGATTCGTCATGTGCCCGTTTTTCATGTACTGCAACTTCAGAATAAGCTACAAAAAATCGACATGTCTTGCCTCGCCCATCACCTCGACATACTTTTCGGGCTGCAATGTAGTATTTTTTACTTTTATGTTATATTACATACTTAACGATTAACGCAAATAAAAGCATATGTCGTGCCTTGAGGGTACCTATGTGTTAAAAAATGAGAGGGTACCTGTGATATAAAAATTCAAATAAAGAGAGGTAGCCTGAACCGCTGCAAAACCGAAAGTAGGGTGTTTTTATAAATTTTACATTTATTTTTGACAATATACTGCCATTTGTCCGAAGATGATATGTAAATGAACATATTAAATATGTACGATACATATATAATCAAGCCACAGGTTCATTGCAGCCCGAAAAGTATGTCGAGGTGATGGGCGAGGCAAGACATGTCGATTTTTGTAGCTTATTCTGAAGTTGCAGTACATGAAAAACGGGCACATGACGAATCAGCACATATATAAAACATTCTAGTGTTCCGTGGTATACATCTTTTCTACGTGTCATACCTCCTTTCCTTATTACAATGAAATTTTACTGGATTGTTATCCATCGCTGGTTTGTTTTTAGCAGAGAATGACCTGTGCATGTGCAAAGAGGGTACCGTTTGAGCAGATTCCGCAAAGAGGGTACCGATATGGATATGCACCGTGGTCATCGCCTGTAAGAACAGACCGGGCAGATGTCTTGCTAACATTTGCTGCAATGCATACAACATACAATTAAATACATAACGCAAGCGATAACCAAACATGTTTTCGATGTTCCACAGAGACAGAACAAACTATCAGAATTTAAATATACATGTATATTATGGTGTCTTGAAAAGACTGCACTAGATGAAAATATCATAATTATGATAAATACACAATGATTCCATATTACACGAGATGAACATCACGTGCTTTCACAAATGTAGCAAACATGCCTGAACATTTTTGTACATTTCCAATTAAAATTTGTAGCCAACATGTTGACAGGTAGTTAACGTTATTTGTATGAAGATACTGTTTTGCAAACATTCAGTATTGGTACGAACTACCCTAAAACATTGAAAAGATATACAAAACATCCATTTCCTCCGAATAGAGAAGTATATTGTTGTTTGTTTGTTTTTTGTTGTTGTTTTTTTGTTTTTGTTTTTTTACCTATAATGTGTATATTGTTCAAAACCAGAAGACAACATTTTAGCTAAAAACAACAGTAATGATAGGGTTGAAAAAATAACTACACTATTACTGACCTCCTTAATGAATAATATACTTGAGAAGACTTGAACTTTCCCAGTAAAAAATGACAACAAAATACCCGGTATGCAGTATTATAAAATACACACGGAAAGGAATTTGAGGTATGCTCCCTGTACACGACTTTTAATGGCGGGCATTTCTTTTATTTGAACCTTCAATCATTTAAATAGTGTTTGAAACGACTCTTTTGAAACACTTGTCTATATTTAAACCCTTAAATATTTGATTGTTTTAAAGTGTACAATATAATTTGTTTCCAAGTACAAATTACTTTCAAATCTCTAGACAACATTAATAGTCAACTGTCGTTGAACATAACCTACAGATGTAATATATATACTTGTTAAACATCTATACACACTAAGTAAAAATACCTGTTGATAAAGGCAGATGTAAAAATGAAGAAGTTAACAAAACATTTCACCTAAAGCTATTTGATGAAGTTTTAAGTCTAGATGTACACAAAGAAATATATCTTTGAAAATACAAAACAGATTTTTCAATCACTAAGATGCGTTCACATGGTACATGAGATTACTAAGATAAAGGAAGAAATAAGAAAACCTACTAGAGCAGACTGGAAGCGTCCCAGATAGATCGCTGCTAGTATCGCATACCCTAACTGTATCGCCGCTCGTGACCTCATATCCTGTGTCGCAAGCATACGTCACAGTTATATTAAAGTTAACTGATGACGTCGCTGGTGATTTTGTTCCAAATGTAACATCAGGCGATGCGCAGGTGATCACTAAAAGTGGATGATTAAATGTGAGAAAGTAATAAATGTTAGAATATCGCTGTCCTATCCTAAGTTACAAAACAAAAAAGTTGAAGTTTTGTCAGTTGACAAGTTGCAGTGTTGCTGATATTTATCTGTAGGCTAAATGGACACTGCAGACGGAAGCTCAAGTAAGAAAAATGCATTTTCATGCAAATAAGACATTAAAGCTCTAAAAATTTGGTAAATAGAAAAATGTGGTAAGCTATATTAAAATACTTAAAGAAATAATTCCCATGCAAATTGATTCAAGCTGAAACAAACATCAAACATAATAAATCAGAACTTATGTAGAAAACAGATTAGGCGCAGCGCCACTAACATACAAGTGCAAATAGGTAGCGTTCCTGAAAGGCTACCGCTTGCTTGACAAGTCCTTGAAGCGTCGCCGCTAGATATTTCATATCCAAAATCGCATGTATACGTCACAGAGGTGCCATAGGTGACAGTCGCCGAGGTTGGAGATTTGGTGCCAAGTGTAACAACTTCGGTATTTGAGCAGTTAACGACTTTAAATCAGTGGGGAAAAAGGAAGAACGATTATACATTTATTTATACTAGAAATAAATCGTTGATGATCGTTAATCTATAAGATAAGGCGCTATGGAATGAAATGCTTTTGCATTGGCTTGAATTTGACATAACGAAGTAACTGTTCAGACACAAAGTGATCTAAATAAAAAGACGATTTTACTAAATAAAACAAACAATGCTTGTAACCTTTAATCATGGATTCATTTACAGTGACAAGACAAAAGAAAATTTACCCAACACTTTGCAATATTTGGGTTCAATTTTTAAATTTTACAATGAAAACAATAATCAATACTCCGCTGACCAACGGAATTGTTCTATAAATATCATTCAGAGTGTATTAATAACGCACCACCCTTACAAAGAGTGGAACATTCTTTGAACAATGTAGGTAGTGTTTTATATTGTATCATAATATTTATCATTATCAGTCATTGGCCAATCACCATTTTAATGGCCATTCTTTTTATATATGAGCCGCGTCACGACAAAACCAACATAGTGGGTTTGCGACCAGCATGGATCCAGACCAGACTGCGCATCCGCGCAGTCTGATCAGGATCCATGCTGTTCGCTTTCATGTTTTCTACTTGTAATAGAGTTGATAAGCGAACAGCATGGATCCTGATCAGACTGCGCGGAGGCTCAGGCTGGTCTGGATCTATGCTTGTCGCAAACCCACTATTTTGGTTTTGTCGTGATGCGGCTCAAATATATTACTAATTCAACTCAACTTGACAGCAAGAAAATGAGCACGTCATCTATTTAAATAAAAATGAAATCGATGGTAAGTTTAAAGAAATATATTCTATCTAAAGCTAGCATAGACAAACAAATTGAGAGTATATAGGTATTGTCATGACTCGCATAGAAAGAGTGGCCATTTAAAGAGGGCGTGTGCATATGTTGACTAATCTTGGCACAAAATTGTGTAGTTTTATTTTCCTCCTTCAAACGTAATTGACAATGCCTTTTGCAGTCATATAAGTTCAATAGCTATCAAATTATATGTAGGATGAGATAACAATATTTCAGATTCGCAGATATATTGATAAATTTATGCTTGTAATAATTGAAGGATGATAAATAATAATAATAAATGTTAGTGAAAAGAATATCCTTGTCCTATATAAGCCAAAAACAATAGGTACCAAAGGTAAATTTTGACTTAAAGACTAGAAATATGCATTTCTTTTTTAAAATGTAAATACCTTTAAGTAAACAGACTTTGATTGTGTCATATATAATACGGAGCCCAGATGTCAATATTAAATGTTGCACTCGTAAAGCTGACCAAATCAAATAAAATGCGTATTTTCAGTTTCTGTATTTTCTGTGTAAATAATGATTTTTCATTGCAAACATATTTTCCGTATTTGCAATGGTGTCTACTACTTTCTTCTAAATTCAGCCAATGCACATAATTTAAGGGTCATTCTTTCAAATAATAATGTCAAAAAAAGAGGAAAATGCATATGATAAACACACATTTAAAGTGTGTGTTTTTTTTTAAATAAATATTGGATCTATTTTCACATAATTGTATAAAAATTATCATATTTCACACGTGGCTACTGCCGCTCATTAAATATCTGTTTGCATACCACTCAATAAAAAATCCTCTATATTGAAAAATTGCGCATATCACATTATTCTTAAGATAATAACGCAAAAAGCAATAAGTTGTATACTTGAACAGACTGGAAGTGTCCCGGAAAGAACGCCGCTAGCTTGGCAAGTCCTTGAAGCATCGCCGCTTGTCAGTTCATAGCCGGTAATACATGTGTAAGTCACTATTGTGTTGTAAACTACCGTCGAGTTTGCAGGGGCTTCTGTAGCAAATGCTGCGTCGCTTGATGCGCAGGTGACAACTTAATATTTAATTAATATTCAATTATTAATTATTGCTTGCAAGCAGCAATTTGAAATGAACATAAAGATGAGAAAGAAACTTAAAATGAGACATTTAATTGTGAAAATTAATAAATGTATAAGCATCCATTATTAAAAATATTCGAGATTGCCGTTTCATTTGTTTCTTTTATTTATTAACCCTTCCTTAAATATATGAAAAGGACTTGCCCATCTTCAAATTTGGATGATTTAGAGAATATTTCAAAATATTTACTTAGTAAATAGCGAAAATTGTAAACCATGATTAGACGGCATGGGTTTGCCAGTTGATCTTGTCTATACTGGCCGCATTGATAGATTCAAACACTTTGCAGGATTATTGGAAACGGAATTAACCCACTTCCGCGCTAGAGCAGTACCTCTAAATACTTTGACATAAAACATTACCACAAAATAGACAGATAACGCTTTTTTGGCTTTTCATGGACGTAAACAATTTGATGTGAGGAGATAATTACCCTCTTTAATGTGCATTTCTGCGGGTAAAAAGGCGAGATTTTAGCATTTAATAATTTTAACGCATTGTCCAGTTTTTACAGGAATACGGTATTTGCCCAAACACTTCTTTAAGTCTCAATCAGTAGTAATGCCATGTCCTTCATTATGTGTATACAGTAATGTTATAAAACGGTATTTCATTATTTTCATTAATTTAATTCATCTGTCTTGTTTCTAAATCATTGGAAAATGATGACAGCAAATAAAAACAAGTTATACCTGAACATTTTAAAAGATACACTTTTATTTGACTGTCGGAATCGCAAATTCCTTGTCCAATATTTAAAACACATTACCATTGCAAGCTAGAAGCAGTGATGCCAGTATCATAAATATTAATTTTGTAAGCCTTGTTCTTTCAATAATGTATAAAGCTTCATACTTAATCATCGCAAATAAAACATGTTTAACGTTCTATGGCCTCAAAATGAACGTAGGAATTTCAAAAATAGAATTTGTACAATGAAGAATGCATAAATATTTGCAATCTATTTAGAATGTTGAACATGTAACATGCATAATCTTTGGCAGATTAAATACTTTTATAACATCTATAATCAAGGGCATAATAAAAATTAATGATATTTAGAGGAACGCATAAAGCAATAAGTTGTATACTTGAGCAGACAGGAAGTGTTCCTGAAAGAACACCGCTAGCTTGGCAAGTCCTTGAAGCATCGCCGTTTGTTAGTTCATAGCCAGTAATACATGTGTAAGTCACTATTGTGTTGTAAACTACCGTCAAATTTGCAGGGGTTTCTGTAGCAAATGCTACGTCACTTGATGCGCAGGTGACAACTTACTATTTAATAATTCAATTATTAGTTATTGCATGCAAGCATCAATTTGAAATGAACATAAAGATGAGAAAAGAAACTTAACACGAGACATATAATTGTGAAAATCAATAATGTATAAGCATCCATTATCAAAAATATTCGAGATTTCCGTTTCAATTTTTTTTCTTTTATTTATTAACCCTTCCTTAAATAACTTAGGACTTGTCCATCTTCAAATTTGGATGTAATCATTCATCAATTAGGGAAAATTTCAAAATATTTACTTAGTGAATAGCGAACATTGTAAACCATGATTAGACGGCATGGGTTTGTCAGTTGATTTTGTCTATCCTGGCCGCATTGATAGATTCAAACACTTTGCAGGATTATTGGTAACGGAATTAACCCACTTCCGCGCTAGAGCAGTACCTCTAAATGCTTTGACATAAAACATTACCACAAAATAGACCAAGTCGCTTTTTCGGCGATTTCATGGACGTATAGAATTCGATGTGAGGAGGTAATAGGATTCTTAATGTGCATTTCGGCAGATAAAAAGGCAAGAGTTTAGCATTTAATAATTCTAACGCTTTGTCCAGTTTATACCGGAATACTGTATTTGCCAAAACACTTCTTTAAGTTTCAATCAGTAGTAATTGCCATGTCATTCATTATGTGTAATGTTATAAAACGGTTATATGGCCTCAAAATGAACGTAGGAATTTTAAAATAGAACTTGTACAATGAAGAATGCAAAAATACTGCAATCTATTTAGAATACTGTATATTGAACATGCATAAACTTGGGCAGATTTAATACTTTTATAACATCTATAATCCAGGGCATTATAAAAAAATAAATGATATTTAGATGAACGCATAAAGCAATAAGTTGTATACTTGAGCAGACTGGAAGTGTCCCTGAAAGAACGCCGCTAGCTTGGCAAGTCCTTGAAGCATCGCCGCTTGTCAGTTCATAGCCGGTAATACATGTGTAAGTCACTATTGTGTTGTAATCTACCGTCGAATTTGCAGGGGTTTCTGTAGCAAATGCTGCGTCGCTTGATGCGCAGGTAATAACTTAATATTTAATAATTAAATTATTAATTATTGCTTGCAAGCAGCAATTTGAAATGAAAATAAAGATGAGAAAGGAAACTTAAAATGAGACATTTCATTGTGAAAATCAATAAGGTATAAGCATCACTTATTTAAAATATTCGAGATTGCTGTTTCATTGTGTTTTTTTTATTTAATTAACCCATCCTGAAATATCTGAAAAGGACTTGTCCATCTTCAAATCTTCAAATTTTGATGTAATCATTCATCAATGTAGAGAAAATTTCAAAATATTTACTTAGTGAATAGGGAACATTGTAAACCATGGTCAGACGGCATGGGTTTGTCAGTTGTTCTTGTCTACACTGGTCGCATTGATAGATTCAAACACTGTCAGCAGGGTAAGTGGCAATGGAATTAACCCACTACCGTATTAGAGCAGAACCTTTAGATGCTTTGACCCACAAAATAGACAAATATCGTTTTTTCCGGCTATTTCACGATCGTATAGAATTCGATGTGAGGAGATAATTAGCCTCTTAATGTGCATTTCGGTGTGTAAAAATGCATAATTTTAGCATTTTATAATTTTAACGCCTTGTCCAGTTTATACCGAATACTGTATTTGCCCAAACACTTCTTTATGTCTCGCTCAGTGGTAATTGCCATATCATTCATTATGTGCAATGTTATAAAACAGTATTTCATTAGTTTCATTAATTTAATTCAAGTCTTGTTTCTAAATCATTGGCAAATGATGACAGCAAATAAAAACATGTTAAACCTGAACATTTTAACAGAAAGACTTTTATGTGACTGTCGGAATCGCAAATTCCTTGGCCAATATTTAAAAGTTAAATAAAACACATTACCATTGCAAGCTAGAAGCAGTGATGCCAGTATCATAAATATTAATTTTGTAAGCCTTGTTCTTTCAATAATGTTTAAAGCTTCATACTTAATCATCGCAAATAAAACATGTTTAATGTTCTATGGCCTCAAAATGATCGTAGGAATTTCCAAAATAGAACTTGTACAATGAAGAATGCATAGATATTTCGGTCTTTGTAGAATGCTGTATATTGAACAGCATAAATTTGGGAAGATCTATTACTTTTAAACATCTATAATCTAGGGAATAATAAAAAAAGATATCAAGATGGACGCAAAAAGCAATAAGTTGTATACTTGAGCAGACTGGAAGTGTCCCTGAAAGAACACCGCTAGCTTGGCAAGTCCTTGAAGCATCGCCGTTTGTCAGTTCATAGCCAGTAATACATGTGTAAGTCACTATTGTGTTGTAAACTACCGTCAAGTTTGCAGGGGTTTCTGTAGCAAATGCTGCGTCGCTTGATGCGCAGGTGACAACTTTATACAAATGTATTAAATAATTCAATCATTAATTATTGCTTGCAAGCAGCAATTTGAAATGAACATAAAGATGAGAAAGAAAACTTAAAATGAGACATTTAATTGTGAAAATCAATAATGTATAATTATCAAAAATATTCGAGATTGCTGTTTCGTTTTTTCGTTTATTTATTAACCCTTCCTTAAATAACTAAGGACTTGTCCATCTCCAAATTTGGATGTTATCATTCATCAATTTAGAGAAAATTTCAAAATATTTACTTAGTGAAAAGCGAACAGTGTAAACCATGGCCAGACGGCATGGGTTTGTCAGTTGTTCTTGTCTACACTGGTCGCATTGATAGATTCAAACACTGTCAGCAGGGTAAGTAGCAATGGAATTAACCCACTACCGAGTTAGAGCAGAACCTCTAGATGCGTTGACATAAAACATTAGCACAAAATAGACAAATATCGCTTTTTTTGGCGATTTCATGACTGTATAGAATTCGATGCGAGGAGATAATTAGCCTCCTTAATGTGCATTTCGGTGCGTAAAAAGGCGAAATTCTAGCATTTGATAATTTTGACGCCTTGTCCAGTTTTTACCGGAATACTGTATTTGCCGAAACACTTTTAAGTCTCACTTAGTAGTTAATGCCATGTCATTCATTATGTGTAATGTTATAAAACAATATTTCATTAGTTTCATTAATTAAATTCAATGTCTTGTTTCTAAATCATTGGAAAATGATGACAGCAAATAAAGTCAAGTTATACCTGAACATTTAACTGATAAACTTTTTATTTGACTGTCGGGATCGCAAATACCTTGTCCAATATTTAAAACACATTACCATTGCAAGCTAGAAGCAGTGATGCCAGTATCATAAATATTAATTTTGTAAGCCTTGCTCTTTCAATAATGTATAAACCTTTATACTTAATCATCGCAAATAAAACATGTTTAACGTTCTATCGCCTCAAAATGAACGAAGGCATTTCAAAAATAGAACTTGTACAATGAAGAATGCAAAAATACTGCAATCTATTTAGAATCATGCCTAACCTTGGGCAGATATAATACTTTTATAATATCTATAATCAAGGGCAAAATTAAAATAAATGATATTAAGATGGACGCCAAAAGCAATAAGTTGTATACTTGAGCAGACAGCAAGTGTCCCTGAAAGAACGCCGCTAGCTTGGCAAGTCCTTGAAGCATCGCCGCTTGTCAGTTCATAACCGGTCATACATGTGTAAGTCACTATTGTGTTGTAATCTACCGTCGAATTTGCAGGGGTTTCTGTAGCAAATGCTACGTCGCTTGATGCGCAGGTGACAACTTCATGGCAATAATAAAAGTAACATTTTGAAAATAAACTTTGATACAGTTTGCTTAAGAAATCAAGAAAAAAATATGAAAAGCTGCCTAATACATACATGTTAAACGGCGATATACAAATATACTGTCTTTTAAACTGTTCAATTTGTGCCATTATACCATTTTATAGAAGTAAAATGTTGAAAAACATGCAATACGGATATTGACTCTAACGAAATACAAGTACAACTAATAAATATTAATGTATAAAGCTTAAATCTCCAATGCTAAATTGAAGCTATTAAAATTAAAGTTCTGTATTGTTCACTACAATTATATTGATTCAATGTAAAACCTGATTCGCAATCGAACATCGTTATTGTCAGAATGTAACAAAATATTGAATATCACTAAATAATAAAAATTACAAGGTTTTGTTTAAGTATCGAACGCGAATTTTTCTGTTGATTATGTATCAATAATTAAAGATACGCCGTATATAAAATTAACTCTGAAATAAACTCTGAAATAGAAAATGATCGATGGCTAACCACCGATAACACTGCGGTGTTTCGCTTCATTTGTAAAAAAAAGTACATTATTTCTCTTCGTTAATTTAGTATGTACGCGCAAATGTGCATTTTCTTATTATATTCACTAATATAATTGCACACATTATTATGATTGTTTATGCATATATTTTTCATAATTGGTTACTATATCAATATATGTTGTTTTTATTATTTAACATTTATTTCGATAAATCTAAGTATTGTATTAATTAAAAGCTTAGGTGTTAGATGTGTGCATCTGAATTCATTTCAACATTGGCCATATATCATAAATGTACTAGTTCGTCTGTCAAGGTAGATAAAATAATTTCTCATTTTTAGATAATTTTTGAAATATTCAACAGAAAACAGTACAGCTTAAGATCAGACAGCTCTTATGTGCCGACTGATCTTGGCCTGCACTGATCCCATTGTAAGAATTTATTTCTGACACGAGGTTAAGTGTTATTAATGTTGTTATATGGTAAACAATGTTTAAGATAAATAAAATGTTACATATTATTTGAAATGATTGGCACGTTTACTCACCTGTGCAAGTTGGTAGCGTTTCAATCCATGTTCCGTTAGAATCGCACGTCAGATTAAGACTACCGGAAGTGAGCTCATATCCTATGTTACACTCAAATGATACAATTTCATCGCTGTTGAACGAAGCTTGATTGGGTAGATAAGTCGAGTCCGGAATATTGGGTGCTGTACAAGGTACTGAAAAGCAAATTAGCCGCGTCACGACAAACCAACATTATGGGTTTGTGACCAGCATGGATCAAGACCAGCCTGCGCATCCGCGCACTCTAATCAGGTTCCATGCTGTTCGCTTACAAACCCTAAAATAAGTAGAGAAACTGACAGCAAACAGTACGGATCCTGATCAGACTGCGCGGATGCACAGGCTGGTCTGGATCCATGCTGGTCGCAAACCCATTATGTTGGTTTTGTCATGACACGGCTTTATTATAATACAGTAATTATTTAATTTTAATATATTTGTATTTATTTGCCATTATCTGCAGAATTATCACTTTAATAAGCTACTTATATTCAAGAATTGGCAAGTAGTAGTAATGCTGATGTAATATTTCGGTCGTATTTACTTTTTAGGGCTTCATGATGTAAAAGTAATCATGGAAACTACTTTTTTGAAATTGTCTTTTAAAGACGAATGCATCCGTGTAAGTATTCATCAATAATAGCATGAATCACGCTTTAATGCCACGTTTGGTATGTCATGTTTTTTTGCTATTGTTGTTTGGGTTTTTTTCTTCTTCGTTTTATATCAATTAAATGCTATCAATAAATTTCAGACATTTCCACGATTTAGAAATTGTATCTTGGTATAAAATTGCTCATTAAAGATAACATTCAGACTAAATATGGTAAATACTGCGATATTACTATAAACAGTCATCATAATATGATCAAACTTTTTGAAACTGAAATGCAGTTTTTAGTCTACAAAATAAAGGAAATATGTTTCGTTATGTCAAAAATATCTAGAAGAAACTCCGTTCCAAAGACAATTCAAAGAGTATCATAACTTTATATACCCTTTAACAAAATCGTATTAAATATGGCGCGGTAACACAATTTCAGAAAATTGCATAAATTTTGCCCCTTTATTTAAGGAAAATACATTGACACACAGGAAACTTGTCGTTAAAAAGCATATAAAACTCTGTTTCATGACAGCAAAACGCCAAGTCATACCCATTCATTATAGATTGAGACAAATCAATACTAAATTAAACAAATATGTCAATGATACTTTTTCCAGGTACAGATTTCTATAAAATCATTGTATCCGGTGAAAAAGCTTATGTCCAAAAACAGCCTTCTCCGTTACATTAATTGGCATTTATATTGTACTACCTTAAACCCGGAAAAACAAGGTGAATATATTTAAAACAAAGCTCGGACAGGGATAAATACCCTCCAAAAATAGAAAACTATTAATTATAAGTTTACAGTAAAAATAAACATTTTCAAGTTGCTTCATTCTTCACTTGTTCATGTCAGTGATTTACATTTTTCTGGTCGGTTGGTGTTATTAAGTCTATACATTTTGTACAATTGTCGTATATCGTATACCAGTCGAGTCTGTTAAAGCATTACGGTTATACCTTTCGTATATGACATTCAAATATCACAGGTTACAATCATCTTAATATGGAAAAGCCATTTGTAATCCCCGGTGAATAGCGGGTACTTTTACGTTAAGGTTTTAAATCCCGCCCTGCAGGACCATCGATTCGAAGGTTTGACGACAGTTTTTGAGACCAAACAAAATAACTACATTGTCCAGGCAATGTGGAGAGAGACGGAAGGTATCCCTGGCCCTGGCGGGGGGGGGGGGGGTACAAGAGTAAAAATTGACCAGTGCATTATAAAGAAAATATCTCTCACCTGGCGGTGGGGTTGTTACGCTATAGCTCAGTGTTACTTGAAGAATAACCAAAACTGAAAATATAGAAATACACATTATTGAAAGTTTCACAGGCTTTATTTGAGTCGTCCACATAGACAAAATAAATTCCCAATAGCTGATCCCCTTTTTGCCTATACTAAATAAAACTTTACCTAAATATTGTCTCCTGAGACACTTTACATATAAGAGAGTTGTCTCAAAAGTTACCATAAATGTCCATTACAAAACATACAATACTTGTTTTAAGAAAGATAATGTATTTATTTTCAAGCATACGGCAAATTTTATAGAAAATATTTCATTATTACTTATATTTTAATTTCTCTTTAAAAAAAACTTATTTTGTGACCTGTTTAATTAAAAGATCATGACCATTACTAAAGCAGTTTCATCTGTCACTTTAATCGTATGATATACTGTTTTCTTTTTTTTGTTTTTTTTTCATGTTTTTTTTTTTTTTTTTTTTTCTTCATTAAAGAATGGTTAAACACTTGCTTGATTGAAAGAAGCCCTAGCACCGGCATTAATATAGGACATAACGCAGTTTGGCTATCAGAATATTGTTACTAAATTCACATGTGTATTTTGTCAATTATCTTGATACACTCACAATATGTATGTATACATAAATAAAGTCATTAAAATTTGTTTGATTATTATACTACATTTGTGAAATTTTGTATAACTTTCAATTAAATCTCGAGATATAATATATGCTATGTTTTTATGGATTCTAGTGCATATATTTTGTTCCTTTCGTGTCTGACACCGATAACTTCATGCATGCATGGAATTAGCATAAATCTTCGTTTACAAAAGTTAGGCATACCTGGTAAGGTGAAAAGAGCAATTTCAAATGTAATGATTTACAGGAATGAAGACTAACTATTGATAGCTATTAGCAACGTCGTCACGTAAAGGTATTTCGTTAATACATTAAAACATGCTACACTCTTATTTTAAGCATAACCTTCTAAGTAAATATTTGGAAATACTCTGGCACATCCTATTCAATATGACATGGTCAGAAAATTCCTGGTGTTCATTTCAATATCGTTCTGGGCAAACATGTAGACAGTGTAAAGTTTAATTTTGAAATATTAATCAATTGTTTCAGGTCAAGTTTTTAGTGTTTGTAAATAGATATATTCATTCGTTTAAATCACAGGTCTAGAATAAACATTTTTAAAGTACAGATAATGACTTAGTACATAAAGTTTACTTAATCATAATTCCAGGTGCAAGTTACCTTCAATTAACCTTGCCATTTTGCAAATAAAGTAAACTCCGCTTAAAACGATATTCAGGGGACCGCCGGATTTACATCGTGATATCGAGCCATCGTTATAACCGACATGCAAACAATTTCAATATAAGTGTCGGGACCACAAAAAACAGCATCGTTTACGAGGGATATAGTTAAAAATGGTGTTTACTGAAGATGAAACTCATGAAGTGTTCAACCTATATGTTCATATTGACAATTTTCTAAAAAATGGTATTTTACTCCCTACAATAAGTTCAAGAAATGGCAAAAGCTCTTTGCATTTGGGGAAATGTTTTAAATAAAAGTTAAAACAAAATGCTCAGAACTGAACTTAATTCTGAAATTGTTAAATAAACAGCAATTTTACCAACTTCGGGAATTTTCTATAGCATTTGTTAAAAAAAATTGCAAGAAATTAATAAGACTTTAGCAATTGATCATTAGGAATCAATGTAGATCGAGTAGAAAATATTTAAAATAAAAAATGTTTGAATTATTCTTTCTAAAACAACGTAATCTTCTTCCAAAATTTAGACGACAATTACTTGAATCACATTAAAAGCTTTTAACTTGTTATCATTCATGTTTTTATAGCAGTGTGTTTTATAATTACATACTAATTCATCAATCAAGAACGATAAAGTAGGTAAATTCTTCTAGACATATTTCGGCGTTGAATTTTACAAATTTTACTATTCTTTATTCACCGTCCTATCATTTTAAATAATTAATGAAGAATTTTGCGCCTTATTTAAATTTTAAAAGGTACATTAAACTCCTCTCATGGACGGCATCGCTTATATCAATAAACCCGGCTTTATCTCGATGAATGCTCTTTTCGAGGTCCCGGACTCTTGTTTAAATTGTTCAGCCTTTCTGATATACGCCAATATCCCGGATATTAGATAGTAAATTCGACGGTTTCCCTGAATATCGTATTAAGCGAATGGTATCTGAAAATACGGCGAACTCCAAGCTTTTACTGGACATATAAAATGCAGATGCTGTTTGAGGACTCAAAATAAAATTCAGAAGCGGTTTAACATAAATTAAAAAAAAGGCCCTTCCTAAACTTGACAGCCTGCATGTATGGAAGAAAGCCAATGGTTCCTGTCGTCTAGACGCGTTAAGGCGGCCGGTGGTGGTTGTCCGAACTATCTTGACCACTGTCACGGCACAGATTTAAAGGAGTTATTCGCCTTATCAAAATTTGTCTTGTACTCTTTGTATATCAGTTTCAAATAGTTTTCTTTTTGTTAAAAAGTGTGATTTAAATTAAACAATTTACAAATAGTTAGAGCTCTTAAGAGGTACAGAAAACGACAAAATAAATCATTTGAATTTATTATATTATATCAACTGGCGCATTTAAAACGGAAAAAATATGCAGACGATAGTAGAGAAATATACCCAGGTCATATTTGCCTGCGATTTTAGCCCACTTTGTGTTAAAGGGATTTAAACGCTTTTCATTTTGAGGTCATTTTTCACTATTTAAATTATTATTCAGGAATAACGGACTGAGCGAATGATCTGACATTTTGTATAATGATACAGACCTGTATCAAACAGCAAAGAAAAAAAATACAGTAAATCATATTAAAAAATATCCTCATTGAAGTCTCTTTAATGTAAAAATACAGGAAAAAATAATAAAACACCAAAATCTTGTTAAAAAAACTTTTAAGGATCTTCCCAAAGATTTGTCCAGGAAAGGCTTTGCAAAAACTATAATTTCCTAAAATAATAAACATTTTTCCCTTTCGTCCCCCCTTTTAACTCCTTCCTTTTTAAATGGAAAATGATCCCCCGGTTAATCAAAATTTAAACCCCAAATTTAAATTTAACATTTTTTCCTGTAATTAATAAAGGGAACTTTTAAATCCGTTTTGTTTTAAAAGAATTTGCATAAAAAATTCCCTGAAAACGAGGGTCAAATGATCACTCCATTACGCTCTTTTAAATTATTTATTTTTCTTTTTGGAAAACTTAAAATCGGGCTTGTCTTAATATCCCCAACACCCCAAACAATGTCGTTTTTGCCGGGCCCTTCTGTTTTAAAACCCGCTCGCATTATTTGTCCATTTTGTATTGAAATATTGACAAATTACAAGTGGTATCTATAGACAAAAACGTAAGTAAACATTATCGGAGGTTTTCCATTTAAAATATATGAATTGTATTAATGAAAGAGAAGAGCGACATGGCAGCATGCGCTGCTGTCAGAAGCATTGATCCCGCTAGTATTGAAATGAACGCATTTTTAAATTTAATAATGGTCATACCTTGGGTTTGTTTTCTGAACTCGATCGGTTTCTGTTTGTAACCATACCCATGGGGCTAAGCGAGCTAATTACAGAAGGTGTGATGTTTTTTAATGTTTCTCTTGAATTATTAAATTGTAATTAACAAAGTTAGTGATGTCGAAAGGGCTGTCAATGATATGCTACGTGCGTTCGGCAATGTTCTGTAAGTCCCTCTTTAGTTAGAAAAATCAATAAAAAAAAGCCCATTTTTATTTGGTAATTTCCCAAATTTTTTTTTAGAAATTTGGGAAAATAAATTTTTCATATGTGGCGGAAAAGGGGTTTTTTTAAATGTTGAAAATAGGGAAAATGATTATCAGTTTTTCTCAAATATTTCTTTTATTAAAACTACATAAAATAATAAACATGTTTTAAACTATTGACCTTTTAAACTTATAGGTACTAATATTGTAAAAATGCCCCTGTGATTCCCCCCCATGGCTAAAATTCCCTTTGGGAAGTTTTTCCTAACCACACAAAAAAATAAAAATTTTTTTAATTTCAAAAATAACGGTTAATGGGGTATTTAAAAAAAAAAGGAAACGAACGGGTTTGAACAGTTTTTAACCTTGACAGTTTCTATAACTTTAAAAGGGGTATAAAACTAAAAGAAAAAAATAAAGAATCAAGGAAAACCCTTATTACCACTTTCTTCCCACAATTCAAAACAGATATCAAAATCATAAATTTGAATGTCTTTGTAATCGGGGGTCGTTTTTGGTGTCGCAATGCTTTCCCTTTAATGTAAAACAAACGGGGTTTTCTTTATTGTGTTAAAAAACTCTTCAAACCCTTTCGTTTACTACTGGAAGGGGGTACTGATTTTGGGGGATTTATTTCACCAAATTTTTAAAAACAAAAATCTTTACGGTACCATTACATTAAACAGTGAATTGTTTTGGAAAAGATGACCAAAACCCTAAAAAAACTGATTTTCCCCGGGAAAAGGGTTTCGGTATTGGGGTTTTGGGTTTGCTTTCGGTATTGTTTTCATTACGAAATTTTTTTCCCTAATTTTAAACCTGGGGCATTTTTAAAAAATTTTTTAAAAATTAAAAAAACATGCAACATAAAATTTTATAAATTTAATTTAAAAGGGAAAAATGAACCAAAAATATTCTATGTAAAAATAAGTTTTTTTCCAAAAAAATAAAAGAAATGGGTTTTTGTTAAAACCCCCCGTAAAAATCCGTAACCGGAAAAACCCAGAAAGCGCGCCCCCTTGGTTTGAAAAATTAGATTGCTTAATACTTTTGTTTTTAAAATAGAGAATTATGGAACAATTCAGCCGGCCACCAGATCGATAAATATCCATAAAAAACCTCCAAAACCTTTTTTTTAAACCCTTTAATGACTGTATCTTTCTAAAACTCTCATAAATAAAACAAAATATCCTCCCGTAAAATCCCCAAATTAAAATTCGGGGGGAATTTAAAAGGTTTAAATTTCCCGGAAAAAACAAAAATTGCAATAAAACAAATTTTTCTTTATTTGTTTTAATTTTTTTTCCCAAAAAAATTTTTCATATTTTTTAAATTTAATTGCTTTTTGGGGTACTTTGGGGTTTTAAAACGTCTTTAAATTTTTACGAAAAATGCATCAAATTGGGTTAAATTTAAATTTTAAAAAATTGCAATATTATTTCCCTTTTAAAATGAAAATATTTCCCGGGGCCTTTTTTAAACACTTTTTATTTTCCGGGTTTGAAACTAAATAAAATTAATAACAATAATAAAAAAAACTTTTTAAAACATCTGCAAAATGTCCCGGATAAAAATTTAAAACCATCTTTTAAAACCGAAACCCTTTTTTGGCCTAAAAATTTTTAACCCATTCAAACCATTTGCCGACCAAAAATAAAAATCCCTTTTAGGCCCATGATCTGATATTTTTAAAAAAATCCCTGGAATTATGAATGTTTTCAACGGATTGAAAAATGGACAAGTCCATATCAGATATTTAGAATGTTAAAGGTTGAAATATCTCTTAATATATTTTAATATCATATTCAACATTTATCACCTTATAATACTTTATTTGGATGACTGCACATTCTGATCGACACATAGATTATATTTTATTTTTGTTTCTTGCTTAGTTTCCACTATTATGATAAAACTTCAAACTTTAGAAATACGATGATGTAATTAAAGGGAGACACAGGCAAATTTTCATATTTTTCGTTTTAAATTTTTCATTCATTATTCTGTAAATGTCCTCAAAATGAATACACTAGGCAGTCACAGGAACAAAATTTAATCTTTTCTCATTATAAATATTAAATGATGGTTTTTCTAACCTAACCCACGTGGGTCAGGTAAGAGCATTAAGATTTTACAATAGTTGGCACAGTAAACTTTGGAAACGTTAAAGAAATGAATGACTTAGATTTGTTTTAATCAAACAATATACACAATATCTGTTATTGTAATTTCCATGTTTTGTTTAAGTCACATAACTTGTTTTAAAACTACCCGGTGATTCTGTCGGCTTCTAAATTTCATTCAACATACGAGCTCGTATATAGATATATTTACGCTTCAAACCCAAAATATATAGAATTTAATACAGAAATTCATTCTGGGCTTTTAAAATATGTCATTTTAGCGTGATTTGAGTTCATAAGATCATTTTATATTTTTGTCATTAATTTGCCTGAATATCCCTTTAAAATCCTGACAATTAACATCCATTATAAAACAAATATATAGTGATATTTAGAATGATCATATCTGTGTAATTTATTTTTAACCTTCAACTTTCATGTGTATAATTCTAATTTCGGCCTTTGTCGGTGCTTTGGGAATCGCATGGTTTCTCGCAATCACCATTGTGGTCCTTAAACCGGTCCAATCATTTCTAGTCAGCAACATTTTCAATTTGACTATGATCTTCAAATGACATTCAATGTTTTCACTTTTCAGTATATTAAATTTGTGTCCCAGCATCTAAATATCTTTCAATATTATTAGTCAGTATTTAACCGCATATATTGATGAAAATTGATTGTTTATTCAACACACAAATTATTCTTTAAACAAATTCTATCATTTACGATTATGACACCTGATTTAAGTGCACCAGCTATCTACGATTTACAGCAGAAACCCTTCGCCCATGAAAAATTAAGAAATGGCAGCAGACACATTTATATTGATAAGCTATTTATTAATCAGTTTAACATTTTATTTGTATCTGCTTGAAAGCTCTCCGGAAATTATTTTCACTGTTCAAACGCCATAGATTTGCCGACGTAAAATCCGCTTTGAAGTTCGATAGAGGATGAATTGTGCAAAATAAGCGTGCATTTATAACGACTGGTAATTTATAGATTTCTGTAGATTCTTTAGTAATATACTAGTATTGACGTTAATATAACCATCGGATTTATCAGTTTAACATTGATTTTATACAAGTTTGTTTGAACGTTTTGAATCTCTTCGGTGATTGTTTCCTGTGTAAATGACCAGGACTTGCTTCTTATAATTAGAGCTTATGGGCGAAGTGGTCCCGTTATAAAAATGGTGATTTTGAACTAAAGCAAAGAGCTGCCGTTGTTAAATAAACGGTAACATAAGGCTTAAAACGTGGATGATTAAACTTTATCTATGATTATAAAGTATCAGTTAATGTTAACTCTTACAATATAACATATCGGTTATAGTTCAAATGAACTAATCTTAAAAAATAAGTTAATGTTGGCAATCGTGAAATAAACAAGAGCTGTCGGTAGGTCAGCAATGCACGACTATTCATAGTGCTTGATAGTAAAATAGCCTAAATGATAATGTAAAATTTTCTAAGTTAACAAAAGGGCAAATTTTTTCTTTAAATCCATGTTACAATTATAGAGAGTCCTATTATGCTCTCAAAGAAGAGTATACAATTTCAACTTGTTTCAAAGCCAGATGTCAATAGAATATGAAAATATCTGAGGTGGTATGCAGACTTAAATATAAGATCTTAGTTGAAAAAGGGGCATAATTCTGTCAAATGCTTCACAGAGTTACCTCCTCCTGTTGACTTTGAAAATATTTGGGGTATTACAAAAACTTTAACGTAAATTCTAAGTCAAAAAGGGGGATAATTCTGTCAAAATGCTTTATATAGTTACCTACTCTTTGTCACAAAGTGAAAGTACATTTGTAAAATATTGCATTATATTTTCACGCCGAACCTCATTTTTACTCTATATTCATTGATGTGAGATTGCATCATCTTTTGTTCAATTTAGAGTTTTCGGGTGAAATTATTATTTAGAGTATTTTTATGGTTTGCATAAATTTCCATGTCTTAATTTAAACATTTTGCCGTTTATTTCACAAAAATCCTTTCAGTAATAAGAAAGTTACATTTTTGTTTTATGAACCAGATATATGTATTATGTCTGTATTTGAAGGACGGGCCTTTATTTCACATTACTATTTTTCCCGCCGTCCCAGCTTTATTTCGTGCAAATCGATTTTTCATGTTTTGCACGATCTGTTTTCCCGCTCAGTACTCAGTAGTTTGCTATATATTGACTAAATTTTAAGTGACATATTGCAATGCACTGGACGTTATACAGGTCACTATGACGGTGACAGACAAATTATATTTGTCATAAAATTACAGCTTGTACAAGGTAAATTTAATTTTCTAGTGATTTTGTTTCATAAATTTTTGCTATTTCGTAAAATACTATTTTCTATTAGAATTATAGTTTATTTGATTCAGGTTTAGTTATTTGGCAGTAATTTATTGTTTTCTGAATTTTCTAAATTTTTGCAGATTAAATTTTAAAAGCTCTTTTTATTCTAGTGTTTCGCTATTGCAAATTTATACCGAGACATGTTAATTGATGTATGTTAATTGAAGTTTTGATTATATTGTAATTGTATAGGAGCCATGAATATTTTATAGATATATATATATATATTATCATAAATAATTTATTATGGTTCTACCGTATTTGTGTAACTTTATGTAAAATGCTGCAGTATCGTAATGATTTGTTTCAATCAATTTAATTTACGTTATCATCTTACTTCATTTCATTTATCATCAGTTTTTGTTATAAGTAAATACAACGTATCAAAACTAACGTATCTCTAGAGAAGGATCTTCAGTGGCATGATTTTGGAAGACGTTTATTTATTGGTGGTTATTATGTGGCGTATATTTGAATATATTTGCAACGCAGTATTATGCGGATGTGATTGAATTTTTGTTCCACGGAATGTATGGTGTACTATAGTGGACATTTTGTTTATTCAAAGAAGCACGTTATTTTATTGGAAACCGACAAAGGTCGAGTCTTTTCCAAGGGACTTTATATTTACCCTTATGTTTGATTATCATGGAACTTATCATGTTTTATACTTTGTAGCTTCTTATTTGAGGACACACCCGAAGATGACACGGGCCCTCCACACGTATGTCCATGGCTAAAGGGTGACGCATGCCCTTGTTCAGGATCCTATCAACTGTGCCAACACTGTAGGAAGTACAGTTACGCTTGATAAGATTTTATACAAGACGCCCGCCATTGAGACGAATTTTGTTTAACAACGCCACCACTTTATAGAAACATGACAGAAACTGTATGGGAGAAATAGACTGAGATACGTTGATAGTGTTTGTTTGTGCAGTGACTTATCATAGTAGTTTATCATATACAATCATTTTTCATTTATAAATATTCATTTCTGTAAATAAATTTGTATATATTTTTCTGTTCTGAGTTGTTGGTTGTTTTAGATAGCAATTGTGGTCGGCCTGGTATCCCATCGTAGTCCCTATTGTGACATTTGGTGACCTCGACGTGATTGGATACCGGTTGACTATAGTTGTTATCTGAAACAAACCACACTCACTTTACTGCAGCTAGGTTATATAGCTAACACTAGAAACTTTGGTTTTATTTTAAGTAAAAGTTTTATTTACAATTAAAAGTTAAATTTAGTTTACTTAAAGGTAGTTAAATTTTGTATCATTTTTAATTATTAATTCTTTTTATATTTAGTGTGATTATAATTTCTTAACATTTTCAGATTGATACCGTGACAAATGAAACGGACTTGTGTGTGTGACAGCTATCCAGCTGAGAGGTTATAACAGCCACACAGACCCGACAGTGGACGTTTGGACGTTTAGGGTGAGTTCGTTCCATTTTCCTCCTTTTAGGTGTCACTTTATGATGAGACCACCAGTTTTGTAATCTGAAAGTGACCTTTCGGTAAAACACCGGAAGTACATATATACACACATACACTCTGCAATTTAAGGTACTACCCGCCTTGTGTACTTTTTCTAGATAAAGAAACTGTGTCTGTTATCTAGGTGAACATTTAATTTATTGTGTCATTTACAATTTTACTTTGTGTTTACTTTGTGTCTGTAGTATATTGAAACTGGCCATATGCCTTTATATTTTTGCACTGTGGGGTAAGTGCTACGCGACATTGAGTTTTGGGTCGTAGTTTGGACTTTGAAGTTTAAAGTATTTTGAACAGTTTTAATTATTGCCTACTGTCTACTGTACACTTAAGATTATTATTATACAACCTTAGTGAGATACTTAGATGAGTTTGAAACTTAGTGTTTGTAGTGGTGAGGTATAGTGTTTAGAATAAATGATACATTGTTTATTTTAGTACTGTGTACAGTGAAGGTACATTTTGATTATAGCGCTAGAGTGATAAATGCGTTTAATTATATGGTGTTACACTGAAGTGTAGTGTTATAGTGCACCGTGGTTGCACTTAGTGAATATAGCGTTTTGTGTTTAAGGGTTGTAGTGTTACCCTTTAATGATACTTTGATATCATTGTTCTACCTCACGGTAAGATTTTACTTGTATCCTAAATTGTTGTTGTAGTAGTGTTACAGTGTAGGAAATATACATAATAAGTTCAAGATGACTAGTGTAAATGAGTTGATGAAGGTAGGTCAGGAGTTAGGGTATACAGATGAGGCTTTGAGAAACTTTGTTAAAGAGGAGCAAGCCAGGGAGCGTGAAGAAAGACATAGTAGGTTAGAAGCTGAGAAGGAACGTTTAGAAGCTGAGAAGGATAGGTTAGAATTAGAAGCTAGGTTAGCAAAAGAGAAGTTAGAAGCTGAGAAGGAACGTTTAGAAGCTGAGAAGGATAGGTTAGAATTAGAAGCTAGGTTAGCAAAAGAGAAGTTAGATTATGAAGTCCAGATTTCTAAGGAGAAGTTAGAAATAGAGATAGGAATGGAAAGAGAGAAGTTAAGTAATGAGGCTAGTGTTGCAAGGGAGAAGTTAGATTATGCTCGTCAGTTAGAAAGAGAGAAGGAGGAAGCAGAAGCTAGGAAGTTAGATACAGAATATAAGATGAAGATAGAGTTAGATATGTTAGGTAAGAAGAGTGTAGGTAAGGTTAAGGTTAAGATGACTCCATTTGACGAAAAGATTGATTCTATGGATGCGTATTTGAATGTTTATGAAACTTATGCGTCTGCTCAGAATTGGGAACATGAAATGTGGTCACTAAACTTACCGTTTCTGTTAAAAGGTACTGCTAGGGAGGTATTTGATAGGCTTCCATTAGAAGATAGGACGGATTATGATAAGCTGAAAGATGCTTTGTTAAGGCAGTTTGAGTTGACTGATGATGGGTATAAGAAGAAGTTTAGGACTGAAAGGCCCCGTGAAAATGAGACTTTTGTTATGTTCCTAGCTAGAATTTCTAGATACTTAGATGGGTGGCTAAGATTGAGTAAGGTGGAGAAGACTTATGAAAAGTTGTTAGACTTCATAGTAAGGGATCAATTTTTAGATATCTGCAATAGAGAACTATATCAGAACCTTAGTAGTAAGAAGTTGTTTTCAGCCCGTGAAGTAGCGGAAGATGCAGATTTGTTTGCCAAGACTAGAGGAGGTCCAAAGTATGTAGTGAATCATGGAATTAAAGACAGAGCTAAGCCTTATGCACTGCCGAGTAGACCTGTAGATAGAAATCAAGGTAGTAGTTATCGTATGCAAAGAGGTAACGATAGACTGGTAAATAGAGGTAGAGCATCTCAGCAGTATGAAGGTTATAAATGCACATGTTGTGGTCGTTTAGGGCATACAGCATTTTTCTGTAGAAATAAGGCTACAAATAAAGCTAACGCAGCGGAAGACATAGAACCGAACTCAATGAATCCAAGTAAGAATGATAATAGTTATCAGGGTAATAGAAGGCGAGGAGGTTATAGAGGTAGGAGTAGAGGTAGAGGAAGAAATAGAGATGCAGATTCGAAAATTTCGATGCCGAGATCAGATAGTGGTAGTAGTTTGATAGAACTTGGGGATTTTGAAGACGTGGGCACAGTTACTATAAATTCATGTCCGACAACTAGAGGTATATGTAATGGTAAAGCTATAGTTGCAATGAGAGATACTGGGTGTACATGTGTCATAGTACGAAGGAATTTGGTAAATGCAAATCAATTGTTAGGGAAGTCCAGACGATGTAAGTACATTGATGGTAGTGAGCACAGATTAGACATGGCGTTAATTGATCTTGATTGTCCGTATTACAGGGGTACTGTAGAAGCACTATGTGTAGATAATCCTACAAATGATGTAATTATCGGTAACATAGAGGGTGCTGTAGAACCAAATTTTGGTAAGTTAGCTTCAGCAGTAGAAACAAGATCGCAGAGTAAAGTTAAAGCTCATAGAAAACTTAAAGTTCCTTCACAGATTTTAGACATCACTAATGTAGAGTTTGTAGAGAAGCAGCAGGCAGATAGGTCATTAGATGGATGTAGAAAGAAAGCAGAGGAAGGTACTGTTAGAAACTGTAGAGGTAAAGGGCAAGTGAAGTTTCAGGTCAGGAATAAGATGTTGTTTAGAGAGTTTACGGCAGGAAATGGTGACGTAAGTAGGCAGTTAGTAGTTCCTAAGGATCTTAGGGAGACTGTGTTAAAAGTAGCGCATGACTCGCTTTTGGCAGGACATCTTGGTATTAGGAAGACAAGTGATAGAGTCTTAGGGGAGTTTTATTGGCCAGGTGTTCTTGTAGAGGTTAGACGATATTGTCAGTCTTGTGATATTTGTCAACGTACTATTTCTAAAGGTAGAATAAGTAAGGTAACTTTAGGTAAGATGCCTTTGATTGATACTCCTTTTAAGAGAGTTGCCGTTGATATTGTTGGTCCGATCGAACCTATGACTGATAGGAAGAACCGATATATTTTGACCATGGTAGACTATGCTACCAGATATCCTGAAGCAATTGCATTGCCTAGTATAGAGACTGAAAGAGTAGCCGAAGCATTAGTTGACATGTATAGTAGATTAGGTGTTCCAGAGGAAATGCTTACAGATTGTGGATCACAATTTACTTCACAGATTATGAATGAGGTTAGTAGGTTGCTGTCTCTTAGACAGTTAACAACTACACCGTATCATCCGATGTGTAATGGTTTAGTGGAGAAATTTAATGGTAGTTTAAAGCAGATGTTGAAACGGATGTGTAGTGAAAGACCTACAGATTGGGATAAGTATTTGAATGCTATGTTGTTTGCGTATCGGGAAGTTCCACAAGAGAGTTTAGGATTCTCGCCATTTGAATTGTTATATGGACGTAGTATAAGAGGTCCAATTACCATTTTGAGAGAGTTATGGTCAGGAAAAACAGAGAATGACGAAGTTAAGACAACTTATCAGTATGTAGTTGATTTGCAAGAAAGACTAGAAAGTACATGTAAGATAGCACAGCAGGAGTTAGAGAAGAGCAGTATTAGGTATAGAAAGTATTACAACAGGAAAGCTAGAGATAGAACTTTTAAGAAGGGAAGTAAAGTACTGGTTCTTATACCTACAAAACGCAATAAGTTGTTGTTACAATGGAAAGGTCCATTTGTAGTTTCCGAGGTCGTGAACAAATTAGATTATCGGATAGACATAGGTAACAATAAGATCAAAACTTTCCATGCCAATATGCTGAAGGAGTATGTTGAAAGAAATTTCGAACCAGAACGAGGTGCGTTGGCAAAGGTAAGTGCAGCTATTGTAGAAGCGGAAAATGGGTATGATAGATTAGAGGAAGATGATAGTTTAGAAACAAGTTACCAAGATGATAGTGACATATTGTTATGTCCATTGAAGAAAGGTTCAGAGACATATAAAGATGTCCAGGTCAATCCTGACTTACAAACAGATTGTAAGACTCAGATTGCAACCTTGTTAAAGAAATTTTCAGATGTTTTAACAGATATACCCGGAAATACGTCATTAGTTCAGCATGACATTAAGTTGACTACGTCAGAACCGGTAAGGACTAAGGGTTATCCTATTCCTTTTCACTCACAGCAGATAGTAAAGGAAGAAGTTGATAAAATGCTAGAGTTGGGAGTTATCGAACCTTCTAATGCTCCGTTTTCTAGTCCAATTGTCCTTATCAGGAAAAAGGATAACACGATTAGGTTCTGTATTGATTTTAGACAGATCAATAAATGCACTGTATTTGATGCGGAACCGATGCCCAATATGGAACAGATATTTTCGAAATTATCAAAATACAGGTATTTTTCGAAAATTGACCTTAGTAAAGGATACTGGCAAGTTCCTTTGTCTGACAATGCAAAACCTTTGACCGCATTTGAAACCCCGTCGGGACTTTTTCATTTCAGGAAAATGCCCTTTGGTTTAGTCAATGCCCCTGCAACGTTCTGTAGACTGATGAGAAAGGTTTTGAAAGATCTAGATCACTCAGATAGTTTTATAGATGATATTTTGGTCTATACAGTCACATTGCCAGAGCATATCAATGCATTGTATGAGTTATTTACCCAATTAAGAGAGTCTAGGCTTACTGCTAGACCGTCCAAGTGTTTCATATGTTTTGAAAAATTGGAATGTTTAGGTCATATGATAGGAGGTAGTAAGTCCATTGAACCTGTTCTCAGTAAGGTCAAGGCAATTCAGGAGACCGAGAGACCCACGACTAAGCGAGGAGTCCGGCAATTTTTAGGGGTTGTGTCTTGGTACCGGAAGTTCATCCCTAACTTTGCCGCCATTGCTGTTCCGTTGACCGATTTGACAAAAAAGTTTCAACCAAATCGTATTGAATGGGGTGAAAGTCAGGAAAAGGCTTTTCAGACTCTTAAGGCTAGTTTGACCGGTCCGCCCATTTTGAAATTACCAGATTTAGACAAGATGTTTATTCTCAGAGTTGATGCTTCTGATTGTGGATTAGGATCTGTATTACTTCAAGAACAAGGTGAGGAGAAATTTCCAGTAGCTTATGCCAGTAGAAAGATGTTACCAAGAGAACAGAAGTATTCTGTAATAGAGAAGGAGTGCCTTGGTATTGTTTGGGCAATTTCTAAATTTCACAGATACTTGTTTGGTAAGGAATTTATTCTAGAGACAGATCACCAGCCGCTTTTGTATCTTAACAAGGCAAAGTTAAGTAACTCTAGAATAATGAGATGGTCTTTGCTTTTGCAGCCATACAGGATGAGGATTAGAGCAATCCCAGGTAGAGAAAACATAGGTGCAGATTATTTAAGCAGGGTATAATGTAGAGTGTAGTGTAGTATTTATGGTGGTTATAAATATGGTGTACAGTATTTCTACTTACATTTTTGCAATTTGTCGTTTTCACTTTGTTGTATTTAAAGAAAATTTATCAATTTTCTTATTTAAAGGGGGGCGTAAATGTCACAAAGTGAAAGTACATTTGTAAAATATTGCATTATATTTTCACGCCGAACCTCATTTTTACTCTATATTCATTGATGTGAGATTGCATCATCTTTTGTTCAATTTAGAGTTTTCGGGTGAAATTATTATTTAGAGTATTTTTATGGTTTGCATAAATTTCCTTGTCTCAATTTAAACATTTTGCCGTTTATTACACAAAAATCCTTTCAGTAATAAGAAAGTTACATTTTTGTTTTATGAACCAGATATATGTATTATGTCTGTATTTGAAGGACGGGCCTTTATTTTACACATAACTATTTTTCCCGCCGTCCCAGCTTTATTTCGTGCAAATCGATTTTTCATGTTTTGCACGATCTGTTTTCCCGCTCAGTACTCAGTAGTTTGCTATATAATGACTAAATTTTAAGTGACATATTGCAATGCACTGGACGTTATACAGGTCACTATGACGGTGACAGACAAATTATATTTGTCATAAAATTACAGCTTGTACAAGGTAAATTTAATTTTCTAGTGATTTTGTTTCATAAATTTTTGCTATTTCGTTAAATACTATTTTCTATTAGAATTATAGTTTATTTGATTCAGGTTTAGTTATTTGGCAGTAATTTATTGTTTTCTGAATTTGCTAAATTTTTGCAGATTAAATTTTAAAAGCTCTTTTTATTCTAGTGTTTCGCTATTGCAAATTTATACCGAGACATGTTAATTGATGTATGTTAATTGAAGTTTTGATTATATTGTAATTGTATAGGAGCTATGAATATTTTATAGATATATATATCTATTCATAAGTAATTTATTATGGTTCTACCGTATTTGTGTAACTTTATGTAAAATGCTGCAGTATCGTAATGATTTGTTTCAATCAATTTAATTTACGTTATCATCTTACTTCATTTCATTTATCATCAGTTTTTGTTATAAGTAAATACAACGTATCAAAACTAACGTATCTCTAGAGAAGGATCTTCAGTGGCATGATTTTGGAAGACGTTTATTTATTGGTGGTTATTATGTGGCGTATTTTTGACTATATTTGCAACGCAGTATTATGCGGATGTGATTGAATTTTTGTTCCACGGAATGTATGGTGTACTATAGTGGACATTTTGTTTATTCAAAGAAGCACGTTATTTTATTGGAAACCGACAAAGGTCGAGTCTTTTCCAAGGGACTTTATTATACCCTTATGTTTGATTATCATGGAACTTATCATGTTTTATACTTTGTAGCTTCTTATTTGAGGACACCCGAAGATGACACGGGCCCTCCACACGTATGTCCATGGCTAAAGGGTGACGCATGCCCTTGTTCAGGATCCTATCAACTGTGCCAACACTGTAGGAAGTACAGTTACGCTTGATAAGATTTTATACAAGACGCCCGCCATTGTGACGAATTTTGTTAAACAACGCCACCACTTTATAGAAACATGACAGAAACTGTATGGGAGAAATAGACTGAGATACGTTGATAGTGTTTGTTTGTGCAGTGACTTATCATAGTAGTTTATCATATACAATCATTTTTCATTTATAAATATTCATTTCTGTAAATAAATTTGTATATATTTTTCTGTTCTGAGTTGTTGGTTGTTTTAGATAGCAATTGTGGTCGACCTGGTATCCCATCGTAGTCCCTATTGTGACACTCTTGTCTATAGATTGGGGCCATGATGGTGAACAAGCTAACATAAGGGTTACGCTGACGCCGACACCGACGCCGACGTTCGGGTGATTACTATAGCTCTACTTATTCTTATCGAATAATCGAGCTAAAAATGGTACAAGTGATAGTTAAATTATCGATAAAACAGATAAAGTCCTGATAAGTTAAATTATCGATAAAACAGATAAAGTCCTGATGACAAAGTATCAATAAAACATTTATAAGGTACCGATGAAGAAGTATCAATAACATATTAGATGCCGAAAATGAAGTATCCTCCATTCATATGAGATACCGATGATGAAGTATCAATAAGAAATGTGAGGTACCGATGAAGTATCGATAAAACATAAAGTATTGCTGATAAGTATCGGTAAAATGATACAGATGTTGATAAATTATATAAAATGCCGATAATAAAGTATTATCAAAAGATTTAAGTTACAAATGATGAAGTTTGGAAAACATAAAAAGTACCAATTACCTATTGTCGATAAAACATATAAGGAAACGATGCTAAATTATCGATAAAGCAAACAGATGGTAAAATATCGATGAATTATATAACATGTCGATAATAAAGTATCGACAAAACATTTTAGGTGCCGTTGGTGAGGAATCGCTGAAACGCATAAGGTACCGATGATGAAACGCATATTGGATCGATGAAATACAAAAAAGTACCGATGAAAAGATATCGATTATACGCATAAAGAACCGATTATGAACCGTTGATGAAAAATTAATTATTTATGAAACCATTTTATATTTGTAAGCAATCCTTTGAATTATAAATGTTATCGCCACTCCCATTGTCAGCCATTTTTTCCTGAACAGATATTTCGTTCGGTTTTAATTTCTAATACACGTACTAGACATTTAACAATCACTAAATAAATTTTAAAAAATCTAATGTAAATATATCATTGCCTATACTATATTAAATGAAGTGCGTGTTTAGCAGTTTCAATTAAAATGAAACATTTTGCTAATATTTGATGGACATATTTTATATGTATTTTACTTATTTAATCAATCAACATAATACACCAAACGTGATGAAATAATCTTTTTGTAATTTAATAGCTAATATTTAACCATACAATACCACTTGTCATTTTTCTTCATAACTAGTTAAACCAAGCAACGGTTGAAATGGTATTGGCACGAGCGTAAATTCACCTATAAAGTGTCAACACGGTTATCTCTTTACCTACATTATTACTTTAATAAAACCTCTTAATATGACTTTTACTTACCAACTTATTAAAAGGGTCGTTTCAAAACTGATAATTATGCGTACCAAAATGCAGAATGAGGAAATAAGGTGTTACTGTTTATAAATCATATTTATTCATTTCTCTAATTGCTTCTTTTTTTATAAAAACAAAACAGGACATATATGTAATATTAATTGTATGTTTTTTTCTAATTATTGTAGTTAACTTATGATGACTTCAACAATAACGATTGATTTTTAAAATTCTTAAATTTAAATTTACAATATACAAATAAACACGTCTAATTTTACATCTGTAAAATGAATTGTTTACGTTTCTTTTATTTCCAACCTAATAAAATATTTATAAATTAAAAGCATACACATTTTTTATAAGAATCCAATTTTTAACCACTCTTGAATTAACTGCCAATTCTTTTAGTAACGGATTATATAATGGAAAGGAATACCCTTCTTACTTGGCAGGCCATTACTTTGGTATGCATCATCAAATCCCATTTCAGAATAATTGTTTGACGCCCCTGATAAAAAATTGCGATACTTCTTATTTGACCCTTTCAAAAACAAACAACACATACAAATACTTAATAACCATCACTGTCACATAAATACAATCTTTAATAATGATATAGATAAACTCAAGTATGAGACTCTGAGATATAACATTCAATTTTAACGTGTTTTGGCTATTCTTACTGTCTTACTGCATTCCGCCACAAACTTTATCATTTTTGGTTATTTATTTATCAAAGTTTGTTCACAATGACTCTGTGGTTTATTTTTCATCTTTGGATAGTTTACCAAAATTTTATATGGGTATGTTTTTTGTTTTTGTTTTTAATACAAATGTTGAAGGAAGCGCAAAATTAACTCCTTTTTAAACGGCATGCATTTATTCATTTTTTTAAAACTTGTAATAAAAATTGAGAAGACTGTTTCGTACGTATTTGCTATAATACATGTACTGTACATTTAGAAATTAAAACTTGCATTAGTGATTAAGAAGTTCAAGTTCCTGACCAAGAATGGTGTGTCATTGGTCCCCTGTAACGTTTTCTTCTCTTAAATACTTTGTTCGAAGCACTGACTTGCTCAAGGGGCCATCCTAGAACAAATACTCTATAATTGATAGAATGTCAATGTGATAAGTTTGGATAAGGAGCAAAACAACAATACTACCACCTTTTAGTGTTTGTTCACATATTGTCACACAAAAGTTTACCATCACTTAATTAATAAAAGTAACAGTTTTGTATCTTAAATTTGGAAGAAACAATTGGCTACTGGTACTTTATCAGCATCACACAATGGTATAGTTATACCTAAACACCGCACAAACTATGGTACAAGACTATTTGTTACAACGGTGTAAAGATTTGGAATAGAATACCATTTAACATACGTTCTTCTAATTCTCTGACATCTTTTAAAAAATAAGTATAAAAACATATCTTGCAGATCAAATAAGTGTTTTCATATCCCTGCCATTATGTTATCATGTTATAATGTAAACATGTATATTGTTTCGAATAATTGTAAATGAAAATTGTATAAATGATATTTAATATCTAAAAGGAGCGTTTGTAAAAAAAAAAGCTTAATGGAATATAGTTGTTATTGTTTTATGATATTGTGTTTTTGTGTTTCTATATATTGTTAATAAGGCCATATTTAAAATTAAGATATGCTATTTGTTTTCTACGATGATTTATCTTCATGTGTTATCTTCTTTAAATAAAGATATTATTCTTATTATATTATTATTTCGTCTGTTGTAAAAGGAAATTATATACTCATTTATGTAATTCTAAACAGAATTATTTCGATCTTGCAAGAGATATTTCTTACTAAATTATTCTATATAACTAAATCTAATGGCCTAAAGGTGTGCGTCGATGCTTCTGGTTATGTCGAAGTGAGATTGATTTCATACCGGAACAAAAATGGAACGGACGATGCCGGCAAATGTTGTGATAATACAGCGCCATCTGGCTGTTCTGCTTGTGATCCTTACCTCCAAATTTATTTAAGTCAGGGAAATTCAAGGTGAGTTAATTTTGATTCATCTCGAAAATCACTTTATATTCTCAGTCACTAACTAACTCTGCTGTTTCTTTACTCGATTTTCATCCCACGAAATGCACTAATATCTTACGATTAAAAGTTAAATGACGATAAGATGTGAAATGCAAAACGGTCTGTCACACTGGAATGAAAACACCTGTTCCAACTAAATTTTGTCTTTCAAATAAGATATATGGGTTATAGATTATAAGTAAAACATTATTGTGCATATTTTCAGTGTAAACGTATCAAACATTGTGATAACGAGCGTTTACAATAATACAAACAGTATAGCGTTTGGAAACACCACTGGAAAAACTGGCAACCCTTTCAAGTTAACGTTTGTCAACTTCACTGTAAGACATTGGTATTACTTTCTTTAAATGTAAAACAAATTTTAAGCTGTTCTTTGTATAATAAAAATAAACTTTGTAATTAAAAAATGAAATAAAAGTACAATGAAATTGGTTATCAGCAAGCTAGTAAAAGTAAGCAACTTTTGGTTCATAGTATACTTTAAAAACAGATACTAGTTTATTGAAATAATTCATTCCGATAGAAGTATGTTTAATTTACTAATCACTCATTTGCACTTTTTACATTTGTGTATTGTACACGTGTTATCTGTTTTAGTATAAATGTTATTTAAACACAATTTATTATATTAAATTGATTTGATTCATTAAAGAGAATAAAATCATGTATTTTTATAGAACACGTTTGTACTGTCACTTATAGCCTGGGATGACGATAAAGTTGACAGCGTTAACAAACCTAGTGATAAACTTGAGGAACTTCTGTTTACAGTTGGACAAGGTGAACCGTCACCGTATTATAGCAGTCCAAAATTTGTGCAGAAAACAATTGACGGCAAGGCTGTCAAGTAAACATGATTTATTTTCATTTACCAATTCTTTTAAGTACTTAATTGGTTAAAACGCATTTGACTTTTTTATACAAAACTATATTTCAACCAGGATATTTAAATGTTTCGTGATTAATTCGGATTTGACGAATATGTTTTTATGCAGCTGTTCATACAATCGCGTGTCTATGACCCAAGTTCATATATGACACATACTTGAGAGATATTCATCCGTTTCGTCAGATTAAAATGTAGGTAACTTTTTGTAAGGAGAAAATGATAACTCTATTTATTGAAATTGTTCGATATTCTTTACTTGCTATTCTTAAGATTTAACATTTAATGAATTGTGCGTTTTTTTAAAGATGCTTTTTTCAATATATATATACACATACACCTATTCAGAGATTTCGACGTTTGGTATAATTGTAGACTGGAATTCGAATATATCATATCATGCAGTCAAGATTTCTACGGGGGCAGCTGTAAAAAATACTGCAAACCAAACCCTGGGCAATATAACTGTAGTCGATCTGGTGACAAGGTGTGCGAATCTGGTATGAACATGTCATGATGAAATCAGAAAGTCGTGGCGTATATATATACATTGTACATAATAGAAATAAAAATGAAGAAAGAAAAGCATGTATCCTATCAATAAGTGTCAAAATGTTATAATATTTTTTGGTCCTTCGGAGCGATTCCAATACGTTTTAGTTTTGAAGATTGAATGCAGTTTAAGTCGGTGCTAGTTGCGTGAGAAATTTAACAACTTACATTAATCTCTATCAAACGGGTCTGCAACTTTCAACATTTCATTTTTATTTCATTGCTTCCGAGGGACCATTCCATTTCCAAATTTATTCCACTATGTTGAAATAATTTCATTTAGAATATGGTTTTGTCAATTATTCATGTATTTACATTTTGAATGAAAAAAAGTGATCAATATTTATATTGATGTTATAATATACTGACGATTACACAATAATCTAACATGTGGCAATGTATGCCATATTACAGGATGGAGTGGACACGAATGCAATACAGGTGTTTGTCAGAACAATAAATGTGAAAATAATTCAACATGTAAAGTTGATTTAACTGTGGGAGGATACAAGTGCTCATGTAAACCAGGATATTCAGGTATTTCTACATATTCGAAATGTGGGTCCTTATCTGCATCTAAACTATTGTCCTTATTTCTTTCATAATGAATTAAATCAAAGACAAATACACTGCATCATCGTACTTGATAATCATCTCATTTTGAATAGTTTTACATATTTTTTAGATTTTTATGCCAAGTGGACAAATAAAATGATTTCAGAAAAAGGCATAAAAATTACAGTTAATGTGTAATTTTACATAAAAGCACAAAACCCATTTGTAACAAGGTAGACATTATTGTGGTGGAATAGTTATTTTGCTCATGATTTACTTAACAATTGAAAAACCTCTGGAAATTTAGAGATTTTATACTTTGTACATAAATTTTACTTTAAGTGTCATTAAAAAAAGGTTAACAGATCAAGTAAGTTTAATTCACGATTCGCTTTATTTATAGGACAATTTTGTAATACGTCAATGTTTCCAGTTACAAACAGAGCATCAACACTACAAACAACGATGTTAGCTAAGGTAAAATAGTTCATTATATCTTAGATGACATCATAATATATATATAGACACGTGTATATATCGCTAAAATCATTCTTTCTCAAGAAGTTGCTGGCGCACACATTTGTTTGGTTTTACGGCGCAACAACACAAACTAGGCCTTATGAAGCACACATACGTATTTCTTTCGATAAAATCAGATTATACCCGAATAGCAATTAAATTCGATACCTTATTTTTTCTCATTAATGATTTACATGGCTATAACTGGTATCTTTATAACTATCTATCTGTATAAACGAGTAAATCCATATAAATTATCCGGATAACTGCCCACAGAATGATTGATTCCACGTGTGGGGTAAATGGCTTTTGCATACTTGCACTTAACGTTTATTGTGAGAACGATCGACGTGACGTCAAGCTTTAAAAATAAAATTTAAAATAAACAACCATTTACCAAAAACGGATTAAAAATCGTTATCTTTCCAATTAGGTCTATTTTTTCAACATTGTTCTTATATTACTGCACAAATGAGTCAAGTGAAAATAACAATATGCTAATTTTCCTCAATATTCTTGTGTTAACGTATAACTTTTATACTAATGGCAATTTCATGTTTACAGACTATGAACAATTCTTCCATCCGTAAAAAGTCTGACAGTTATTCATCAGCTAAGATAGGAGTGATTGCTGGTTCCGTGACCGCCGCTTTCCTGATAGTCACGCTGCTGGTTCTGATAACACGGTAAATGTTTAATTTCCGCGAAACCTTTCATTTCGCGTAATATCACAGTAGTTACATCTCAGTGTTTCAATTCATTCAATTATTGAACGCTGCATTATGTTCCATGCAATTCACTTGCAAGAAGATCGTTTTAAAGGCACATCATGCCTAAGAAATCCATATTTGTTTATTCTTTTGAAAAACATTAATTGTATCAAACATGTATTTAATAATGTTTAAATAATGGATTTAAAGCATGTTGGATGGAAGAAGAGCTGTGCATGCACTAATGTGTCATAAAGATACCAAAATGTGCACAAAATAGTATTTTGACTTCCATATACTAATTCACTATAACTATACGTTGTACCAATTGCCACCAGAGCAAAAGAAGCAAACAGATAGTTCATCTCTGTGTCAAATGTGTATTATTTTGGAAACTGTAAAAGATGCCGAATATAAAAAAAGTTTTTAAGAAATAAAAATTATAGCATGGCTGAGGCATAATGGGCCTTTAACTATAGCCTGGCACATTTTATAACATCAAAACAGTACGATGAACATAAATTGATTTTGAAGTAATATTCTATAAGCAACGGCTGAATGAGCATTTGGATTTTCAATTACAAATTAAAGAAATAAATTGGCAAAAGGTTTTCTGTTCTACCGATATTGCGTCAAGGTATGGATTGAAGAAAACAGTGCCAGCAAAGTTATATATAATATATATATAATGTAAAAGGAATTATCACATAAACCGCGGCGCAGGAGTGTAATAAAGCCATTTAATAAAAACGATATTACACTAGACAATATTACATATAGGATATTTGTTTGTTTTGCATGTAAGATTGAAATATAATTTCACTGAGTAAACACCAGATGCCATATTTTCAGGAGTGGCGTAGCCACGAGTGAAAATATAATAGCTGGTGTTCACGAATGAAATATATTTCAATCTTATATGTAAAACAAATAAATTTTCTTTTTATTTCATGCTTTTTAAGTGATTTTAAGTATTTTTTTACTGATTTTGCCGCGTAACGTCGCGCATTCTCCTTTGTGACGTCATCACATCATGACGTCACATCATTAATTTTGAAATATAGTTCTGTTAAATTTTGTCTAATTTTGTTACATTTTTAACATGATGTATGGTGACATTGACTTTCTTTTCCTAAAGAAGCAAAATTTACGCATGACAGCATTTATTTCTGCCTGTTATTCCATTTCGTTATGATTTTCTATTCATCCGCATTTAGATATAGTCCGGCTACAGTGAAAATTATATTTTATAAATTTCACTAGTGGTTTATCAGAATATAATCATCTGATATATTACAATAAAACACTGGAAAGCATGAAATAAACTAGTTTATCACACACCCGTGCCGATTTTGCGACTCCGTAAATATGGTATTGCACGGCCGTGCATATATTTTGACGTGACGTCATTAGCGTTATACAAACATAGTGTAAAGACGTGCTAAATGTTAGCGTTATACTATTGGCGCGTCAATGAAAATGACACTTATTTCACTTTAAATGGTCTTTATTTTGGGTATGTGATAAATAGAATATTACATTCGTGTAAGTTCATGACTGAATTTATTGCACGAGTTGAATAAAATAATATTATGCTCGCCAGAGGCTCGCATAATATAATTTTATTCAACTCGTGCAATAAATTCAGTATTGAACTTACACTCATTCAATATCCTCTATGCAATAACACTTTGACGTCACGTCATTTGCACTATAAACATAGAGTTAAAGCGCGCTAATATTAGCGTTACACTATAGGCTCGTCAAAGAAAAATGACTTTTGTTAATGTCCGTGAAGTACGCGGGCTAACGGGCTAGCAGTCTAGCGGGCTAACAGTATGAACTGAGCGGGCTAGCAGTCTAGCGGGCTAACAGTGTGAACTGGGCGGGCTAGCAGCCTAGCGGGCTAACAGTGTGAACTGGGCGGGCTAGCAGTCTAGCGGGCTAGCAGTGTGAACTGGGCGGGCTGGCGGGCCAGCGGGTTAAAATCTAAAACTTTATTGATTGAACATAAAAATGTTATGATACATTACCTGGCAGTGTGAAGTGGGCGGGCTAGCAGTGTAGCGGGCTAGCAGTGTGAACTGGGCGGGCTGGCGGGCCAGCGGGCTAAAATCTAAAACTTTATTGATTGAACATAAAAAACGTTATGATACATTACCTGGCAGTGTGAAGTGGGCGGGCTAACAGTGTAGCGGGCTAGCAGTGTGAACTGGGCGGGCTGGCGGGCCAGCGGGCTAAAATCTAAAACTTTATTGATTGAACATAAAAACGTTATGATACATTACCTGGCAGTGTGAAGTGGGCGGCTAGCAGTGTAGCGGGCTAGCAGTGTGAACTGGGCGGGCTGGCGGGCCAGCGGGCCAAAATCTAAAACTTTATTGATTGAACATAAAAACGTTATGATACATTAACTGGCAGTGTGAAGTGGGCGGGCTAGCAGTGTAGCGGGCTCTCAGTGTGAACTGGGCGGGCTGGCGGGCCAGCGGGCTAAAATCTAAAACTTTATTGATTGAACATAAAAATGTTATGATACATTACCTGGCAGTGTGAAGTGGGCGGGCTAGCAGTGTAACGGGCTAGCAGTGTGAACTGGGCGGGCTGGCGGGCCAGCGGGCTAAAATCTAAAACTTTATTGATTGAACATAAAAATGTTATGATACATTACCCTGGCAGTGTGAAGTGGGCGGGCTAACAGTGTAGCGGGCTAGCAGTGTGAACTGGGCGGGCTGGCGGGCCAGCGGGCTTAAATCTAAAACTTTATTGATTAAACACAAAAAACGTTATGATACATTAACTGGCAGTGTGAAGTGGGCGGGCTAGCAGTGTAGCGGGCTAGCAGTGTGAACTGGGCGGGCTGGCGGGCCAGCGGGCTAAAATCTTAAAATTTATTGATTGAACATAACGTTTTTAATAAAAAACACATTTTTTCCTCAGTGATACAATTGTATCTTTACCCTCTGTGTCGTAAAGTATTGGTTTTTGACTGATTAAATTCATGTGGCTGACATCGGTTTTTTTATGTTCAATCAATAAAGTTTTAGATTTTTGTCCGCTGGCCCGCCAGCCCGCCCAGTTCACACTGCTAGCCCGCTACACTGTTAGCCCGCCCACTTCACACTGCCAGGTAATGTATCATAACATTTTTATGTTCAATCAATAAAGTTTTAGATTTTAGCCCGATGGCCCGCCAGCCCGCCCAGTTCACACTGCTAGCCCGCTACACTGCTAGCCCGCCCACTTCACACTGCTAGGTAATGTATTAAACGTTTTTATGTTCAATCAATAAAGTTTTAGATTTTAGCCCGCTGGCCCGCCAGCCCGCCCAGTTCACACTGCTAGCCCGCTACACTGCTAGCCCGCCCACTTCACACTGCCAGGTAATGTATCATAACGTTTTTATGTTCAATCAATAAAGTTTTAGATTTAAGCCCGCTGGCCCGCCAGCCCGCCCAGTTCACACTGCTAGCCCGCTACACTGCTAGCCCGCCCACTTCACACTGCTAGGTAATGTATCATAACATTTTTATGTTCAATCAATAAAGTTTTAGATTTTAGCCCGCTGGCCCGCCAGCCCGCCCAGTTCACACTGCTAGCCCGCTACACTGCTAGCCCGCCCACTTCACACTGCCAGGTAATGTATCATAACGTTTTTATGTTCAATCAATAAAGTTTTAGATTTAAGCCCGCTGGCCCGCCAGCCCGCCCAGTTCACACTGCTAGCCCGCTACACTGCTAGCCCGCCCACTTCACACTTCCAGGTAATGTATCATAACGTTTTTATGTTCAATCACGGATTTATGTAATATAAATCCGTGGTTCAATCAATAAAGCTTTAGATTTTATCCCGCTGGCCCGCCAGCCCGCCCAGTTCACACTGCTAGCCCGCTACACTGTTAGCCCGCCCACTTCACACTTCCAGGTAATGTATCATAACATTTTTATGTTCAATCAATAAAGTTTAAGATTTTAGCCCGCTGGCCCGCCAGCCCGCCCAGTTCACACTGCTAGCCCGCTAGACTGCTAGCCCGCCCAGTTCACACTGTTATCCCGCTAGGCTGCTAGCCCGCCCAGTTCACACTGTTAGGCCGCTAGACTGCTAGACCGCTCAGTTCATACTGTTAACCCGCTAGACTGCTAGCCCGTTAGCCCGCGTACTTCACGGACATCTTTTGTTAACAGTTTACCGTTCTTATTTTATATATGTGATAAATAGAATATTATATTCGTGTAGATTCAATACTAAATTTATTGAACTCGTTGAATAAAACAATATTATGCTCGCCAGAGGCTCGCATAATATGATTTTATTCAACTCGTTCAATAAATTTAGTATTAAACCTACACTCATTCAATATCCTCTATATATTACATGAATTGTTTCCTGTTGTGAACTGTTCATAATTAAGATTAAAATGTCAAGGTTACGATTTCCATCATTTTAAACCATTAACAATAACACACGATGTTGAAATTTTCTTTTAATGAATGTTTTGTCAAATATTACCCACTTTAATCGTTCCAGGATGTACTTCAGAAAGAAGCAAAGAAATAAAACGGAAAGCGCACTAGTCAGCACATAAATGCAGTGATGGTAGATTCCTTACTCCAAAATGGGTTATTTACACTAGTTCACAACCACCAGTTCGTGTGTAATTTGTGTTTGTACTAATTAAACAAACTTTGAATAAATGATGCAATAAGAGAACTTATTCTAGTTGAAATTTTGTACAATATTTCGGAATATATAATACAAAATACTTTGAAATTAAACAATGCGTTACGTTTTAGCACATTTACTTTTATCACTGATTTTAAATAATCTTAATAATTCCGTGTCTGAACAGACATAAGGACAATTTCGTCGCTTGAAAACTGTAATGTTCTATCTCCAAATTTTCCAAAAACAAGTTAAATACACAATTTTGTCCGTAATGGACTGTTCTATCTCCTTGGCATGTTATATTAGTGCTTCAGAGCTTCATAAATAAATTACAACGAAACCATCCTGTTCTATCTCCACAAATTTACTATGTTTTGATAAATAGACTGTTCTAACTTACTGGACTAATCATATCATCGATAAATGTCACGTGACCTGTGGGATATATGCAACATACTGTTCTAAATCAAAAATTATCGTATCAAAACAGCATCAAATCACGTGATAGCAGGACATCCGCCATGTTGTACGAAACATTTTGAGTTGGATGGTTTGTTGTTTATTTAATATATTAATGCTAAATATAAGTATTGAATGATATTATGTATTCATTTATTCCCTCCAATCATTGATATTTTAGTATTAAGTCCTGTAAATTTACTGCATGTGATTAAACAACAAGCAAAACTGATCATGATTTGAAAGTAATTTCGGATGTGTATTTTCGGATAGAAACAACCGTGATCATACAATTTCATCAAACAAATTCGCAAAAAAGAAAATTTGTTATATGTTCTTAAGTTTCTTTAACGTAAGGTACATTCTGTCTCAGAAACCAATTATTTATCTTTATAACAGACACATATGAGTTTAAAAAATTGACTGTACTCATTGCCAACATGACACAAAAGCATAAGATGGTTTAGGTTACTGACCAATGTGGAATATTTTGGAAACTATAACAGAACTCCAAATATCAGGCTTTTGAGAGATTAAGGTAAAAGCATTTCTGGGGCAAAAAAGGCCTTTAAGAAAATTAATAGATATTATACGTTTACATATAATATATGTTTTCGAATGCGTTAATGTTATATAATTAATAGATTGCTTTAAAGTAAACACATTTTATACCAAAGACAGAAGGAAGAAAAATATTCTTATACGTATATTTTGTTTGTCTTGTAATTTGACTTTGAATTTCTAAATGAATATTTATATAGCATTATGTTTGTAATGTTTTTGTACACGAACAATCTTTAAATATGACATTTTTCAAATATAAGTCATGCCTGCTCCACCTTTAAGGTCTGGCAGATATGTTTTCATTGCCTATTTAAGTTATAGAAACATTTTTTACATACCTTCAATTATAAACACACAGAACGTGTAAAACGCATAACAAAAAAATTACTACTATTTCATACTTTTGGAAGGAATTTGAATTTGACCATCTTTTGAATTTTCATTAAAAAAAATCTTGATTTTCCCAGCATTCTAGAAAATTTGAAAGTGTTCCTTTCCCGTTTGCGGCTATAACTTTCTTTTTCCAGACATTGAATCACTTTGAATGTGGCCAAAGTTATAAAAATAGATAAATGTCTACAAAATTTATGTGGGTATATTATCTTTATTTATTTAAATTATTTGTTTAAATGTCATTTAATAATGTAATGGATTTAAGGATTTTAATAAGATTTCGAATGTCATAGTTCATGTAGCTACATACATATGGTCTAAGAAATAGTGTAGTGTCAAAGTCAACTAATCAAGGGATAATTAGCCGAGAGCATTTTTGGCAGCATTTTAAAGATAAAACATACTGTTTTATATGATATAAATCGATTCAACTTAAAAGACATAATGTTCTAAGTCACATTGAACACTCTGATTTTAACAATTTTTGAAAAAAAGTTACAAGGACTGTTCTATCTCCAAATGTTTTTTTTAGATTTTTAAGCAAGGAAATATTAAAATCCACATATCTTTAACGATATTGAGTTGTTCTCCTGGCACCACGTTTAGTAGTTTTTAAATTTTCAAAATCCGACAATAAATAAAAAAGTTATGCAATACGTAATCTTTACATGCTTTTTTCTCAAAAACAACAAATTGGCACTTAGAACAAAACGTTTTTCAAGCGACGATTTATCTGAACCATTTTTTAGCATAATATTTATTCTTAAACCTACATAGTTCATTAATATAACGAATATTTTATAGAAAGTTCCAAGAGCAAAGTTTTACTCTGGACAGGAAGTTTTTATTTCTCTACTAAATCTATTTGAAAGTTAATTTGTCCTGCTTAAAATGTGTTATTGTTACGCATATCCTAGCAGGAATTTGTTATCAAAATTTTCAACTTTAGTAGCAAATATAAAGTCATCTTAGAGTACAATGGATGCACATTTCGCCCGATCAGAGACAAGCTGTTACCACCGTTAGAATTAACATTATCAAAAACCTATGGAGCGGAAATCATCTAGCGACAAGGAATTCTATACACGGACGTACATATTTATAATAAAACATTATATGATTCAGTAACAACCAGTAAAAATGGATGTGCGTGGTTAACATTATTTCACACGGACTTAGGCCTTATTGCTCCGTTGTTTCCGAGGCAAATCTAATCAGTTCGAAATTCAGTTGTAAGCATAAAATAAATCTCGCTTCAGTTAAGTACGATTATTGTCACATTATGGGTATATACTAAGTGACCATCTGTTAATAATGTGAAGACAGTAGTGCTCTTGGTTATTACAAGAGTAATCAGTGATCATGTGTCGCCTGATGATATCGAATTGCATGTTGCAGCTACTGTGTAGGAGACACAAGTCATTAACAGGCCAAAACATTTTTTATCTAGGGACCATAATCCTGTAATGTTTCACTGAAATTGCATTAGTGGTATAAGAGAAGTAGTCTGGACAAACTTTAACAACTTTGACAAAAACAATTTTAAACCGGAAAAGTCCGACCCATGCACATCAAGACTTGGTACTGATCATCCCTGTTAAGATTTGATGAAATTGCACCAATAATTTCTGAGAAGAAGTCAGGACAAGCTTCTGTGCACCTGGCAACACATAATCATGAACAGGCCTAAACACGTTTTTAATTCAAGGGTCATAATTCTGCCCAAAATCATACAAGCGGAAAATACGATTTTCCGTGTAATATGCGCAAGTACTAGATCTACTGGTCAATCCTGTAATTTCATTGAAATTGCATTAGTGGTGTAAGAGGAGTAGTCCGGACAAACTTTAAAAATAAAAATCATTAAAGGGCCATAACTCTAATGAAAATCATTGAACCGGAAAATGCCGACGATATGCTACTGATCATGCCCGTTAGTTTTGATGAAATTGCAATAGTAATTTCTGAGGAGTAATCCGGAAAAGTTTGTGACAGACGGGGACAGAAAGACGAGCGATCCCTATATGCCGCCCCTACTCTGTAGCAGGCAACACAAAAAACATAAATCAATAAATAATTCAAATGCCTAAAAAACATTACTTTATATTCTCCTTTTAATAATTATTTATAAGTTATGTCGGCCTTAATGCAAGTCAGCAGTATGTGAAACTCGACAGCTAGTTAGACTCAAGGATATACTCCTCAATTAGATTGCATATACTCTCACAAATATTTTTAAGTGTTACCTACATGAACACAAGAACCGGTTGAACCGGGTGATGCTCCCCGAGAAGGTTCTGGACACAGGAAAGTATAAAAAAAATGAACAAAGGGCAAAAACTCCAAAATTAGGCAAGGAGGAGTTATGTTTTTTTGCACTGCACTTCTATTCAATGAGATCTATCTATCTATAAAGTTTCCTGATGATATCAGAGTTATGTCCCAGGTAAAATTCAAAGTGTAAAAATGAACAAAGGGCAATAACTCCAAAATTAGACCAGGCTTTGTTTAGATTCTTTAAGCATTGCAGTTCTATCCAATTATATCTAGCTACCTACAAAGTTTCATGTTGATATCTCTAATAGTTTTAAAGTTATGTCCCGGACAAAAGTCAAAAAGTAAAAATAAACAAAGGTCAATTACTTCAAAATAAGGCAAGCCAGAGTAATGATTCTTAAGCACTGCACTTCCATCCAATGAGACCTATCTATCTACAAAGTTTCATGTTCAGATATCTCTTATAATTTTAGAGTAATGTCCCGGACAAAGTTTAAAGTGTCAAAATGAACAAAGGGCAATAACTCCAAAAGTAGGCAAGACAATGTTACAGTTCTTGTGCACTGCAAACCTACTTAATGAGATCTATCTACCTACAAAGTTTCATGTTGATACCTCTTATAGTTTTAGAGTTATGTCCTGGACAAAGTTCAAAGTTTAAAAATATACAATTTAGGGGGATAATTAAAAAATTAGGCAAGGCAGAGTTATGGTTCTTGTGCACTGCACACCTACTCAATGAGATCTATCTTCCTACAAAGTTTCATGTTGATACCTCTTATAGTTTTACAGTTATGTCCTGGACAAAGTTCAAAGTGTAAAAATAAACAAAGGGGAATAATTCAAAAATTAGGCAAGGCAGAGTTACAGTTCTTGTGCACTGCACACCTACTCAATGACATCTTTCTACCTACAAAATTTCATGTTGATACCACTTATAGTTTTAGAGTTATGTCCCGGACAAAGTTCAAAGTGTAAAATAAACAATTTAGGTGGATAATTCAAAAATTAGGCAAGGCAGAGTTACGGTTTTTGTGCACTGCACACCTACTCAATGAGATCTATCTACCTACAAAGTTTCATGTTGATACCTCTTATACATTTAGAGTTATGTCCCGGACAAAGTTCAAAGTTTAAAAATAAACAAAGGGGGATAAATCAAAACTTAGGCAAGGCAGAGTTAAGGTTCTTATTCACTGCACACCTACTCAATGAGATCTATCTACCTACAAAGTTTCATGTTGATACCTATTATAGTTTTAGAGTTATGTCCCAGACAAAGTTCAAAGTGTAAAATAAACAAAGGGGGATAATTCAAAATTAGGCAAGGCAAAGTTACGGTTCTTGTGCACTGCACACCTACTCAATGAGATCTATCTACCTACAAAGTTTCATGTTGATACCTCTTATACTTTTAGAGTTATGTCCCGGACAAAGTTCAAAGTGTAAAATAAACAAAGGGGGATAATTCAAAAATTAGGCAAGGCAGAGTAATGGTTCTTGTGCACTGCACACCTACTCAATGAGATTTATCTACCTACAAAGTTTCATGTTGATACCTCTTATACTTTTAGAGTTATGTCCCGGACAAAGTTCAAAAATAAACAAAGGGGAATAATTCAAAAAATAGGCAAGGTAGAGTTACGGTTCTTGTGCACTGCACACCTACTCAATAAGATCTATCTACCTACAAAGTTTCATGTTGATACCTCTTGTTGTTTCAAAGTTATGTCCCGGACAAGAAAAGGGGACGGACGGAAAGCCGGCCGGACGGACAAGGCGGCGACTATATGCTCCCCCGAAATTTTTTCGGGGAGCTTAATGAACCAACCATATATATTCACAGTCACTTTTCAAAATAATACCCATTGTCATACGTAACTGTGATCGTAACTGTGATCGTAATTGGCCATAAAATATGTTCTAAAGATCTCCCATTCTCATAAAGATCACTTGGTGTGACAAAATGGTCATTACATCATGTTTGACTGTATCCTGTTACAATTTATATCATAGTCAATCAAATAAAACTTTATGATCTCTCAATGAAACAACACACGTAGTCTTGCATACAATGTTTCATAATTTTTTATTCAACAAAATATTCCAAGTGAATAATTCACAAACTTGTATCAAACTATCAACGATCAATAACACAATAAATCAATCTAACAGCACTATATCAAAACTTATCTCTTACAGAACAGGTTATCAATTATACAAGATCATCAATAATATTAGATCAATTATTGTACATCAATTATTGAACTAGTTAATGTACAAATTAATTACCAAACAAATGTGTGTAGATCTATGGTCTTTCAATTGATAAAAAATCCTGTTTTTCATTTCATTATTAAGTTTATAGGGGAAACTTTCCATTCCCATTTCAAAATACAATAAATTCTAAATGATATAAAAAATTAATGAAATGTGCAACATTATTGACGTTATCAAACATCTTTACATCTTATAAATAAACAACAGCACCAAACATTAAAAAAAATCATCAATTCTAAAGCACCAAATCAAATACTGAAGTATATAACTACAAACAACGACAAATATAAAATTAGGCACTTATATCACTTTTAATACAGTTCAGTAAACAAGATGTCCATGATAGGCCTGAGGTCGCTCACCTGTATATACGCCCCCCGGAGCAGGGCCAATTTAAACCCCAGGGCTTTTATTTGAACAAACTTGGAAGACACACATAAGAAGATGTTTCATGATGTTAAGTTTTTACTACACACTTATAATGAAAAACAATGATCTCTACCCCCCCAGGGCCAATTTTAATCCAAGGGCTTTTATTTGAACAAACTTGGGAGACACCCATAAGAAGATGTTTCATGCTAAACATCTAAGCTCTAGCTCATTGGGTTTTTTAAAAGAAGATTTTTTAAGTTTTTACTGTACACATATACTTAAAAACAATGAAACCCCTTGGGCGGGGCCAGTTTTGACCCCATGACTTTTATTTGAACAAACTTTGTAGACACTTACTAGAAGATGTTTCATGTTTAATATCTAAACTCTAGCTATTTGGGTTTTTTCAAAGAAGATTTTTAAGTTTTTGCTATACACATATAAGGCAAATCAATGACCCCCGGGGCGGGGCCAATTTTGACCCCAGGGCTTTTATCTGAACAAACTTTGTATACACTCACTAGAAGATGTTTCATGCTTAATATCTAAACTCTAGGTATTTGGGTTTTTTCAAAAAAGATTTTTTAAGTTTTTGCTATACACATATAAGGAAAATCAATGACCCCCTGGGGCAGGGCCAATTTTGACCCAGAGCTTTTATTTGAACAAACTTGGTAGACAACCATTAGAACATATTTCATGCTAAACATCTTAGCTCTAGCTCTTTGAGTTCTTTAAAAGAAGATTTTTTAAGTTTTTACTTTATGCATATACAGAAAATCAATGAGCCCCTGGGGCGGGGCCAATTTTGACCCCAGGGCTTTTATTTGAACAAACTTGGTAGACACTCATTAGAAAATGTTTCATGCTAAATATCTTAGCTCTAACTCTTTGGGTTCTTTAAAAGAAGATTTTTTAAAGTTTTTACTATATGCATATAGGGAAAATCAATGACCCCTTTGGCGGGGCCAATTTTGATCCCAGGGCTTTTTTTTTAACAAACTTGGTAGACACTCACTAGAAGATGTTTCATGCCAAATATCTAAGCTCTAGCTCTTTGGGTTTTTTAAAAGAAGATATTTAAAGTGTTTTCTTTTGGTTGTCATGGCAACCAGAGTTCTGCATGGAATTAAATTCTTTGAACAATTTTTAAAGCTGACCACCAAAGGAACATTCCTGTGAAGTTTGGATGAAATTGGCTTAGTGGTTTATGAGGAGATGTCATTTAAAGTAAATTTTTACGGACGGACTGACGATGGACGGAAGCCGGACGAAAAGCGATCACAAAAGCTCAAAAACTAACAAGATAATTTTTTTTTTTTAGAACATCTTTGTATCTTTTTAAACCAATTAATTTACAAGTACACTAGTTTTTAGCCATAAACATGATAAATGAACTTAAATTTCAATGTTCATATAAGTGCATAAATTTTCATATAACCGTATGAATTAAAAAAAAACCCTATCATGTTCTTTTAAGTGTATAAAGCTACCTATTTGCTGTCTGTGGATTATAAAATTACTGTTTAAATTTTGAATTGAAATTTGATTTATTGATTGAAATTTGTCAGTAGATCTATGTTTTAGTAAAAGCGAGCGAGACATGCGTGAAATCATTGCAAAACTTACTAAAAACAGCAGCAAAATATTTTGTTCCAGGACATTTTATTCTGTTACGTACAATCACAGAGATATTAAATTATGATTGCTTAACTAAAAAGATTACTCAAATATTCTACACTATCTCCTTATCAAGCAGACTGGGCAAATGATGCCATTAATTAAACAATAATGCACATAATAGACAGGAATGTTAACACAACATATGTCAGATATGATTGACATCATGAAAATCACTTCTCACTTAAAGTAGTCTCAACACATACAGGGTATTTATACTTTCCCTATACATTGTCCTGTAAGAATGGAGTTTGATTTTCTTTTTATTTCCCTTGCACTGAAGTACAATATTTCATGGTTTATCATTGAAAAATTGTGTGCATCTGAACCTCAAAACTATGCATTATTATACAACAATACACTAAAATATGTACACATTTGTCTATTACCTACAAATTGGCTTGAAATATTCATGTATTCAAATAATCAAAAATTTACAAATCAAAAGCTACATTAAATGAATTTCTTAAAAACAGAAATAGCGACATTTCATTAGTAAATTTGGTTTCATATCGACTCCAGATCTTATTATGATGTCAAGGCAACCAAAATGAGTTTTATAAGCATAAACATCTGTGACCTCATTGTGGCGAAATCGGAATTTGCATGAGAACTCCGCCTTTGGGTCATCCGTACATCAATATTAAATCAACAAACATGGTTATAAGTAGCAGTCCTAATATAACGGTATATTTACGCATTGTAACAGTTGTTTTCATACAAATTTAATATTTTTATGAGATGATTACTCTTTCCTGAACGCCGTGCCAAGTGCACCATGAAGCTAAAACGGTTAAAGTGTGTATGCACATGAAAATCTCGTATTTGCTATGTTCTGTATATCAACTATAGCACTGTGACGTAGCACATACATGAACTGACAATAGTCTTCATTTGCATGTTAAAATTCGTATACGAACTTTAGTGTTACCGTGGGGTTTTCCGTTTAAAATCGTAATTTATGAACAATATTTGATGAGATTTACAACAATACTGTTAAAAAGATTAATAAAACAGTAGAATGCTTGATTATTAGGCCGACGGCAAAATATTTTTACAAATTTATTTAATGTAACTTTAAGTGAAATTAAGTATGCTTATAACATAATTTTCAATAATCGAAGAATATGTAAAATATGTACTGCAAATATTTGTACTGAAAACACACATACTAAGATTTATCAGAAACATAGATAATGTCTATGTCTCTGGATTTATTGACTAGTCATGATTTGATAAAAATGATTGCTCTACTGATTTAAAATTGTCTTACTGTATAAGTGGTAAATTTTGCGACATGGGAAAATTTGCGATTTTTGTGAATTGAAAGTTATTGCAAATATTTGATAGCACAAAAATTATTTCTTTTTAGGCAAACTGTCTTCTATCATTTGAAAACAGATTCTTATACAGCATCTAACATGAATAAGTTTGACTGTTCAGGTACTTAGATTATTTTTTCTCATTGCTTCTTTGTTTAAGTTTGGTCCTATCAAATCACAAATGTTTTAATGAAATACTATATGTGTTAATAACACAATTGGTTATTCATATAACAAAAATGTTTCAAAATTTGATAAAGAAATGTGTGATCAGGTCCTTTAACAAACTAACAATGTATATTTCAAACAATTATTTAAATAATAAAGGTATTAAACAACAGAATAGAACAATTACACAGAATAGAACGATTACAATAACAGCATATTTTAACATATACCTGCTTTATTATTGATATCACAAAAACAGTATTAAATTCAAGAAATCATATTTTCGCAAATATTAGGGAAGGCAAAAAAGTCCACTTTTGGACATTAGCAAAATCTTTCTGATGCAAAAATATCCACTTATACAGTATAAAATACTGTTTATTCAAAACCAGTATCATGGTAATTTGAGTATCAGTATTGTATATTAAACTTTGTAAAATTTAAAGAAACTGATCATTATTAAGCATCTGACATCTTGTAGAGATCAGAGAAATGGCAGTGATATACCCAATTATATTAGGGATGGCAACGAATACCAAAATTAATACTCAAGTACTTGGTCATTTTTCCGATCGAGTACTCGGTTACTCGGATCATTTCGAATGATCTTCAAAGGTGTATTACACAATATCAAATGTGCTAGTGACATTGATTTGACCTAGTATGTGTTTAACCTTGTTATTTATGCAATAAAATACACATATATAAAAAAAAAATCAAAAAGAAAAAAAAATCTGGTTATTTTGTTATGGCGTACCCATAAATTTCGTTCTCGAATGTTGCATACCTTGTCTATAACAATAGACAGATTTTTTTTCTTTTTGATTTTTTTTAAATATATGGATATGTTATTTAATAAATAAAAAGGTTAAACACATTTTAAGTCAAATCAATGCCACTTGCACCTTTGCACAATATCAACATCTTCTGCATGCTACTTTCGTTTTCTATTTAAATTCACAGAAATTCAATTTGTAACTATAAATAAGACGACAATGGAGTTAACTTAGAATAACCAATAAACAATTAAAATTAAATCAAAAACATTTTATATTTTACAACGTTTAAATTAATGCACAATTAAAGGTAATTGAATATCATGAAAGGCCAAATGACGTCAGCGACACAGTTGTTCAATCCCACGCACATGTCAAACTGTTGATTGCCTCGTCAAATTTACCATATCATTTTTGCAGCTTTACAAAGATGTTTTGATTGCGTTTAACAAGGTATATCTCCGAATATCTGAACTTACACTTTTCTTTCTACAGAAATTATATATTTCTTCCGAGTAATCGAATATCAATTTTGTTAATCGATATTCCAAAGTTTGATCCAGTACTCGGTTACCTAGTTACTCGTTGCCATCCCTAGTTTATATATGTACTTTCTTTGTATCTGAGCCCAAAGTTAGAATGTTATTATACACTCACTTCAAACTGATCAAGTCATTAAAACAGTCAATATCCATTCTAAAAAAACAAATACAACATGGTGTCACATATACAAAACGAGATCAAATATTTGGCAGTAATCCATCACAGAGACATGTTAACTACATCAGTTAAGTCTTCACTCGTCAGTCAGGTATTGTAAGTCTAGGTGGCAGGAAATCTGGATTAGGTGACAGGAACATTAAGTTCATACTTAATGCTAGAGGAAATTGCTGATTCTTGTCAATCATTAATGCTATCTGGTCCTGAAATGTTCAAAAAAAGTTATATAAAATAACAAATTCAAAACTGATAACATAAACTGTAAGATGATTCTCTGTCATTGGATGGGTGTTTACTTTTTCTAGCAGAAGTCTCTGAATTCACAAGCAGTACATCTTATGCCCTCTTACTGCCGTCATTTAACAATTAAGTTTAGGACTGATACAACTCACTTTATATCACTGTATGTTTCTGGTAATTTAAAACCATGTTACTTTAAAACCATTAAAAGAACAAGCAACCTAAAATTCATATATTCACATATACATCAAGATTCATCAACATTAAATACAATTAGATTTGCACCACATCAATGTTTTTACATATACCATTGCCATCAGAATTCTGACCAACAAAATAATATGTCGTATCTGCTCCTCATATTGTCATCTACTTAAAATACTCATTATTTTAATATAACTGATTTATTTCAATACATTGTTTGTATATATATGTTGTTTTGTTGTACCAAGTTGAAGATTAAAGTCCTTTTACTTCATTAGGAATGTATTTCATTGTGGATTTTTGTTAGGTTTACATTTACCTGTCAATATATCACTTAAGCAATGTCATGACAGATGATTCAATTTCAACTATTTAACATTATAATTTATAATACTATCAACATCATTCATTACCTCATTTTTTCCCAACCCTATTTTCCTAATTCCTGTCCCTTTCTTGAAAATCTCATTTCCTTCCTTGTCAACAGATGATAATGTCAATCTGCAATGAAATTACAAATCTGTTGAATATTTTGAAATTATTATACTTTCTTGAGACTGAATACATTATTGAATTCTATAATTATACATGCAGACAAGAACTCAACTATCAAACCAATATTGGGCGAGGCGTTAGCCAAAAGTCTGATTAAGTTGTTGCAGCCAAATAGCATCAATTTTGTTCTCAAAAATGTATATTGATCTCTTTATTCTACACTATCAATTGTTACCATTTTGAAAGAACTTCTTTAAGTACTAAAAGTATTTGATATGAGATTTTGGATCCTGAAAAATGAAACCAGGCTACATGGGGCTTGATATGCATTTAATATAGATATTTTGAGGTATTTGAGGTATGATGTGCATTTGATATTATAAATAGATATTTTGATTTTGAAATAGAATTATAAGGTTGAATCCCATAATGATTCTACTGGAACATCATGTGGTTCAAATGCTAAAAGTTGGTTTATACATATTTATTTAAGCTCAATTGTGAAACAAGTTCTTGCAACTTTACTTATATTAATCACTTTCGAGTCTGCTTCCTGTAACCAACCAGTACTAGTGTCATATGATTAAACAAGGTTGTGACCCGATTATGGCTTGAGCCCATTGATCCCTGGGTTGAGAGGCAGACTTCTTAACCACTATGCAACCCCTCCCCTTAAAATGCTGAAAGTTCTATGGTTATATTTATGTTTTACAAGATTTGAAATAATAGATAATTTTACTTTTACAATAAAATAACAATTATGAATAATATTTAACAACAAAATTACTGTTGAGGTATTGTACAAAATTTATTTGCATTTTTAGATAGAATAGAGAACAAAAAATGTCCATCATAACTTACCTGTAACAAAGATACCTCATATCATGTAAACTCACAGACTGGGCACATGTTTCAGTATTTGTGTTTCTTTTAAGGGTTATGATCCTGTAAAACAATTGGATATATATAGTATACAATCAGCTCTGTAAAAAATACACACACTTTTATTTGCAACATTTTAAAGTGACATTATGATCACTTTTGCATTGCCAAATTGAGCTGTAATTGGCTATATATACTGAACCAAAAAAGAAACGTTCGCCAAGTATGTCCAAGTTGTTCAAGGGTACCACTTAGATGTACACACTTATATACATGTAGTAGCTTGTAAAACTCCTTTTGTTTGCAAAATCGTTCAGCTAATCCCCGTATAAAAGCCCGATATGTTTATTCAACGTAAAAATTGAGTTTCAAAAGGATTGAAAAACTGTACTAACATATCTACATTCAAACTTGGAGAAAGTTTCTTTTTTGTTTCAGTATATTTAAAAAGATGTTCATTGAACAATCACTGATAATGAAAAATATTTAGAATATTATATAACATTTGCCTTAAAATAGAACATGACTGAACCATTTTTTCAATAAATTGAATGGTAATGAGACATTCCAAGGATATTTCACAAAATTTTCTTTGTGTCATGTGATTTATAGATTTTACACATGAACTGAACTATAAAATTGATAACAATCATTGCAAAAATCTATAAGTTATCTTTGCTTTGACCTGTATACCCATTATTTGCACTTATATGGGCATGTCACTTTTAGTGTAAACAAAATAATGCAGCTCAACACAGAGATGGGTTTGAACCCTCTAGGGATCACAACATTGGTGTTTTTTTTATAAACACAAGTATTGATAAGTCAAATTAATATGTTTAAGTTAACAAAAAACAAGAGAAAATGAGAATGTTTAAATTGAGTATGTTTATCTTAAGATAACCATATGTTTATAGAATAGAATAACTATCTGTCTGATAAATCAGAATGCTGAGGCCAATTCCCTATATATTTAAAGATATATGACTTGAAAATAACAGTGAAAAAAAATTGATTGTACAAAAGTGATTTGAAATCAGATATTCTTTAACTAAATTCATGTCTTATATTATTCATTTACCTGTTACAGCCACATATATCAATCACATATATAGTCATTAGATCTATATACAAGTATGTTTGTTTGTTTTGATGAGTTTTAAAGGGACTCCACTCAGGTTTTTGGACATGACGGGACTTGAAATAATTTTCTGAGATTATTACTTCATTTGATGTAGATCTATACTAATAACTCATGTGCAAAATTTGAGATCATTAGCTTGCTCCGTTTTTTCCAGAATAATTATTATAATAGTAAAAATGACCCAAAATTGAAAAGCGTTTTAACGCTTTTCACTCAAATCGGACTGAGAATAGCACAAACATATGATTTTCAATGTATTTCTTGTATATTTTTTTAATTAAATTTTATTTCTATTTCTGTTTAAGTGCTCATGTTTATCTATGTGAAAAATTAAAATTTTATGTTTTTAGGCTGATAAACCTCAGTGGAGTTCCTTTAAGTAACAATGGCACAGAAAAGGTCATATGGCAACTTGGTGGTAAAAACTTTTGTGCATTATAACAGGCAAAAGCAGGCACTGAGTGGAACCAGTATCCAAGGTTATAAAGACATTCTCTGCGCTTAAACTCAGATCTCAAGTATTTGATAGGTCAGAAACTGCCATAAAATGTACAATGACCAATGAAAATCCTGAGATTTGAGACAGAACTCGGAAAAATGTTTTATAACCTCCAGGCCAGGACTTGCTTAGTACAAAGACCATGATGGGATTTTTACCCACAGCAGTGACAGGCAAGTAATTTTTAGTCAGCAACCTTAACCACTTTGCTAGAGATATACATGTGGAATATCTTTGTTGCAATTGCCTACTTTCATACCTACATGTATATTTCATTATGTCAATCATGACTTTCTTCACAGCACTATTTTGGGCAAATGTAAATATTTTTGGTAAGTCATTTTCATTCTAATTAATACTTACCCATTAGTAATAGTAACTAAGAGATCAACACCATAGTTATATCCCACCCATCTCCAACAATACTGAAAACAAAGAGAAAACATGAAACACTGGTCTAAATCAAATTACATTTCTCTATAACTTGTCATATATAATAGTCATTACACGCTTTCTGATAATTATGAAGATAGCAAAAGCAGGATTTCTCTTGTTTTAAAGTCAAAACATAAAATTCTTTAAAAGATTTTTATACCTATTATCATAAAAACCAGTCATTCAAGTATTTGTTCACTTAATCAGGCGCAAAATTCTTATAAGAAACAAGAGGGCCATGATGGCCCTATATTGCTCACCTGACTTATCAAACTCATCCAAACAATTACCTAGACAAGCATTCTGACCAAGTCTTATGACAGGTGAGTCAAAAATGTGACCACTACAATGTTAACAAGGATTATTCATATTTGAGCAGTGCGACCTAGTTTTTTTACCCAGGTGACACATATTCAAACTTGACTTAGAAATCATCAAAACAAACTTTCAGACCAATTTCCAGGATACTTGGATCAAAACAGTAGCAACTAGAGTGTTAACAAGATTTTTCTATTTTTAGCTCCGGTGACCTAGTTTCACATGCGATTTCGAACTCATCCAAGCAATTACCTAGACAAGCATCCTGACCAAGTTTGATGATAATTGAGTCGAAAATGTGACAACTAGAATGTTAACAAGGTTTTTCCATATTTGGGCGGTGTGACCTAGTTTTTCATCCAAGATGACCCATGTTTGATCTTGACTTAGAAATCATCAAAACAAACTTTCAGACCAATTAACAGAATATTTGGATCACAACAGTAGCCACTAGAGTGTTAACAAAATTTTTCAATTTTTAGCTCCTGTGACCTAGTTTTTCATCCGAGATGTCCCATGTTCGATTTATTCCCAGCAATGACCTAGACAAGTTTCCTGACCAAGTTTGATGACAATTGAATCAAAATTGTGACCACTAGAGTGTTAACAAGGTTTTTCTATTTTTAGCTCCGGTGACCTACTTTTTCATCCAAGATGACCCATGTTCGAACTCATCCAAGCTATCACCTAGACAAGCATCTTGATCAAGTTTGATGATGATTGATGCAAAAATGTGACCACTAGAGTGTTAACAATGTTTTTCTATTTTTAGCTCCGGTGACCTACTTTTTCATCAGAGATGACCCATGTTCGAACTCATCCAAGCAATTGACTAGACAAGCAATCTGACCAAGTTTGATGAAGATTGGTTCAAAAATGTGACCACTAGAGTGTTCACAAGGTTTTTCTATTTATAGCTCCTGTGACCTACTTTTTCATCCGAGATGACCCATGTTCAAACTCATCCGAGCTATCACCTAGACAAACATCTTGACAAAGTTTGATGATGATTGATGCAAAAATGTGACCGCTAGAGTGTTAACAAGGTTTTTCTATTTTTAGCTCCGGTGACCTACTTTTTCATCCGAGATGACCCATGTTCGAACTCATCCGAGCTATCACCTAGACAAACATCTTGACAAAGTTTGATGATGACTGATGCAAAAATGTGACCGCTAGAGTGTTAACAAGGTTTTTCTATTTTTAGCTCCGGTGACCTACTTTTTCATCCGAGATGACCCATGTTCGAACTCATCCGAGCTATCACCTAGACAAGCATCTTGACCAAGTTTGATGATGATTGATGCAAAAATGTGACCGCTAGAGTGTTAACAAGGTTTTTCTCTTTTTTAGCTCCGGTGACCTACTTTTTCATCCGAGATGACCCATGTTCGAACTCATCCAAGCTATCAACTAGATAAGCATCCTGACCAAGTTTGATGATGATTGATGCAAAAATGTGACCGCTAGAGTGTTAACAAGGTTTTTCTATTTATAGCTCCTGTGACCTAGTTTTTCATCAGAGATGACCCATGTTCGAACTCATCCAAGCAATTGACTAGACAAGCAATCTGACCAAGTTTGATGAAGATTGGTTAAAAAATGTGACCACTAGAGTGTTCACAAGGTTTTTCTATTTATAGCTCCTGTGACCTACTTTTTCATCCGAGATGACCCATGTTCGAACTCATCCGAGCTATCACCTAGACAAACATCCTGACCAAGTTTGATGATGATTGGGTCAAAAATGTGACCTCTAGAGTGTTCACAAGGTTTTTCTATTTTTAGCTCTTGTGACCTGGTTTTTCATCCGAGATGAGCCATGTTCGAACTCATCCGAGCTTTCAACTAGATAAGCATCCTGACCAAGTTTGATGGTGATTGAGGCAAAAATGAGACCGCTAGAGTGTTCACAAGCAATTGTGGACGTACGACGGACATTCACCGATCCTAAAAGCTCACCCTGAGCAAGCTCAGGTGAGCTAAAAAAAAGGAACAATATAACCAGCTTGTTCACAAAAACCATACCATTGATCTTCGACTCTTCTTGGAGCTTGAACATAAAAAAAATAGGTCTTATCTCCGTAAAATAATATCTCAGAGTTATGGGACCTTTGCCCATCATGTAAGCTATTGACAGAGAACAAGTGTGCAAAAACTTTACCCATTCCTTTCATAAGATACCAACTTGCACACAAAAACTTTACCGAACTTAACAAAGTGTGATGTTGTCAGCTTCATACAATAGTTATCTCAATTATTTGAGTAGCAGTTAAAAAACCACACTTTCTCATGTGATAAGTATGAGGAAGAATCATGATAATGAATATATATATATATAATATATGATCAGGATCCATGCTGTTCGCTTACCAACTCTATTACAAGAAGAGGAACTGATAGCGAACAGCATGGACCCTGATCAGACTGCGCGGATGCGCAGGCTGGTCTGATTCCATGCTGGTCGCAAACGCACTAAGTTGGTTTTGTCATGACGCGGCTCATATGTAATGAATATAAGCACTCACATCATCATTTTTGAGCAGAACTCTCCCACATCTAATACAGCTATTATTGAACACAGCCTCATCTATGCTCAGTTCAGGTCTGAAATTAACTAGAACTGCCACTATCATGGCGTGAATACCCCCGCATACCACTTTGTCAGAATCAACAGTGGCCATTTAGAGCTCAAGGACAACCTCCCTGCCAAATCTGAGGTTACTAAGCCAGTGCATTGCTAAGTTTTGTCAAGGTCCCTGTGATCTTGCCCTTTGACCCAGTGACTTCAAAATCAATAGGGGTCACCTTATAGTCATGATCAACATCCATACCAAATATGAAGACTGTGGGTCAAAGGAATGTTAAATTAATGGGTGTACAAACTTTTTGAAGTCAAAGTCCCTATGACCTTGACCTTTGATCCAGTGACCTCAAAATCAAAAGGGGTCATCTACTAATCATGATCAACATCCATGCCAAATATGAAGACTGTGGGTCAAAGGAATCTAAAGTTATTGGGCAGACAAACTTTTTGAAGTCAAAGTCCCTGTGACCTTGACCTTTGACCTGGTGACCTCAAAATCAATAGGGGTCATCTACTAATCATGACTAACCTCCATGCCAAATATGAAGACTATGGGTCAAAGGAATCTTAAGTTATTGGGCGGACAAGCTTTTTGAAGTCAAGGCCCCTGTGACCTTGACCTTTGACCTCAAAATCAATAGGGGTCATCTACTAATCATGACTAACCTCCATGCCAAATATGACGACTGTAGGTCAAAGGAATCTTAAGTTATTGGGCGGACAAGCTTTTTGAAGTCAAGGCCCCTGTGACCTTGACCTTTGACCTAGTGACCTCAAAATCAATAGGGGTCATCTACTAATCATGACTAACCTCCATGCCAAATATGAAGACTATGGGTCAAAGGAATCTTAAGTAATTGGGCGGACAAGCTTTTTGAAGTCAAGGCCCCTGTGACCTTGACCTTTGACCTCAAAATCAATAGGGGTCATCTACTAATCATGACTAACCTCCATGCCAAATATGACGACTGTAGGTCAAAGGAATCTTAAGTTATTGGGCGGACAAGCTTTTTGAAGTCAAGGCCCCTGTGACCTTGACCTTTGACCTGGTGACCTCAAAATCAATAGGGGTCATCTACTAATCATGACTAACCTCCATGCCAAATATGAAGACTGTAGGTCAAAGGAATCTTAAGTTATTGGGCGGACAAGCTTTTTGAAGTCAAGGCCCCTGTGACCTTGACCTTTGACCTGGTGACCTCAAAATCAATAGTGGTCATCTACTAATCATGACTAACCTCCATGCCAAATATGAAGACTGTAGGTCAAAGGAATCTTAAGTTATTGGGCGGACAAGCTTTTTGAAGTCAAGGCCCCTGTGACCTTGACCTTTGACCTGGTGACCTCAAAATCAATAGGGGTCATCTACTAATCATGACTAACCTCCATGCCAAATATGAAGACTGTAGGTCAAAGGAATCTTAAGTTATTGGGCCAACAAGCTTTTTGAAGTCAAGGCCCCTGTGACCTTGACCTTTGACCTGGTGACCTCAAAATCAATAGGGGTCATCTACTAATCATGACTAACCTCCATGCCAAATATGAAGACTGTAGGTCAAAGGAATCTTAAGTTATTGGACGGACAAGCTTTTTGAAGTCAAGGCCCCTGTGACCTTGACCTTTGACCTGGTGACCTCAAAATCAATAGGGGTCATCTACTAATCATGACTAACCTCCATGCCAAATATGAAGACTGTAGGTCAAAGGAATCTAAAGTTATTGGGCGGACAAGCTTTTTGAAGTCAAGGCCCCTGTGACCTTGACCTTTGACCTGGTGACCTCAAAATCAATAGGGGTCATCTACTAATCATGACTAACCTCCATGCAAAATATGAAGACTGTAGGTCAAAGGAATCTTAAGTTATTGGGCGGACAAGCTTTTTGAAGTCAAGGCCCCTGTGACCTTGACCTTTGACCTAGTGACCTCAAAATCAATAGGGGTCATCTACTAATCATGACTAACCTCCATGCCAAATATGAAGACTAAGGGTCAAAGGAATCTTAAGTTATTGGGCGGACAAGAAAAAACCGACGGACAGCCGGACGGCCGGATGGCCGGACAAGCTGATTCCAGTATACCCCCCTTACAACTTTGTTGTGAGGGGGTATAATTACAAGATTTATAAGATAAAACTGTCCATCACAACATTTCATCTATATTAATTTTATAAAGTGCTGAATATTCAATAAGTAGTTTACTAATTATCAATTGATTGACAGGCACCTCCTGAATTTCCAATATCAATCTTTTATCAAACAACTTTATCGAAATTTGACTTATTTAAAGGTGACTGGTCACAACTATATACCAGCCCTAAAGACTATGACATTTTCTATCAGTCTATGACTCAGCTGTATTTTTTTGGTTAATTAGTAAACTAAATGTTAAGCACTTTAATGCCTTGTTAACTAACAAAATTTTAACATAGCTCTGAACATGTCAAATTTTGACATTTCTTTAGCTAATGAAAATGTTAAAATTTAACAACAGCTAAGTTAATTTGTCGTTAAAGTTAACAAAAGTTTTGAACAACTGGGCCAATGCTACTTTTTTATCTCAGTTTTCTACTAACTTTATCTGAAAGATCATGTAAATCAAAGGTGGTAGATAGTGAAAAGAGTTTGATAAATTTTATCAACATATTACATATGCAGAAAAAATATAGCAACATGTACATCTAGAACCTAAGATCACAAATCCTCCCTCATGAGGCATGATCTAACATTAATGGAATTGCAAACTTTTTTTCCCTATGATAACAAAGAAAACTGTTCTAAGAAAGAAACAGGCAAGCTGTTAGAGATGTATTATAAGTGATGTAAAATTAATTACCCCTTGTCTAAGCCTTGTTCTACAGACAGCATTCTCTTCCATCCATACAGGAACATAGGATTTAAACAACCTGACGTGTACAAAAAAAGATAGATATAAGGTTTAATTGTCAGCAATCAGAACCATTTGGCCAATTCTTTGGCTCAATGGTCTACAGTGATGTATTAATTTGCTCATAAGCCAGTGGTGATGAATTCGAATCCCACATACCATATACAGGAACATTTACATCTTGTTGTCAAACATTTGAAGTATTCATGAGAATCAATCTCATTAAAATCATATCCTAACTGTCGCTTCACTACCCTACGCTTCGTAGCGAAGAGTAACGGAGCAAAAACGATGATCTGATTTTAATGAGATTGTCATGAGAATGTACATCAGAAAATAATGATTGACCAATAAAAAACTATATTGAGCCAATTTAAATGGGGAAACAATACATGTACATTGTGAATACAAAAAAGTTCATACAACTAATTCAAATTACCCTCTAAAAGACTTTAAGCCATTTGATGAACAAAAGTACAATACAAGTCTTCAATATCAGACTAATAAAACTGAGAAGACAACAGCAAAAGTTGTATGGAAGTCTGGCTCAATACTAGAGATATGTGCCTGAAATTGTTGGCACTAATGGGAAACTTTAACTTACCAACAGGTAATAATTTATCATTCTCCAGCATCTTTATAGATGTTATATCATTGACTACATGGTACCATCTTATTGCAGCAAACACCTGAAAATACTTCCTTCCTTCATCTCTCTCTAGATAACATTCTGACTTTCCTGTAATGCAAAATATTTGTTAAATAGAAGTTAAATACTTGGGGGAGATAGAGGATATTGAATTAGTTAAGGTTCAATACTTAATTTATTGAACAAGTTGAATAAAATTATATTTTGCGAGTCTCTGGTGTGCAAAATATTATTTTATTCAACAAGTTCAATAAATTCTATAATGAACCTACACAAATATAATATACTATTTATCACATTCCCCAAATAAAGACTGTTATAAAGTGCAAAAGAATCATTTTTCATCGACGTGCCTATTGTGTGACGCTTACATTTAGCTGTTTGTAAAACACAAATGACATCACATCAAAATATATATGCACGGCAGTGCAATACAATTTATACAGAGTCCCAAAATCTAAACAGGTATGTGATAAAATTGTGTTTGTGTAAAGTTACTGTAGCTCATGTTAAATGTAAGGTGTGATATTTAAGTTAATACATTAGTACAAGTTTGAATCACACATGGATTGAAAGTATACATCAGTCAGTCATTTAATATGTTAATTAACAAAACTACTGTGACTTATTGTAACACAGTATTGAGTTAGTAAGCCCAAACATCAATACAGAAGTTATAAATTTATGACCTCCTTTCACATTGGCTACATTAGTTAAAGTTATAAAAATTATATTTCTATAAAAAATCAATCAAATTGAAAACTGTCTGTCAAATTTAATGATATAATTAGAAGTAGCCTGGAGTGAATATATGTAACATCTTCTATCAGCTATAGTGTTATATATACAGGATATTGAATGAGTGTAAGTATAATTCTGAATTTATTGAATGAGTAGCAAAAAATTTATATTATCCTAGCCTCACATACCAAAAATAAAGATCGTTTGAAGTGAAAAAGAGCAAAGATCGTTTGAATCAATGAAAAAGAGCTATTTTTCAATGGCCCACTAATATTTAGCGTGTCTTAACTCTACATTTACATAATGAAAATACGTCACATTAAAATATATGCACGGCCATGCAATACTATTTTTACAGAGTCGCAAAATGTGATAAATATTTTATATTTAACCACTGACAACAAATATCTATATTTAAAATGATCTATAAAAAAAGTCAATAATATATCAATAAATCAGTAAGATATGCTTTTGTTTTTAATATAAAACAATGCATTATCTTTACCTTTCATTTCTTTTTTAAAGAAAGCATCAGCATCTTTAAGCAAGTTTTTAGTTTCCCCACACCAGTCCTGATTTTGACACAAAAATATCCACTGAAAACAATATCATAATTATGTGACATCAATAAGTCAACAACGATACTCTTATCTTAAACATGGCAATATTATCTTAATATGAGATTCTGAATGTTCAATTTACACAATTGTTTAAATTAAATTAAAAGAACTGCAATCAATGCTGATATAACAATATATGAAGGTAATCTGTAAATATTTCTGTAATAAAGTAAATATTCAAATAGCCAATGAAACAATATATGGTGAAAATAGTTTGCACTGGAGAATAATATGATTTTAATGTATTAGATATTTGGTTACTTAAATTATCAAAGATAAAGAAACCTTTTTCAGTAGAGTGTAGATATCAATTTCCACCTGCATCACATACAGTTGAGAACAAGATATAATTTCTGTCATCAGCTCTACTCTGTAAAGAATCCAGTCACAATTAAAATAAGTATTCCAGAAAAATGGAGTGAGCCAGGATCTGAAATTTTGCGACCAAGTATTGGTCTAGATCTGCAACAAATGGAACATTAATCTTAAAAAAAAACTAGTTCCAGTCCTGTCCCGTAAAAAAAACCTCAGTGGAGTCCCTTTAAACTAGTTTTTGTGCTTGATATGTTTATCCCTTAATATTGATTTGTTTGGTATAACAAAAAAAAATATCACACTCATCTCAAGGATAAGGTCAACCAAGGCGTTGATATCACTTGTCTTGGGTGAACATTCTGTTCTATCACCCTCACATGTATGTTACATTTATATACTACTGCAAGAATCTTACCCAATATCCCTGATAAATGTAATACTATCAGTGGTCAAAATGTTTCTTGTGAGCCAGTTCAGACATCGGACCCGTAAATCCTCTAAACCATATGTCTGACAAGTTGTATAATACACACATACTGTACAGGAACTGGGAAATAAAAATAACATGAAAATATTTAAATACTTGTTTTATCAATTCATGACAATTTGTTGTTTTTTTTATAGAATTTTATTTAGAAAACAATTCATCAAAGATTTAAAATATATAATTATATGTTTTTTGAAATTCTATGTTTCACTGATCTCATTTGATGAAAGTCACTTTTACATGTTTTAAGAATGATCAACACAAGAACACACATTTAATTTGATAAGCTTAATTTTACATTCAGGTAGAATGCGACACTTTGCAAACTTTTGAGTTTTTGATTCTGTTAATTTTATTCCAATAGTTTCAGCCAATTTTTGTACACATGACGTCAAAGTTGACCATCAAAGCCAGTTTTTTAACATGACGTTGTTGCGTATCCTTGGCAACTATTACGGGTATCACAATGCCATTGGCGGACAAAATACCTTAAATCCTACAGCATCCAAAGGAAATTATTTTTTATTCTATTGGAATAAGATTAACAGAATCAAATCAGAAAAATGGTCAACTTTCTGCATGCCAATTTTTAAGACGCTACTCGAAAGTTCGCAAAGTGTCGCGTTCTACCTTAAGTGTCCCCTAATGTTCCCCTAGATTTCATGTCGATGAGACAGCAGTCTGGTATAAGTGTGCATATCAGCAACCACAACACTGTTGCCAACAGAGGGACGTTGTAGCTGTGTGGTTTAGGTCTTTGACTTCAAACAACTTGCCCTTCACCCCTGATGGTTTGAGTCTTGCTAGGGACTTAGGATTCTTTCATGTGGGGATGAAATCAATCTAGCTCTTGTAATGTCAGTAGTTCTATCAAAGTGCCTGCTTATGCCTTTTAAAAATTACTGCACAGAGTGGCACCCGAGAAGGAAATCATGAGCTTTCATAGGTCACTACAATGACTTTCCTCTGTTAGAAAATATAAAATAATGAATTCAAGCTGAATATTTATACCTTAATGTTTCTTTCATCATTATACAACATTGCTGTATCAAACAATCCTGAAACAAAAACTACATTTATTATAACTAATTGGTACAGGTTAATAGTCATCTTGACACACTATTGAAAATGTCCCTATCAAAATCTTGTTTTTTTCCTCTAAAATTCTATCATACAATCAATGTTCATATACTTGCTGCCTATACCACTTATTTCAGGCATATATTAATATTATATACAATATTAACAAGAGCCATGTCAACATGGCCATCCCGCGCCGAATGTGTTTGCTCATTGGAAGAACGTATATGTAGTACAGCAGAATAATTCCATTTTAAGAGGTCTTTTGGTAATGAAAACTGATGGCTATAGTGATTACAGATTTGAAACCTATGTGAATACTGATGGCTGAAAATAACAAAGGGCAATAACTGAAAAATAATGCAGGGTAGGTTATCATTCTTGTGTGCTGCATCCCTCCTCAGTAAAATCTATCCACCTATGAAGTTTCAAGTTGATACCTCAAATACTTTTTGAGAAAAAAATTGAATTGAAAAATAAAGTATGAAAAATAACAAAGGGCAATAACTCTAAAATCATAAAAGGTAGAGTTATCATTCTTGTGCTCTGCACACCTCCTGAGTTAGATCTATGCACCTATGAAGTTTCATAATGATATCTCAAAGGCCTTTTGAGTTATGCTCTGGACAAAAATTAATTTTGAAAAATAAAAAAGGGCAATAACTAAACAATTATGCAGGGTAGAGTTATCATTCTTGTGCACTGCACTCTTCCTCAATGAGATCCATCCACCTATGAAGTTTCAAGTTGATACCTCAAATACTTTTTGAGATTTGCTCTGGACAAAATAGTATGAAAAAGAACAAAGGGCAATAACTCAAAAATTGTACAGGGAAGAGTTATCATTCTTGTGCACAGCATTCCTCCTCAATAAAATCTATCCACCTATGACATTTCATGTTGACATCTCAAACACTTTTGAGTTATGCTCCACTCGGGTGAAAAATTAGGTATGAAAAGTAACGAAAGGGCAATAACTCTAAAATTATGAAAGGTAGAGTTATCATTCTTGTGCATTGCACACCTCCTGAGTGAGATCTATGCACCTATGAAGTTTCAATTTGATATCTCAAAGGCTTTTTGAGTTATGCTCTGGACAAAAATTAATTTTGAAAAATAACAAAGGGCAATAACTGAAAAATTATACAGGGTAGAGTTATCATTCTTGTGCACTGCACTCCTCCTCAATGAGATCCATCCACCTATGAAGTTTCAAGCTGATTCCTCAAATACTTTTTGAGATAAGCTCTGGACAAAATAGCATGAAAAAGAACAAAGGGCAATAACTAAAAAATTGTATAGGGAAGAGTTATCATTCTTGTGCACAACATTCCTCCTCAATAAGATCTATCCACCTATGACATTTCATGTTGATATGTCAAACACTTTTTGAGTTATGCTCCACTCAGGTGAAAAATTAAGTATGAAAAATAACAAAGGGCAATAACTCAAAAATTATGAAAGGTAGAGTTATCATTCTTGTGCACTGCACACCTCCTGAGTGAGATCTATGCACCTATGAAGTTTCATGGCTTTTGGAGTTATGCTCTGGACAAAAATCAATTTTGAAAAATAACATAGGGCAATAACTAAAAAATTATGCAGGGTAGAGTTATCATTCTTGTGCACTGCACTCCTCCTCAATGAGGTCTATCCACCTATGAAGTTTCAAGTTGATTACTCAAATACTTTTAGAGATATGCTCTGGACAAAAATGTCGGACGGAAGGACGGACAGACGGACGGAGACTATTTCTATATCCCCCACCGCCTTTTCGGCGGGGGATAATAACAAGAGCTGTCAGTAGAACCTGGTGCTTAAATATTCTCAGTGCTAGTCAGATGGTAAAATAAGAGCCTGGATATTGTATCTTTGAGAGTCAGGAATTATTTTAAGTTCACAAACAGTCATAATTTAGTCACAATGTTTGTGATATTTTGGGCCTTGGATAGGAACCTCCAATTATGATCCTGAAGATATATTAAGCTTCAGTGGTTTTGAAGATTTATGATGCTTTCAAAACTTAATCAAGAATTTGCTATGTTCACAAAGGGTCATGTGGTAGATAAAAGCCTTTAAATGTCTATGATTACAAAAACATGTGTGAAGTTGTTTTTGTTTTTTTTGAACATGTTTTTTGTGGGTGATGAAATATGCAGTTGTGCAAAAAGTTGCACCTAAAACCACTGTTATGTTGGCACCAGAGTGAGTGGGGTAGCCCCACCATTCTTGGAATAGTCAAGCTTTAAACAAATTAAAAGTATCTTCATAATTCCAACAATGATTCAAACAACTTGACTGTGTACATCACATAAATTATTCTACATTGATTTTATATACAAGAAACTTATTATATATTTAACTTAATATAAGCAATTACTTTTTTGCTGTGTTTCTAATACATTACCATAATATCAAAGTATAATCAATTCAACTTAAATTAATCTTTAATTCTTACCAAAATCATGTGAAACAAAATAATAACAGAAGTTTATACAGATATCAATTTCACATCATACTATAAAATATATTAGTATTCACAGTAGCATATGTGTGTTACAACATAAAACAATCAATGTACCTACCAGTTGAAACAAAGTGGATGCTGCTAAAACACTGACTATCTGTACTGGCTTCAGAAACACATCATCTTTGTATAGAGATCCAAATGCTATTTTCAGAGCTGAATAATACAAATGTATCATATCAATATAATTATAAATTGAAATTTCCACATTACCTTTCTAAGAAATAATGATCATTATTATAAAGTATCTGGTGATTTGTATTATTTCACATAAAAAATTATTTGCCATGGAAACATCTTGGCAACACCTATGTATTTAATGAAACAAGTAAGTCATGTAATACTTACAAAAAATATGCAACAAACTCTGGTTACCATTACTACATTATCTGTTATTCAACTTGACCTATTCACACATTGATGCATGTACATACTGATTCATGCAATAAGCAACTTCCAACAATGTGCACTTTAATATGCCAAAAGATTCCATAAAAAAAATTTCTTTAATATTTCAAACTTAAAACCTTAACCTGCTGAATTTTTAAACAGACATGTCTAGCTATCATTGCTGAACTTGTCAATTGTCAATTTTGGGTATATCAAGATGAAAATTTAAAACTGATCAGCCAACAGTATAGAGCCTGGAGGGTCTGCAGTGAAACGCATCATTCTGTTGGCAAAAGGCTAATTAATTACTTTCAGGCCCTGCAGAGTCAGGGTTATATTAACAGTTAATAAAGTTATTAAGCATTCAGAGTGCAAAAACAATTATACCATACCTTCTTCAGTGATATTTTCATCAAGTATATCAATATTTATTGTGTTCATATCTGACTCTATCCATGAACCACTGAACATACTGAGAAAATATGGTGACTGAAAAAAGAGAACTATATAATATCATATGAATAAACAGTTAAAAATCAAATTCTGGTAAAATTGAAAATAGTTGACTCATATTGACTATGTATTTACAATTAAATTTTATTATCAATTATCATTATTTATTAATGATATTTAAGTTAATTACTGATACCTGTTTGAGGTAGAGTTTATGTAACTTCCAGTCACGACCAAGAGCATGTATAGTAATGTCACTGTCTTCTCCTTCAAGGAACAATGTCTGATATATGTATTTTGATGTGGACTGCAGGCGTTTCCTGAAAACAGATTAATATATTGTCATAATACAATGTAGCTACAAAAGATCACAAATATAAAATTATATTGGAAAAATATGCATGTAAAATTACTGGCCATATGAAAGTCAAGTGGAATGTCCTTGAGTTGTGAAGCTTGCATTTAGGAATGGAATGTAGTGGACATATGCCTTTTAGAATGAAAGTAGAAAGAGAATATAGCCAAAAAAACTTGATTCATGACCTCTTAATTAGGAGTTCAATGCTTTCCCCCCTGTAATCATGTAAAAAATCAAGACAGCATTTAATTAAGTACAGTGAAATCATTTACATATTATGTAGGTTCAAGGGCATAAAATCTCTTGCTTTGTCAGCAAAAAGCAATTTCATGGGGTCGTAAATCCATGGTGTTCAGTTGCCAAGGAAAAAATATATGGACTTAATTTGTGGTTTTCAAGTTTCAGTAAAATAATTAATATTCAGCATTTGTGCTACTTAATTGTCAATTTGATGACAGGTGCAGGAAAACATCATCTCTACCTCTCCAAACAACAGAAGGTGCATTCCTTATAATGTTAATTAACTGACAATGCGTCTTCTCAATTGGAAAGCTTCAAGTAAATAACAGTATCAAATATATTTTAAGTCAAATCAATGCAACCAGCGCCCTCGGGTTACACGAAGGGTCTTACTGGCAAAATATATCAAATTGATGTCATATTTATAGGACTATACTACCTCTTTATTTATGAGTTGACTATCTATCTTCCGTAAATGTCAAACCCCTCGCAGGAAGTATACATGTCTGCGCGTCAAAAATCCAAAGAAAGTTAAAAAGAGGATAAAACTAGAACGGACACGGATACCCCCCCTGACAACATATACGGTATAATTATGGTATATAGTGAAAAAATCAACAAAGGGCCATAATTCTATTACATTTGGTCGCAGCAAAAATTCCTTCCTTTACTACCATCTACACATTAAGGTTGTTCATCCCTAGAAGTTTAAGCAAAATCTGCCATCCAGTTTAAGAGGAGTTGCGTTCTTTAAATTTCTACATATGGTAACATAGTATGTATATAGTGAAAAAATTAACAAAAGGGCCATAATTCTGTTAAATTTGGTCGCAGCAAAAATTCCTTCCTTTACTACCATCTACACATTAAGGTTGTTCACCCCTGGAAGTTTAAGCAAAATCTGCCATCCAGTTTAAGAGGAGTTGCGTTCACAAGATTTCGGGACGTAAGGACAGACGGACAAGTGCAACGGTATATGCTCCCCACTTTGTGGGGGCATAAAAATATTAAAAATGTTAAAGGCAGGGGCTGAAAACTAGGGTGAGACATGTTTGATGCAAGCTATGGCTGCACTGAACTGCTCTGGAGTGGGCAACTGCAGGTGGTAGGTGGTTCCAAGAATGAGAATTTATAATAGTCTGAAGTTGCTCTGAATAACCTATAACATAAGGGATGGCCAGGGCGTGGTGTTCGGGAAAGGGATGTCAAATATTCTTCTATGGGGATAGCAACCAGACCATGGTGAATCTTATGGAAAAGGGATAACCTAGCATCTATACGTCTGAGTTCCAGTTTTCGAAGCTTAAGGGAGTGAAGCATGTCAGTGAAGCTAGAGGTCTGATCATAATCTAGCTTAATCCATCGGGCTGCTCTATGGACATTTTCGAATTTTCTATTTGTATTTTGGTGTGGGGAGACCAAGTCAAATATATCAGACTTTACGGGCTTGTTATAGTTTCTGTCGGTCAAGCCCAACGTCTGATATTTATTGCTCATAAAAGCATAGCATCATAAAAAAATTAATAAAAATGTCTATTGCCTTCCCTTTCAAGTTTTATTCAAAAGTTTATCCAATTTTCTTTCAATATCATGCCCAATCATTAAGTTGCAGATTAGCAAAAACTCTCAAACATTGTAGTAATCAATTTAAAATAAAATACAAACATCAATCTATTTTTGTTTATCCGCCATACTGGTTAAGTATAGCGCTTTACAGATTGTTTCCAAATTTTTAAACAGAAAAATATATTCGTACATGGAAGCGATACATGGGCAAATATTTCGTTCAAAATATCAGACTCGTTTTACTTTAAAAGTGAAGTCAAGTAAATTTTATTTACAAGTTGGATACATATAACAATATACCGATTGACACTTTCCGAACTAGCAGACGACAGGCTATTCTTATCAGTAGAATTGCCAGTAAAGATAACCGGTTGCATATCTCACTGTATTAAACATATGTAAAATGGTCAGACATGTGGTAGGTTTAACTGTAAATTTAAATACCTTTAACGTCAAACAATGTGTTGAAAAATATATCGAAACAAAACTAAGATCACAAGCTTTTTATTGGTGTAATAAATTTTAAAATCGGATATTAACTCACCTCAAATAAGCGGTTTTAAAACGGCTAAATTTGAATTCTTTTAAATAGCATTTGAGATATGGATTTTAGTATTACTCAAAGATAGGTGAAACAACTCATACTTTTTCAATCGATATTATTATATACCTCAGTTATTTACGTAATTCATATAGAGACTGTCAATGGGTGTATTAACATAAGCTCTGATGAGCTTTTTACTACAAAATGCTTGCATTTGAATTAGCCAAATTTTGATCAGATTTCGTGCACTGTGTGACGGCCATTTGTTTATCCTATGTATAAGGAATTTAATTAAATAAGAGGATTTAATCATGATTTTTCGGATGTGACAGTTTAATTATTTTGTTGAAAGGTATATATATTTTTGACTTTTGTTTATAATTAGGTCAAAATTAATGGCTATTTTTGCCGACTTAAGTGATTTTTTTGTTCTGCCAGATTTTCTTGCGGAATGTGCTTTGAGTTTTTGAGCAATTTCTATATGACGTTGCTTTGCCCAGAAGCAAAAACATCTCATAATCAGTTTGACTCAAAGCACGGATTTATATTACAAGGATCGGACACTTTCGTTTAGCTTAAAGTCCCGTCGCGCGCATGTGCGGAATCGGATAAAGGTGGACAGAATTAGATAGCGGAACGCTCGGAGTGCGAAATATGACAGATTTTCACAAGAGTATGTGGTGTTATTGCAGCTTTGTGAAAAATTATAAACATATGAATGTCTTGATACAGTATTATTTTGTGCAGCTAAAGTATTAATATATGAAAATACGCCAATAGAACGCTGCGACGCTTAGTTAAAAAGTACCTAATTTAAAAAATATTCGCCTATTGTTTAGGCATACTCTCTACACTTTGACGCCCTTTTACGTCAAACATAAATTATTACCGCGATTCAGATTAAGATAATTATTTTTTACATGGTTTAATGGTGGCATTGCAAAAAAATGTTTCTTGATTTAAAGAAATTCATGTTTGAAATGTCTTTATTTCTGTGAATTATTTCCAAATGATTTGTACATTTTTTATTTGATATACCTGTATATCAGTATAAATATAGTATATATTCTACTAATTAGTGTGTAAAATAAATTTTCAGATCATTCTAGACATTCGTTCATATATAGATGAATTCATTACATTGGCAAGGAAGAAACTTTTATTGGCATACTGAACAGCTGTTTTATAATATTATTTTTTTTTAAACAGATTTTTTTCATAGTTATCCTTCACAATTCACGTCAAATGATTTATTTGTCATATGTTTATTTTCATTATTTTTCAAAGAAAGGACTATACAAATTAAGTTGTTTATTTTCAATTTCATTTATAAATGTTAATAAAGAAAATAGATTTCCATTGTATTTATATATATCCGCTTCAGAATCATTTTCTTACCACACATGCCATGGACTGTAGTTAAAGACCGCGCACATACAACATATACATTCAAATTCTATTTGTTTTTGAAGATTCATTGTTGAAATTATCACATGTAACCTGATAATGAAAGTTTGAAAATAAAGTTTTTCAATTATCACTTGTTACTTGGTAATTAACCCCCTTCAAAAGTAATTAAACTTCAAAGAAATTTAAGAGTTGTGTAAAAAATAATCAAAAGTTACTTTTATTTCGCATAATACTGACTCAAACTGTAAAGATTTTTATTGTTTTTTAGCGTTACATTAAAAAATATCAGAAATATCTTTCTACAGGCATTCAAATAAAAAGAATAATTAAAATATACGAGTGAAATAATTAAAATATACAAGTGACATTAAAAAGGCCAGAATCGATACAGCCACACGAGAGTACTTTACTGTTACGATGATTGTCTACTTCACTGCACCGGCATTTGAAAACAGATTTACAAAAAAATAATAATAATGATATAAATGATGAAGAAAATTTAAATATCCTATGAAAATGGCAATACATGTATTGACAATATCAGCAATATCTTGTATTTAAAAAAATGAATAAATTTACTTCACGTGTTGAGCGAATTGTAAAGCCCGCAATACATTTCCCGTAAAACAATTGTGCGTCAATTAATTCGACTACATAACCAAATAAATCTTAAATATTGCATCTTTGATCAACTGTGAATAACTTCCATCGGCTTCTTTTTTCATTAATTTTGAAATTGAATTTATTATGTTACCGTAATAATAAATTTCAAATATCTGCTTTTTATATAAAAAATGTAAATTTACCGCGGATTTCGTCAAGTTAATTTCTTAATCGTCGTTGCGGGCAGATAGTCTGTATTTTTAAAAAATAAATTGGATATTTGAATTAAACAAGCATTTTCCTTGAAAATAAACTTTAAATTTCAAAAATTGGATAATAAATGGAAAAGCTATATGGTATTTTGTAAAGTAGGTATCTGTTGCGAACGGGCATTTTCGCTTAGCGCCGATAAATTATCGATCGATGTACCTTTATCGGGTGCACGACAAGATATTTAAGCATTTATATAGGGTTAACTGGGAATGTCCGATCCCTGTAATATAAATCCGTGCTCAAAGCGACGTCATATTAAACAGTTAAAATAATTATTTTATAGGACTTATAGACTTCGGAAGTTCCATACTCGCGAATTCATTTAG